GACTAATGCATCACTATACAGTACATTAACCAATGATATGTAACATTGTGTTACTACTGTTACATCAGTATGAATGAATCACTTGATTATCTGGCCGGCAGATGTCGATCATGTATGGTGCAAGGCAACTCACTGACAGACTATGCAGGCAGGCAGGCAGGCAGCCAGCCTCGGAGACAGCAGGGTCCTGAGGACGTCACTGCCACCCGGCACTGTGTAGTCAGCATGTCATGCTGGGTAACCTTTTGGAATCCAAGTTGCGCACACTACCGCTGAGGTCTCCAATCGGACAGTCTAGCTCTGCTGGCTAGATCGTCGAATTCAAAATCCTCTAAGCACACGCAAACCCGGCACTCTGCCTTCCCCAACATCCGTAATGCGGTCTCGGAGGCTGTACAAACACGATGAATCACTGATTCATCATTGACGACAGAGCTTCGTCTCGCACGTCATTGTAATATAAAATTCCTGGCACTCTGCCTTCACTGTAATCCTGCATAAATCTCGGAAAGAGTACGTGCAGGATCATATCATTGATATGCCAGTCTACTTGCAAGACATGCCCACGCTCTTCAGAATTCAGAAAGAACCACAATGTCGAAAAGGACTCCTCTAGCAGCGCGTCGAAATAAATCACATAATCATCGTAGTCACTGTCCATGATCGAGGCCACAGTGCTTGCACGCTCATCGGCAACCAGAATCCAGTCCGAGTCCAGAGACTCACTGTCACTGCACGACATCGACGACATCTGCCGGCTTGCAGGGGGGCCTACTACGACTTAGACTAGAGACAGAGCAGGTCGTCGGCATCACTGCTTTCATCGAGCACACAATTGTCCAACGATTAAAACATTAACAGTGACTAATGCATCACTATATAGTACATTAATCAATGATATGTAACATTTTGTTACTACTGTTACATCAGTATGCATGAATCGCTTGATTCTCTGGCCGGCAGATGTCGATCATGTATGGTGCAAGTCAACTCACTGACAGACTATGCAGGCAGGCAGCCAGCCTCGGAGACAGCAGGGTCCTGAGGACATCACTGCCACCCGGCACTGTGTAGTCAGCATGTCATGCTGGGTAACCGTTTTGAATCCAAGTTGCGCACACTACCGCTGAGGTCTCAAATCGGACAGTCTAGCTCTGCTGGCTAGATCGTCGAATTCAAAATCCCCTAAACACACGCAAACCCGGCACTCTGCCTTCCCCAAGATCCGTGATACTGTCGCGGAGGCTGTACAAACACGACAAATCATTGATTCAGTGACGACAGCCATTCGTCTGTCACATTGAAATATAAAATTCCTGGCACTCTGCCTTGCCTAAAATCCCGCAAAAGTCTCGGAAACAGTACGAACATGATCTGTTCATTGATATGGAAGGCTGCTCGAAAGACTTGCCCACGCTCTTTAGAATCCAGAAACATCCACAATGTCGAAAAGGACTCCTCTAGCATCTCGTCGAACGGAATCACATAATCATCGTCGTCAGCACTGTCCGCGACCGAGCCCGCAGTACTTGCACCCTCATCGTCAACCAGAACCCAGTCCGAGCCCACAGACTCACTGTCACTCCACGACATCGACGACATCTGCCGGCTTGCAGGGGGGCCTACTACGACTTAGACTAGAGACAGAGCAGCTGTAACACGACTATAGTAGATTACGCAGGGCAACAGCGAGCACAACTGCTGCAGCGGCAAGTTGCGATACATGACACGCTCACTGACTATGCAAGGCAGCTTGTCCTCTGCGATGGCAGCATGTCCTCAGGATCCTCGTCATGAGCCTCGGTGCCAGGACTGTACCATAATAATGGAAGTAGCTGAAGCAAGCTGATGCTGAGATCCCAGCAGTTGGCATCCACTTCTCGATGGGCTGGAAGCCGATGAAGACCGATGGGAGAGAAGGAAATGGAAGAGAAGGCGTTCACTAGGCTTGGATTCAAACCGAACACTTAGACCTGGCCAACGGTGTGGGGAGCAACCCCGATGGGGCAGGGACTTAAGTAAGGCAACCTCGAGAGGCTCGACTGGCACTCTGCCTCTGTCGATCCAAGTCGCAAGGCTCCCTAACTAACGTGACAAGCATGGATGGCCTCCCCTCCTGGTTGGGAGAAAAATAAAAAAGCCACAACCACTGGACCACCCCACCCGGCACTTTAGCCCATGTGCCCGGGTGTCATATGCCACTGCCCTGGCACGTTGGCCCCAAGGCGGTCCAGGTACCATCGACAACACCTGACACCCGGCCAACGGTGTCCACGAACCGAGATGGGCAGTCGATCCGTGTGGGTAAGGTGGCACTCTGCCTCTGTCGATCCAAGTCGCAAGGCTCCCTAACTAACGTGACAAGCATGGATGGCCTCCCCTCCTGGTTGGGAGAACAAATCAAGCCGCAACCACTGGACCACCCCACCCGGCACTTTAGCCCATGTGCCCGGGTGTCATATGCCACTGCCCTGGCACGTTGGCCCCAAGGCGGTCCAGGTACCATCGACTCAGCACCTGACACCCGGCCAACGGTGTCCACGAACCGAGATGGGCAGTCGATCCGTGTGGGTAAGGGCAAGGTCTCAAGGCAAGTCAACATGTCACTACGGCCTCCCTTCTTTGTTCAATCACAACCCAAAACTATTTAAAAAGATTAAATTTTAAAAATTATTAACTTCAACAACAAATAAACAACAATTTTGTAGACATACAGCAGCAGGAAACCAGGTAGAACAACAGGAAGCCAATTGACTCACTCAGAAACAAAATTCACAAACATGTATTTTTTACACCAAAAATAAAATAAAAGAATTTTAACAACTGTAAAACACAAAAAAACCTATTTAAAAAACTTTTAAATACAAAACAATACTTTTAAATACAAAAAAACACTTTTAAACACAAATAAAGCCAACCACATACAAAAATGAGATTTTGGGTTCCTTTCATATAAGCCTTGTTGATCTAAACCCTGTGGTTCTGGTTCGGCGCAAAGGGTTAAGGATCTTTGCCCTTTCCTTTGTCTTTGTCGCCCTGGCCTTTGCCCTTGGGCTTGTTGCTCTTGTCGCCTTTGCCCTGCTTCTTCTCATCTGCGATCCTCTGGCGGCACTCTTCTTGATAGTGCCCTTTCTTCTCGCAGTACCAGCAGACAATCTGGGACTTGTCCTTGGCACCGCCGGCTTTTCCTCCTTTCGCGCCTTTGCCGTCTTTCCCGCCTTTGTCTCCTTTGAGACCACGCAAACCACCACTTGGCAGCTCCACCATGCGCAGCTGCTCCTCGTAAAAACGAAGACTCTCCGCCATCTCGGTCCAACTGCCAGTCTTGCCATGCAGCACCAAGTACTCTCTCGCTTGCACTGACACAGCTTGCAGCAAAATGGCCGATCTGTCGGCGGCGTTCAAGCAGAGGTCGGGAAAACGCACCAGCTTTTTATCTCCCTTGGAGATTTCGTCCTCGAGGAAACGCACAACTTCCAGAGGGCGCTTCAGCGCTGCAGTCTTTGTGTGGAGCTTTAGCATTTCGTCTCTGATATACACCGCCTCCATGCGGCTGTTCACAGAGTACTGCCGGTAAAGCTCTCTCACACCCTCATATCCTGCAGCTGCATTGCTCTGGCGTGTCGAAACACTCCGGAGGATCTCCAATCCTCTGTCCCACTTTGCCAAAGCTTGCTGCAACAGGTAAAAAAGACGTGCACTTCTTCCCGCAGTGTCACTGGGCAAAGTAACCTGCTGGATCTCACCAGCAACAAACAAGCACTGCCTTAGCTCGCCAACAAAGGCGTCATCGGTCAATGCTAGCCAGCTGGACAGCACTTCCAGAAAGCGGTGGAACTCCTCAAGCTCCCGGATCCGGCCTTGCTTCATCTCACCAGCATTGATGAGAGGCAGGGGTGGCAGATACTTCTCTGCACGACCGCCAAAACTCGAAAAACTTCCGGGACTCACAGCAGGCCCACTCGGAGGGGCAACAAGCGACCCAGTAGGCCCCGTCGGCGCTGCTCCCGAACTGCTAGCAGCCACTGCAGCCGCAAAGGGGTCCGAAGACACCTTTCGCCGATCCTCGTCGGCTTTCCGTCTGGCTTCTTCCTCGTCCAAACGGCGGTTCAAGAGGGTCAACTGAGCACTCTGAGCTTGCATCAGAAAGTTCATCTGATTCTGCTGTTGCTGTAAAGCCGTGTTCTGGTTGTTCAGCATCTGCAACATCAACTGCTGCAGTTGTTCACCTCCCAACGCAAGGAGCCACCGGCGCCACAGCCGGACCACTCACACCTTCTGGCACTGTTGCAGAACCACTCGCAGGTGCAGCCGCTGCTGCTTGCTGAGCTGTCGGCGACCAGCAGGACTGTTCACAGGTCCTACAGGTCCCACGGGTCCTGGTCCAAACAGGTCGAAGTCCATGCCTTCCTCAGGCACAGGGACGTTCTGAGGAATCTCACTACTCCCACCTTGCAAAGGCGAGGCCATGGCGCTGTAAGCTCCTTCTAAGTCCTCAGGAGCTCCGCTACCATGTGAAAAACAAAGCGCGCAGCACTCGGTCTTTTTCTTGAGCCAAAGCGGAGTCGCGTCGGGCTCTGACTGACAGTGGAACACCTTGCAGCTGTTTGTCTCCAAGCAAAACACTTCAGGCACTAACGAAACGAGACGAAACGAACGTGCAGTCACTTCCTCAAAAGCACTCCTCACAGCTTCAGGCATGCCGAAAACATCAGAACATCAAGGTCAAATGGGATTTTCACTAAGGAGAGCCGGGATGGCGGTGCGGGCCAAAAACAAAAACCCCAAGGGCATGCTCGGCGCCAGCCTTTTTTTTTTGGCTTGACTGGGCCTCGTCGACTACGGCTGTAGCACTCGGTCCCTAAAAACAAGCGAAACTACAATCCAAGCATCAAACTACAACAAAGCGGTGAAAAGCCTTCGCATCAGCAAGCGTGTGTTCACCCAGGCACACCCCAGCTGCCAAGCTTGTCTCGCAGGATTCGTGCGGTGTCTGTTCGATGTTCGCCGATGATCGGGTTGGGTGCCCCTCTCCGGTAGCTGCCACACAGGACGGTGGCTGGTGGAGTGACATGGCGCTGGATGGCATCGCCACTGGGCTCCCCAATGTGGAGTTCGATCAGCTTACTTGTGAGTTCAGTTTCGACACCTGCCTGTGGCAAAGCACTGGTGCCTCTTCATGGCAGCTTGCAGGGAACGCGGATGGCCAGTGGCTGGAGGCGGTGCAGAATGGTTCCCAAGCTTCGGAACGGATCTTGGAAACCGCGGCGATCTTCAACACCACTGAGGACAAGGTCTTGACTTTCGACTATCAGTTGAACGGCTCGAGCACCGTGGCGTTGGAGCTACAACACCAAGCCTCCGCTGGCGGCTGGCAGGGTTTGTGGACGGAGTCAGGTAGCCGCGGTGCAGTTTGGCACACCGCCATCGTCACCATACCTGCTGGCAGTGTCGGTTTCCGCTTCTTGGCCAATGTCACCGCGCTTGACGTTGTGAAGCTGGATTCCTTCTCGACTGAAAACTCGGCAGTTCTGGCAAACATCCGGTGCAGCTTCGAGCACGACACTTGCAAGTGGGTGGGAGACTGGCAGCGTGTCAGCGGCCCATCTCAAAATCATTTACTGCCCACAGCAGCCTTCCACGGCGAGAGCTATGTTTATGCTGGTGGCACCGAGGTGGTGTCCTTCAGGCTCACCAGCCCACTCTTCCGGAAGCTCGCCAACGTCTCCTACGTGGAGTTTGCTTTCCACATGTTCGGGTTGGGCGTCGGCAAGCTGCAGTTATGGTACCTTAAAGGAGGCAGGTGGCGCTTGCGCTGGTCCCGGCAAGGGAACCAGGGGGCTGACTGGCTTCAGGCCAAGGTGAGACTCCCAAGTGGGGTGGAGATGCTCCGCTTCGTGAGCTCCGAGGCCATCACGAGAGATTCCGAAGTAGCCTTGGACGGAATCCTCGCTTGGGAGGGCCCTGAAGCAGCCCCTGCAGAGTTCCTGAGCCTCTCTTCTGGCAGCTTCCACAACTGTGCAGTTCTCAAGGCTGAGGGCCTCCTGAAGTGCTGGGGATCTGGAGGTAGCGGCCGCTTGGGTTCCGGCAGCGAAGCAGATGTGGGGACAGCTCCGGGTCAGATGGGTCAGAACCTTCCGGCCGTGGACCTCGGGGAGCCCGGCCTTCGAGTGACGCAGGTGACCTGCGGTGTGTGGCACACCTGTGCACTTCTCGAGACGGGCATCCTGAAATGCTTCGGGATCAACTTTGGCCAGCTTGGCCACGGACACACTCGCGATGTTGGAGATGAGCCTTCGGAGATGGGCGCGCATTTGCCAGCGTGGACCTGGGCCCTGGAGCGGAGGTGGTGCAGGTCGTTGCCGGACGTTACCATACCTGCGCTCTGCTTCGGGGTGGGAGCGTGAAGTGCTTTGGCCAGGGACGTCTGCTGGGGTTGGGAGACGAGCCCGGGCCCCAGAGGTTCGGAGCTGCTGCCAGTGCCACGGTAAGGCGCTCGACAGAGTGAGAACTTGGAAACTGAGGGAGGATCGTGGCGACGAGCCCGGCGAGATGGGCTCGAACCTGCCCGCCATTGACCTGGGCACCGACTTCGAAGCGGTGCAGCTGGCCTTGAGAAATGTCCACAGCTGTGCTCTGTCAAGCCAAGGTACCGTGAAATGCTGGGGACGGGGAGATTGCCTGGGACTGGGACTTCCCAAGTCTGTCGGAATCGGCAACGACTTGGGCCCCCTTCCGGCTGTGCAGATCGCAGCCGGCTCCCGCCACCTGCGCCGCAGCTTGCCCGCATCCAGCGCACTGGGCTCGTTTTGATCGCATCGTGTCACAGTGCCTAATGGCAGGTGCTGTCCGATGGCTCGGCAAAATGCTGGGGTAGGAATCACAGGGGTCAACTTGGGCACGGCAGCCTTGAAGACGCGGGTGACGAGCCCGGTGAGATGGGCACCAGCCTTCCAGTTGTGGATCTCGGCGATGGGATGACGGTCGTCCATATCACTGCTGGCGCGCATTACAGCTGCGCCATCCTCCAAGATGCAAGCCTCAAGTGCTGGGGCTCGGGCACGAGTGGCCAGCCTGGGCCTCAGTGGGGGGAAGGGTGAAAGGACTGCTTTTGATTCAGTCACAAAAGACCTGGAGGCTAAACCCTAAACCCAGAACCCAAAACTTTAAATCTCGAGGCTTGGCCAGGGCAACCTGGAGAACTTGGGAGATGAGCCCTCCGAGATGGGCTCCAATCTTCGCGCAGTCGGCCTGGGCAATCTCGAGGTGCGGGATGTGAGTGCCGGCTATGGCCACACCTGCGTGCTTCTGGACGACGACAGCACGAGGCGCCCGCAATCCGCAACAAAGCTGTAGGTGCCCCAGAACACAAGGTTCCCAAAAGGATGCTGCCCAGGTGCTGGGGCGATGGCAGTTCTGGGCAGCTGGGCATTGGCAGCGCACTTAGCATCGGCCAGGTGCCAGGCGAGCTTGGTGTGGCTTTGGTGCCTGCGGAGCTCTTTCCCCAGACCCTTGGTGCTGGCCTTCAGGACTTCAGCTTGCTTTCCGTTGCCGAAGACCATGGCATTGCCAAAGGGCTGCTCCAACTGCAGCACAACGCCTCGGTCGGATTGGTCTGCGATGATGACTTTGACTCTCGGGTGGCGCAAGTGGCCTGCCGTGATCTCGGCATGGCCGGTGGCAGGACGCTGCCAGCCTTGGCGATGTGGGGTTGGGTAGGGGCCGGCACCATCCTTGCTGACAACATTCAGTGTACAGGCGCAGAAGTAAGCCTTCGCGACTGCGACTTTCGCGGGTGGCATCTGCACGACTGCACTCTTCAAGAAGCCGCAGGCCGTTGAAGTGAAAGCTAGGAGTTGACGTGGACATGGTATAAACACATGATGTGCTGTTGCTTTTGTGGCCAGTTCTCAGTGCGCAGGTCTTGAGTGCGAGTCGGATGCGTGGAGCGAGTACACGCCCGCCGCAAGCCCAGCCGGGCGCCAGGACGCGTCTATGGTCTGGGACAGTGAGACTCAGTCTGCATGGATGTTCGGGGGCCACGCCAGCAATGCCTTCCTCTACTTTGCGGACTTGTGGCGCTATGACTGGCCTCGGCGAGCTTGGACGGAGATCCTGCCGCTCAACGAGGGCTCGACACCCGGCAGCAGATGGGGCCACGCGGCTGTATGGGATGCGCATTCCAGGTCTATGCTGATCTTTGGAGGCAGGTTTCGAGTTGCCTTCTACGATGACATTTGGCAATTTCGCAGCACGGACAGCACTTGGAGGCAATTGCCTGCCATGGCGAAGCCGTCGGCACGCGCCCACCACAGTGCGATCCTGGACCCGGTGGAGGGTGCGGTGCTAGTTTTTGGAGGAGAGAGCAGCAGCCAGGTGTTGGAGGACCTCCAGCGCTACAGCCTCGCCGACGGCCAGTGGAGCAAGTCTGGCGCGACGGGTCCCGGAGCCCGCAGTCGACACACTGCCGTCTGGGTGCCCACAACCCGCTCCATGCTCGTTTTTGGCGGGTGGAGTGGGCAGCAATATCTGGATGACCTGCGCAGCTACGATGCTTCAGCAGGCACCTGGACGGACTTGTCAGCTTCAGGATATTGGCCCACGGCTTGCGCGGGGCATGCCGCCGCGTGGGACCCAATTTCAATGAGTATGCTAGTCATGGGTGGCATCACCAGTGTGAGCGATGACCTCAGCTACGAGTCCTCGCTGTACAACTACAGCCTCTTGACAAACTCCTGGAAGCAAGAGGGCCTGCAAAGCGAGGTCCCAGGCCCAACCGGCCGTACCGGTCATGGCATTGTTTGGGACTACGCTTCTCGTGGCTTGCTGTCCTTCGGTGGCTTCAATGCTTCTTACTTGCAGCAAACCTGGCGATACGTGGTCAGTCAGACCAGCTCGCCCTTGCTGGTCAGCTGCCAGCAGGGCCGCAACTGTTCCTTCCGCTGGAATGCCTCGGGCTTGGGCACCGTGAAACGCAGCTGCTCCGACCCGGTGGTCTTGGCAGGACTAGGGCTCCCCACACCACTCTCGGAAGCGGAGGAGGAGGAGAATCTCGTGGAACCGGGTCATCACCGCCTCTGCTGGTGTGATGTCGTCAACTGCAGCCACCCCGACAACTTCAGCGTGACAGTGGGCTACTTTGTCCTGGAGGGGCCGCAGCTGCAGCAGTCCGCTCAATGCTACCTAGGCAGAGACTGCACGATTTCAGAGTGGCGAGGAGTCGGCATCTCCGCGAACGACAGCGTCGTGATGCAGAGCCGATGCGGCGAAGGGCCGCGGCTCTCCTCTTCCACCTACTCCCAGCGCTCGGTCGGCGTCTCCTTCAACGAGTCCTACGGTTGGCACACCTTGCACGTGGGCTTCCTCGACCCTTCGGAGGGCCTCAAGCCGGAAGCTCTGGAGCTTTGCTGGTGCCCTGCCACGGCGGCCCCTTGCGCTTCGGCAGAGGACTTCCTCGTGGTCGCCCTGAGCCTGGAGGTCCTCTGCCGGCCCGGCGAGTACAGCGAAGGGCCCGGCTCTTCCTGCCTGCCCTGCCCGCCGAACTTCTTCTGCCCCGGCGGTTCGGAATTGCAGAGCTGTCCGTCGTCGAGCACTTCGATGCAGGGCTCAAGTCCGCCACCCAGAAGAGAGTATGGCGCGCGCTGTTCTGTTCTCACAGCAACAGACCAAGGGCTGTCTGTGTTATGCTGAGAGAGATTGAGAGACCGAGGCCTGCTCTCCGACTGCCGGTGCCTTCGAGGGCGCTACTGGGATGCAGAGAGCGCCATCTGCCTGGCGTGCCCCGCTGGGTCTTCGACGTTGCAGGCGGGTCGTCTGCAGGTTCGTAGGTAGCTGCGTGAGCTTTCTTCTGCTTCGTCTCTTCCTCGTGTTGTCGGCTGCACGGCCCTGCTTGTGACTGGAGGAGGGGGCCACCAGCCTGGCGTCCTGCACTTGCATGCCGGGCTTCTTCGCGACGCAGCCCGACAATCCGGCAGTTTGCGAAGCCTGCGGCGTGGGCTTCTTCTGTGCAGGGGGCCTGCAGACCCCGCAGCCGTGTGCGCCGTCCCAAACCACCGAGAGCGACACGTCAGCCAACAGATCCCAGTGTGTTTGCAGGCCCGGCAGCTTCTTGGAAGACGGGCTTTGCGCCCCGTGTCCAGTTGGATTTTTCAAGGGCAGCGTCGGAGACTTCCCGTGCTCGCCATGTGGTACTGGCACCTTCAGCAACGGCACGGGAAGCACAGAGCCTTGCAGATGCCAACAGGGCTATGGTTTTGACGAGGAGATCGCACAGTGCAGACCATGCCTTCCGGGCGAATACAAAGCACTGGTAGGCGACACCCCGTGCAGCCGATGCTCTACCAATAAGACCTCTATGGAGGGCGCTACATCTCCCCTTGACTGTCGATGCCGCTCAGGTCTTGCAGCAGAGGGTGAGAGCTGCCGAGACTGCCGAGACGGCTTCTTCTGCCCGGGCCAGGGTGAAGAGCGGCATAGAGCGGCGATGCCAGGATGATGCCACCTCACGCAGAGGCTCCATCCTGCAGGCAGATTGCCTATGCCTCCCAGGCTACTATGCGCTTGAAGCTCAGGGCCTCTGTGAGCCTTGCCAACCTGGACGCTACAAGCCCACGCTGGCCAACGATCCATCTTGCCCATTACAGTGCCCCACAAATGGCGAGAGTGCCAATGCGTCCACCAACTTAACAGAGTGCTTCTGCATGCCAGGATTTTACGCAGTGCTCGATGAAGGATCCCTCTCCAGGTGCGCCAGTTGTGCCTTCCTTCCTCATTTGCAATGCTTGGGTGGTTTTCACACTCAGGCGGGCATCACTCAGGCAGGGAACCACAAGCTGCCTGTCGCCCGGCCGGGCTACTTCCAGACAGGGGTGACAATCGCCGTGAAGTGCACGGCTGTCACAGCCACTGGCCTCAGCGCTTGCCTCGGAGGGCAGCTATGCGCGCAAGATGACACGGTGGAATGCTTCGGCAAGTATGACAACGCCTGCGACGAAGGCTCCACCGGGTTCTTTTGTGGAGAATGCCCAGCTGGTTGGGCCAGGAGTGCCTTCCAGCAGCCATGCGAACCGTGTGCTGCTGATGCTGTTTTGCCACTGGTAGCCTCTGTCATCATCGATGTTGGCACGAAGGTCGCGGGTGCCGAACGGTAGCCGAGTTTTAGGGGGTGTTTGCCAAGCCGCTCTTCAATCCTAGAAGTTGTCTGCAGCAAGGGAAGTGTAACAAGTGGCAGGGAGCGGGTAATAGCGGGGGTAGCGGACAGGCCACGATCAACTTCGTGGTCGCGGCCATGGCGGCAATGGCAGCAGTCAGAGCCAGCAGCAAGCTCCACACGGTGATGATCCGCATCGCCGTCCAGTGGCTGGCTGCCTGCTCTGTCCTGACGGCTTTCGACCTCACGCAGATTCCACTCGAGAATGCGGAGACCCAGGGAGATCAGGAAGAGTATCCACTCTTCCCATGGCCTGTGCAGGTGGCGGTTGAAGGAGGGTCCTTTGAACCTGAGATTTGACCCGTCCCTGAAAACCCGTTTCGCCCCACAGCAGGTCAGCGCAGCGATGCGGGGCCTCTTCGAGACCCTCACGCTGACGCCGGTGCTGACATCTGTCAACTCGGCCACACAGTGCTTTGCCCAGGCCAGGTAACAGTAGGCTCCCATAGGGACACAAATCGAAGCAGCATGTCAATGTGGAAGCTGGCAGTGCCGCAAGGCTATCGTACACATCAAGGGAAAATACAAGTAAGATAAGTAAGAGCTCGAGTTCTGTGTTGCCTGAAATCCTAAACCTATCCACGAGGCTCAAACTCTGGATCAGATTCCGCAAGCCAATATACTATACTCCTTAATCAGCTTCTTGCAATCCGAACTGAGAGTGTCGTCTGAATGGTCGTGTAGCGACTCGTGCAGCCTAGCGGTTTCGGACTCCGTCAGGAGCTTGCTCCTGACATCACTGCCCCACGCGTCGCCTTTGGAGTGTACCACCTCGCCTTGCCCGTCTTGGTCATGATTGGCATTCTTCTGCTCTCCTTCGTGGTGGTGCATGTGGTGGTGCCTTTGGGGCAGCGTTTCGGCTTCTCCTTCAACGAGTCCGGACGTAGCATGAACCATCTGCGCAAGATCATAGACCCGATGCTCAAAGAGGTTTTGCGCAAACCCGTCGCCGAAGCCTCCATCACAACGTCGCGTACTTCTGACGCCTTATCCTGGGCGGACTTGCAGCGCACGGGCACCTTGGGGAACCTCACCACGGCTCAGTTGCAGCAAGCGGCGGAGAACCCGGATGGCTTCTTGCGCACGGCTGCAGCCGGGTCGCGAGAGCTCCTGGTCAGCGCCTGTGCGGCTCGTGCTGCCCAGCTGCATCCACAGGCCGAGGCCCAGGAGCTTTACCAAGAGCTGGCGAAGGCACCGCCACAGCTGAACTTGACATGCTGCAGACTTCCTGTTTGAAGAGCTGTGACATTCTCTGTTGCAATCGCACTTGCGCAGGCGGATCTCCGGCACTTCCTGACCGCGGACTTCGCCACTCGGTCTCCGGATTTTACGGCAATGCTGGACAAGGTCTTGGATGCGGCATTCACCTTCGACGAGGAGACCGTGCCCGTACCGAAGGAAGGCCCTGAGCAAGAAGAGGCTGATGAGCTCCGGCTCGTGGGCTCGGAGCACGCGCCTCGCGACGTCGTGGTCGCCTTGCCCACGGACGCAATGCGCGGAACCAAGAGCTGAGCTGCCCGTATTTCCGCCTCCTGAGCGTCGTGCGTTTTGCTCCCGAGGCCAGAGAAGAAACCTGGGGAACAGAGCACCTTGAGCTTTACATCTTTGGAAAACCGAGCAAGCCTGATGGACTCTCTAAATTTCGGCCTCTTCTCGCCGGCACCTCGCTTCGTCGAGCTCGCATACCAGAGCGTGCCCATCATTTGGGTGAGCCTGGTCTCTCTATGGCCTGGTCTACTGTCCAGCTTCCTGCAGATGATCTGGTGCGTGTCAGTTCAGGAAGACGATGTGCTGGTGAGCCGCCTGCTGCCCAACCCTTCCGTCATTTGCTGGTCCGACGAGCACCTGGTTTCTGCGCGCTTCGCCATCGCTGGGCTCGTCGTGTGGTGCCTGGGCATACCGATTGTGCTGGCCACCGTCTTGTTTCGCCTCCCGGATAGGCAGGCTCCTGACAACTTCAGGCTGGGCGAGAGACGGGGCCATGCAGGGTGCGCAAGACTTGAACGATGCTCTGATGCGCAGGCGCTTCGGCTTTTTCTTCCAGGGCCTGGAGCGACAGTTTTGGTGGTGGGATCTCCTCGTTAAGCGCTTCGCCGTGGCCTCAGATCGAAAACACCTCCGGCGAGTGCTTGTCTTTGCAGTTTTTTGTGAAAGATTCGCAGTGCCTCGAGAGATTCTATAGAGTACAGCAGCAAAGTCAGCATAGGCTGCACTGAATATGTGGTCCGCACAGTGCGGCACATTTGAGTACTTAAGCTCCATGTTCGGGCCAAAGATGTGCATTTTCTCAGGACTTGGCGCTGATGATGCTGGTCGCCTACACATCCGTCGTGCCGGATCCTAAGGCCAAGCTTGCGCTCTTCCCGGTCCTCTCGGGCTTCCAGGCAGCACAGCCCTACTATGCCCATAGGCCCTAACCCATCGCAGCCCTGCGTTGAATAGCCGATAGCCGATTGGATGGGCGCAGTTGTACGCGGAGAGACGGGGAGGGCGGAACAAGAACATGTGAGGGCGCAGTGAATTGCTTGCTGCACGCAGCGAGAGGGAGGAGAGGGCGGAGAAGCGGCTGCCCCACACATGCAAAGGGAAGCAGTGACAACAGACGTTGATGGAGTTGCGGCTTGCCGTAGCGCATAAGTAACACCTGTGGTCGGCGGTCCAACGCATGCCCGCACCCAAGCCTTGCCCTGCGAACCCTCCTGCTGTGCATTCGGAATACCTACCTGACTTAGAGTGGGGCGGAGCTGTTGTTCCCTGTGACTGATCTGTTCTCCCATCCATTTGCCCCCGAGCCTGCTGTGCACGCTTGGTCTGCAGCAGGCGCTGCTGGCATCGTGGGTCCGGCCCTATGCAAACGACCAGGCTGAGGTGCTGGACGTCTTGGAGGCCATGGCCGCGCCATCCGCTTGATTTAGTAGGGCCTCTCGGCTCTCAAGGGCTTTCCGCGAGCTTCCTGCAGGTGACACTGTGCTCGATCCGGTTTCTGCTCTTCAGCGGAGTGGCGCTGCTTCTCAATCTGGAGACACCGACAGAGACGGCTCACACGCCACTGTGCCGATACCCTGAAGCTCCTAAGCCCTGTTTCCCATCACCGGTCCCAACCTGAACCCAAGCCAGGGTGGCCTACCTCCTCCTGCTGGTCTTGGTGCTCGCCTGCCTTTACTTCTTCGTCCACTTCACAGCCCAGGTCTGGCCAAGACACCAGACGGTGACGTCAGTTTTGTAGGTCTAAGCGAGTAAATGCATACGACATCAGGATCGCGGTCTATCGTCAAATGCTGCTTGTCCATCGTGGTTACTATTCGTAGGCCTTAGCTAGCTGTCACTGTCGCTGTCGTGATCGTCTTTACATATCTGCAGTCGTATCACTGTTATCCGATATCGACTTAGGTACCAGTGCCAGTACCAGGCTGTCAGATTGGTGCCCGAAGCCCCAAATCAGAATTGGGCTTGGGTTTCTTCTGGAACCCGTGTTTTTTTTGGAACTGTCGTTTTTTTTTTTTTTGCCCTGGGCAGGCCCGGTGCTCAACAGCTTCTTGAGTATGCATGGACAGAGTCCGAAGCAAGCCCTCCGCCTTGTCCAGGGCTTTGTTTGTATCTCCATCAACGTCGGCAACCCCGACATGGTCAAAAAAAAGTTTTCTCTCCCACGCACGGATTTTCTTCTGCCTCGCCACGTATCCTTGACCAAAAAGGTCTTCTCCTCAGCGGACAGGGCTTTCAACGGCCCCTTTGGTCCCCGGATCGAGATGCCTCGGGCCCGGGATGTTGAGACAAAAGCCCTCCTAACCCAACGACGGGTTTTGAAAGTCGCCTCGTGCACCCCTTGCCACCTAGAGGTCTTAAAGAATGCCCTCTCCCTGCCACAATGGGATTCAATTAGGCCTTGCGGTTTTCATGGCCCCTGAGGCAAAAGGAACGAATGAAGCCTCGGGGAGGGCAGAAAACACCTGGACAGGCCACACAAGGCTTTGTTTTACTTTTTGACAAGGCTTCATCCAGACGTGCCGGTATCGTCTGGGTGTTTCGCGCTTATGTTGTTAGTCCTCCACGCAATGCCCGACGAATTCGCACGGTTATGCAGGGTTCGATCACTGTCACGCCTTTCCCGGGCTCGGGCTTCCGGTTCTCAAATTCTCCAGTTGCTTTCGAGCAGTTTGCTCCACCTTCTTAAATTTCTTAGTCCTTTTCTCGAGCGGTTTGCTGCTTTCGAACGGTTTGCTCCTTGTTCTGTTCCTTTGGAGCGGTTTCCTGCGTGTTCTCAAAGTCTCTAGTTTCTTTCGAGCGGATTGCTCCCGTGTTCTCAATCAAATTCTCCAGTCCTTTTCGAGCGGTTTGCTCTTGTGTTCTCAAATTCTCTAGTGTCTTTAGAGCGTGTTGCTCCTTGCTCTCAAATTTTTTAAGTATCTTTGGGGCAGTTCGTTCCTGGTGTTCTGAACAAGTTTTCTAGTCTCTCTCAAGCGGTTTGTGCCTTGTTCTCAAATTCTCTAGTCTCTTCCGAGCAGCTTGCTCCTTGTTCTCAAATTCTCGCGTTTCTTTCGAGTGGTGAGCTCCTTGTTCTCAACATCGCTGGTCTCTCTCTCTGGGCGGCTTGATTTTTGTTTTCAATGACTCCAGTCTCTTTCAATCTCGCCGGGGCGGTTTGCTCTTTTCTGTCAATTTCACTCTTCTCTGTTGAGCGGTTTGCCACTTGTCGCAAATTCTCTAGACTTTTGTGAGTGGTTGGCTCCTGGTTCTCAAGTTGTCTAGTTCCGTTCGAGCCGTTTGCTCTTTGTCTCCTTGTTCACAACCTCCCCAGTTTAGTTTCAGCGGTTGGCTCCTTCTGTTCCTTTGGAGCGGTGTCCTCCTTGTTCTCGAAGTCTCTAGTCAGTTTCGAGCGGTTTGCCCCTTGTTCTCAACTTCTCTAGTCCTTTTCGAGAGGTTTGCTCCCGTGTTCTCGTGTCTTTGGAGCAACTTTGCAGTCTTTTTCCTCACATCTCTCCAGCTCCATTCGCTTGGTCTGCTCTTTGTTCACAAATCCTCTAGCGGTTTGCTCTTTGTTCTGAGAGTCTCTAGGTCCCTTGTTCTCAAATTCGCAAACTAGTTTTGCTCCTTCTTCTCAAAATCTCTGGTCGTTTTCGGGCGGTTTGCTCCTTGTTCTCAAACTCTCTAGGTCTCTAGCCTCTTTCGAGCCGTTTGCTCCGTGTTTTCCAATTCTCTAGTCCGTTTTGAGCGGTTTGCTCCTTGTTCCCACATTAATTCCCTAATCTATTTCGAGCAGTTTGCTCCCCATTTTCTGTAAGCTTTTCGAACTTTGGCTCCTTGTTCTCGAATTCTCTAGTCTCTTTCGAGCGGTTAGTTCCTTTTCTCGAGTTCTCGAGTCTTTGAATCGCTCTCAAACTCGCTACTCTGTTTCGAGCGGTTTGCTCGTTGTTCTCAACTTCTCTTGTTTCTTTTCGAAAGGTTTGCTCCTTGTTCTCAGGTTGGGCGGTTTGCTCCTGGTTCTCAAATTCTCTAGTCTCTTTCAAGCGTTTTGTTACCTGTTCTCATGTTCTCCATCTTTTCGCCAGCGGCTGGTTCACCAATCTCTGGTCGTTTCCGAGCGGTTTGCTCCTTACTCTCAAGTTCGCTAGTGTCTGTCGAATGTTGCTCCTTGTGTTCTCAGATTTGCTGGCTGTTTTTTCGGAGCGAGTTGCTATTCCGAAGTCAAAGTTCTAATTTCTTTCGCTTGCTCTGCTCTTTGTTCTCAATTCCCGAGTCTCTTTCGAGCGGTTTGCTCTTTCTCAAAATCTTTAGTCTCTTTCGAGCGGTTTGCTCCTTGTTCTTAAATTCCGTAGTCTGTTTCGAGCGGTTTGCTCGTGGTTCTGAAATTCTGTGGTCTTTTTCGAGGGGCTTGCTGCCAGTTGTTAACTTCCCTAGTCTCAGTGGATCGGTTTGCTCGTTGCATTGTCAAGCCTTTGTCTAGTTTCTTTACAGCGGTTTGCTCCTTGTTCAACAAGTTTTCTGGTCTTTTTCGAGCATTTTGCTCCTTGTTCTCAAATTCTCTAATCTCCTTCGAGCGGTTTGCTCTTTGTCCTCAAACTTTGTGGTCTTTTTTGCGTGGCTTGCCCCTTGTTCTCAAACTCCCTAGTCTCTTTCGAGCGGCTTCCGCCGTGGTCTCAAGCTCTCTCATCTCTGTGTGCGCCTTGTGTTCTGAATATATATATGTATATACATAAATGATATATATATATACACTGTTTTTTGCGTGGTTTGCGTTTCTGTGTTCAAACCTTTTGGTTTCTTTCGCCTGGTTTGCTCCTTGTTCTTAATTCTTTACTCTTTTTCGAGCGGCTTGCTCCTTGTTCTCGAAATCTCAAGCCGTTTTCGAATGGCTTGCTCCTTGTTTTGAAATTCTTCAGTCTCTTTCGAGCGGCTTGCTCCTTGTTCCCAGAATCTGTAGTACCTTTGGAGCTGTTTGCTCCTTGTTGTGTTTGCTATCTCTAATCTCTTCGGGAGGTTTGCCCCCTGTTCTCAACGGCTCTGATCTTTTTAAGCGGTTTGCCTTCTTTCTGTCCCCTTCGAACGGTTTGCCCAATTGCCGCAAGACCCCTTGCTTCTTTCTCTCAGTTTCTTTAGTCTCGGTCGCTTGGTTTGCTCTTTGTTCTCAAACTCGCCAGTCCTTTTCGAGCGGTTTGCTCCTTGTTCTGAAATTCTCTAGACCCTTTCGAGCGTCTTGCTCCTTGTTATTACTTTTTGAACTCTTTAGTCTCTTTTAAGCGGTTTGCTTCTTATTCTTTTAGTCAAATTATCTGGTCTCTTTCGAGCGGTTTGCTTTTTGTTCTGAAATTCCGTAGTCTCTCTTTCGAGCGGGTTACTGCTTGTTCTCAAATGCTCGAGTCTCTTTCGAGCGGTTCGCTTGGTGTTCCCTTTCTCCAGGCCCCTTCGAGCGGTTTGCTGCTTTGTCTCAAATTCTCTAGTCTATTTCGAGCGGTTTGCTCCTTGTTCTCAAATGCTGTAGTCTCTTTCAAGAGGTTTGCTCCGCGTTCTCAGTCTTTGGTCTTTTTTGAGTGGAACTATATAAGAACTTTCTACGGTCGATTAGGTTATTTTGCCTCCTTAAAGATTCTGTTGTTCCTGGGGTCTTAAACCCCCCCAACCCAGGGCGTGAAAAAACCCTGTATGGTCGGTTAGTTCGGCTTAGACCCCAAACCCTGAGGATCTGAACAGGGTGCGAAAAAAGACCCCAAGCGAGAAAGTGAGCATGGGGAGCCTTTTCGGGATGTGAAAAAGCCCCGCCCATCAGAAATTCCTAAATCCTAAAGTCGTCAACTAGAAGCTTCTAAACCTTAGCGGTCCTAAACCTCAAACTCGTGAACCTTAAACCCTTAAGCATTAAAGCTTTTAACCCTAACTGCCGGAGGTCCTTCAGGATGCAGCGACCTGGAAATCGTTAGGCCAGCCTTTTGCAAAGCACCTGCTGGCTTTGGAGTTTGGTAGGGTTTAGGTTTTAGGGCTTCGCGAGTTCGAGTTAGGGGTTCAAGGTTTTGAGTACAGGTTTCTGGAGAGAACCTTTTTGTCCCCTAAACCCTCAACGCAGTGGCAGCCCCTTGGAGGTTGGTTTCCGCGCTTTCTGATCGAGTTGGCACTGCCCTTGCTTACAGAGGCGTGGGCTTCATGAAGGGTGCACACTGAGTTGGAGCACATGTTACGTATGTCCATGCCATAATCATCATAAAAGATACTATACTTTTTGGTAGGTTTGAGTGGGTTCGATCAGATCAGGTTTTGTTTCGTACTATATCGTCTTATCTTGTATTCCACATTTCAATAGCAGACCGGGTTATTGTGTGTTTTTCGATTATTGTGGTATATTTCATTGTGTTGTATTATAATATGTCATATTACGTTAAGCTTTCTTGTTTCGAGAGATCTTTGCTTGTAGTGGTATCATATTGCATTATATTCCATTGCCTCGGATTGTGTGCATATTTTTGTATAACTTGATTTGGATATGGTCTGTATCATTTTATCTGCCACATATCATAGGCTACAAAATACGTCACACTATAATATGAATTTCTGGTGTATTACATATGACATAGCATGTTTCCCATGTTTTACAGCGTATATATATACACATATACTGCATCGTCTAGTATCTATCACATATAATCTGTGATTCGTCATCTCCCATATATCATCTACTGGATATTGCCGATTATTTGCTATGTGTTTTCCTTTGTGTATTATCTGGTGTCGATAAGTTGTTACATGTTTTACATGTTAACTGTGCTACTGCAATAGTGTATGTTTATATTGTCAATATATACAGCAGTTTTTGTCATGTACATGTTTCTATCGTACATCATATTGCGAAATGCCATGTTACATTTTACACCATTAGATCATACTTTGCTGTAATGTGTTTTTATGTTGTGGCATACTATGCCATATTATGTTTGTATGTTCTAGCACATTGACTCTTTGTCATGGTTAAACATATAGATGCTACTGTAGTATGTTTTTCTTCGTATTATAGTTTACATTATATCAGTATACCGCAGCATATCATATTATTTTGTATTCGTTTCTCGCATATTCTGTTATTTTACAGTAGCTATTAACCCTACCATATTCTGTTATACTACATCTTGTTCTCATCTATGAAGTCCATGGTATTGGGTTTTGGTCGTATTGTAATATATCCCAGTAGATTTAAGTATATATCATAATAGGATACCATTACCTTGTATTGCCTTGTCTTTTTAATTTATATATACACAAATAGAACCATATCTTCGATGGTACAATGTTGTTGTTGGGGTCATTTACCAAGCTATATCAAGTTACATCCGTTTGTGAAATCCGATCATAGCTTTAGGATATTACTCAGCTTACAAGGTCCGTGCCCACTTGGGACTGGGCCACAGCCAGAAAGGTTAACTCTTCGCGTCCACATTCTGGATGACGGCAGGTATCTGCAGATGATAGGGCTGGAATATCCAACACCGGCAGTACCTTCACAAGTTCGTACTTATCTGTTTTTCGCTTCCATAAACTTCAGTCCGCAAAGCGGGTTGAAAGGCTATCTTGTTGAGGGTAACCTTACACCCTGAACCCGTCCGAGGGTTCTGCTTTGCTCGTCGTAAACCCTAAACCCTGAACCCTCACCGAAGACCCGAAAATCCTGGACCCCAAACCTTTGGAGCAGTGACCGACGCAGGCGCAGTCAGAATCTCTTGAGCTGCTCTGGTCTTTGTCATCGGAGAAGATCACACTGACGACTGCGTCACTTGATGCAAGGCACGCATTGTGTGCCAGAGAAAGGGTGTTGTGCGCGACATGTCACTACCCTAATCCTAAATCCAAAACCCAGGTCCGGTTGTGGGCATTGGGTTTGGAGCGGCTAACAACGAGAAAACAGGAGCAGCAAAACCCACAGTCCACGACCCTGTCTCACATGCAAGCAGATGGTGCCAGGAACAGCGGACAAACGTCGAAAACGGCCCTCGGCAAGATCTGTAGCTTGGACGATCTGAATGGCAAGCTTAGGGTTCAGGGTTTAGGGTTTGGGCTACGGGTTCAGGTTTTAGGATTTATTTCATTTTTTGGGGTGTCCGTCGACTTATCTTGAGCTTTGCGCCCGACAATGCATGACAACTCCACCGAGCTTTGTCTGTATGCTTCGACAGACAGGTAGATAAGCAGCATGTCCATGTTGAGGGTCCAGGGTTTAATGATAAGGGTGTCGGGGGGTAAGGATGTTTAGGTTAAGGGTTTAGGGTTTAGGGCCTATAGGTTGTAAGGGTTCGAGTTAACACCTCTGTACCTCAATTCTCCGACCCATTGGGTGTAGTCTGTTTCCCATACGTGTTGACGTTTTACAGATCGCTTGACAGCCTGAATGGTTTCTAAACAACCTGCCATAAATACAGTATCACATGAAGCTCCGTTTGCATGCGTAGAGCTCATGTCCCCAAACACGAAGTCGAGCATGTCTTGCAAGCTCATGAATTTACCGCAGCACCTAGGTATCAAAGCGTGGCTGGTGCTACGGCAGATGAGTAAAGCTGTTTTACGACATGGTCCTCTCTTCCAGCAAGCTGCGGTTGCGAAGGCCACGGTTTCGGGGTCAGGAAGGATACCCAAGCATGCAGGTGCAGCTATCAAGCACAGCATGTGTGTACACGTGAACAGCTGTTTGTCAGTGTGCCGATCTCCGTACACACACACACACAAAAGTACATGCGGGCCTAATCTGCATATGTGCATACCTGCGACTTGGATATGCCTACTTCTGTCTGGTTGTTTTATACATACATCCTATACATACACACATGCATACATACCCACCTACCTACTTGCCAACCTACATTCATACATACATACATACATACATACATACGCACATACATACGCACACATACGCACACGCACACACACACACATACAGTGACACCCACTCACACATATACATATATATATATATATATACACACATATATATATACACATACATATACATATACATATACATATACATATACATATACATATACATATACATATACATATACACATACACATACACATACACATACACATACACATACACATACACATACACATACACATACACATACACATACACATACATATACATATACATATACATATACATATACATATACATATACACATACATATACATATACATATACATATACATATACATATACATATACATATACATATACATAATATACATATACATAATATACGTATACATAATATACATATACATAATATACATATACATAATATACATATACATAATATACATATACATATACATATACATATACATATACATATACATATACATATACATATACACACACACGCGGCTGGAATGGCCGCAGCAGCGCGGAACTATCGTTAGCCCCAGTGCCCATGGAGGGCACGCCTTCATCTGGTGCCGCGCTTGCGAGGCGGCATGCAGATCTTTGTCAAGACCCTGACAGACAAGACGATCACGTTGGACGTTGATGCCAGCGGCACGTTGAATAATGTCAAGGCTCAGTCCCAAGATAAGGCAGGCATCTCGCCCGGCCAGCAGCACCTGATCTTTCCTGGCAAGCAGCCAGAAGACGGCCGTACTGTTTCGGACTACAACATTCAGAACTTGTCGACCCTTCACTCGGCGATGCGTTTGCGAGGCGGCATGCAGATCTTTGTCAAGATCGTGATGATCAACTTGGACGTTGAGGCCAGCGGCATGTTCGACAATGTCAACTCTAAGTCCCACGATAAGGCAGGCATCTCGCCCGGCCAGCAGCACCTGATCTTTGCTGGCAAGCAATTGGAGGACGGCCGTACTCTTTCGGATTACAACCTCCTGAAGGAATCGACCCTTCACTTGGCGCCGCACTTGCGAGGCGGAATGCAGATCTTTGTCAAGACACTGACGGGCAAGACGATCACCTTGGATGTTGAGGCCAGTGGCCTTTCGACAATATTAGACGAAGTGTGCGGCAGTGCCGTAGCCATCGGCTTCACTGGTTCCTTCGTGTACCAGGCCGGGTCTATGCTCTTGCAGCAGCAGCTGAAGATCGATGACCCGGTGGATGCCAGCAACCTAGCAGCTTTTGTGATATCTTACTTGCTTGATGTGTTATATGTGCTCGGCATGCGTGCTTGTATATGCGCTGTCACTGTGCATGCATGTATGTCTTGAGCGGGCACGGTTCATTTGACGATCGTGTGGGGTGTAGCTTTGCTGTTTGCCTCCCCCCAGCTCTGGAGGAAGAGGCGTAAAGCTTTTGTTTGAGATACCAATAGATTTGTGCAGGGATTGCCCCATTGACTCCTTGAGGCCGATCCTGCACCATGTAGCGGGTAGTGGTGCTCTGGTGATTGCCTCCCGGGCCCCAGGAGGAACTACCCAGAGTCTTCGTACAGCTGCTGGTTTGCTTGCTAGGCTTTTGACTTTTGATTTTTGACTGGGGCGGATGTCTGGAGACGACTTTTCGGTCCACGCGACCTGTCGGTTACATCTCCTGAATCTGAGCTGCAGTCCTTTCCTGAGTGCATACTGGCGGGGAGAGTGCATAATGCATCTTTGCTCCTGTCAGATTTCTGCTCCAGGTACCCGTCTTTAATTAGTTTCTGCATGCCCAAAGGGCCACGTTCTACTTGAACTCTACGCTCTACGCCCCAAAAGCGAGAAAGGCAAGATACACACACACACAAATAAGTACATACACACAGGCATAAACATTTTCTTGCATGCGGAGGTGTACGTGCGTGCACGCTGCATACATGTACCGTCGTATTTCTTTGCATATCGCTTCTTCTCTTTGTCTACCTGTCTGTCTGTCTGTCTGTCTGTCTGTGTCTTTCAAAACCTGAGAACTTTAATGATCTGAAAAAATGAACCGCAAATCATCAAGATTATCCTACTTTGATTTACTCGGATGTGTGATCAGTTGGTGCGTGTAAAGTCATACATATGTCCTTCTATTCATGCTTCTTGCACTCACATTTACAGGGCATTAGTATAGACAAGCATACATGCGCGAGTGAAGTACATCAGTAATCGATCAGGCTTCGATACTGGTCTTGTCTCGAACTGCCAGCAAGTCTTTTGAGTCTCAAACTGTTTATCGTGGTCCGCAAGGCTTGTGAGTATCGAGGAAGGCCAACAACGCCTGTTGCAGTACCTCACCCCCGGTTTATCAGCCTTGGAAGGCCAACGACGACTTGCTCGTACTCTGGCTTCAGCTTGGGTCGAAGCTGCCTTCACAGCTGCCCTCACCGAAGCACGCCTGTGCTCTTGCAACAGCGTGCAAGGCATTGCCGCGCTCGCTGGTGAAAAGCCGCATCTGCGTTTCATGGATGCACCAGCTCGAAGCACTTGCCCAGCAAGATCCGCCCTTCAGATGCAACCCCAAAGATCTGGAGCAAGCGGTTCAGCAACTTGGGAGACTGTCGTCAGAAGACGGTTCCATGCTGATTGAATATGTCGTATCTTTGTGCGATGCGTACATCGAGCCAGAAGCTCCACTTGAATTTTGATCCGATCTGCACGAAGTGCTTCACCTTAAACATCTTCTGTTCGAAATCGAGCACAGCAAATTCGGACTGCTCCGATGCAATTTCCGGCTGGCCCGAAGGCTCCTGCGAGCCGCAGAACTTGCTCTCAAGTTGAGCTTCAAAATATGTGCGCGGTGCCAAGCGGCATGATATGAACTCTACTGTTACTAGACTCTGTAGGCTTTTTCTGGCAGCAGCACGCACATTCTGCACAGCCCGAAGGCATCAAGCTCATGTATCGGCTCATGCAAGACTTGCTCTCAAGTTGAGTGTCACATGATATGCGTGGTGGCAAGCGGCAAGATACGCAGAAGGTTTGATTATTCATGTACTAGCCATCTTCCGAAGCCTCCTATGAATCTGTGCAGGTTTGCTTGCCGGCAGCCACCGTGCACATTCCGCATAGCTTCAGCGTCAAGCTAATGCTTCAGATCATGTTGATGGCCTTAGTCTCCATCCTACAACTGTAAACCACTAACCCGTACACGGTCCTGAACCCTACCAGGCTACTTGAGGCGAGGTACTCTTCACTCTCGGCAGAATGGCCTTGCTCAGGAATTGGTCCTTTTAAAGGGGCCTGCCCTTTTTTTTTCTCCTGAGCGGGGCCTCGCCAGATGCGTGCCGGCATCTTTTTACTCCCCCAAAGGGGCGCTTTTTTACTCGTATTCGCCCGCCCGCCGCCCTTCAGGCAGCTCGAGCTTTTGCTCTGGCATGTTCACGGGGTACTGTTGTGCTACCGGGATAGAGCCGCTTTCTTTCAGATCTGCAAGGTCCTCTCATACAGCTTTGAAAGCCTGCGAACTACGAACTGCCGAGTCTCCGTGCGGCACGGGTTCGGAATTCCAGATGCATGCGCGGTCAAAAGGCAAGAATGACATGATCTTCGCCCACACGCCAGTTGAAAGCAACAAACTACTAAACATAACCAGGAATCCATCACCCGCACTCGTGTAGTCATCTGAACCGCAGCCACTCGGAAAAACATTTCGACTGATGTTGGCGTTTCCATACCACTAGCACCACCATCATAGTTATCATAATGATTAGCATCATGATGATGGTGATGACTATCACCCTTGCCATTACCATCACCATCACCATCATCGTTGTTTCTATCTTCATTATTACTGCTGCAACGACCACCAGTGCTGCGACCGATACTGTGACTGCTACTGTGACTGCTACAGCGACTGCGACTGCTACTTCGACTGCCACTCTCGGGTGCTGCAGGAAAATGTGGTCTGAGCTTGCCAACCAAAGATATTTCTCTTGAGATTCCAGTTGGATGTTCAAGCCGTCGATGCGTTTTTGCCGCAACCAGTGGGCTGGCTCCAGCTGATTGCTCCTGCGCTTTGACCTTCGAGCAGAGGCGACGCGTGAAGAAATGACAAGATGTGCTGGGAGTCCAGAGCCCTCAACCCTAAACTCAAAGCCCAAAACTCCTGAAAGCCTTTAAAGGGACCACACAGTTTCCTTGACCGGTCAGGATCATGGCGGCGCGTTGGATCATTTTCATGACCGGCTTCGTGCAAGGCAATCGCAGTGGGGATCTGGGATCTGCACACACAAGTCAGTGTTCAAGCTTCCATTCAACAGCAAGCTGGCCATGGGCTGCCCCTAAACCCTAAACCCAAAACCCTAAACCGATGTAGAGAAGAGGTGAACTGGTTGTGATTGGTTTTCTAGAAGCGCATTGGCTGATTGTCTCCGCCCACATGCAGCCCTGTGGCGGACAGCTGAGTTGGCCAGCCTTGATTGCTTTGGGCAACTGCGTGTTTCTGGGCAAGGCAGCCTCAACTTTCTGCCTGCAGGTTCCCTTGACGTCCAAACAGAACCCATGCTCCTTGCAAAACTTGCATCTACCCTAAACCCCAGACCCCTAAACCCCCCAACTCCTAAACCCTAAATAGTGTCTCGGGCAAGCAGTGTAGGCCGTCGCCTTTCACGTGGGCTGCAGGTGCATTGAGTTCACCGGCGTGGCAAGTAAACGTGGGGCTCGAGCCCAAGAGGTCCTGCATCGTGTCGATGCATCATGAGCTTCAGAAATGAAGATTGTAAAGAAAGTGGCTGTAGTTGTGGTTGTGATCTTTGATTACCCCGCTTAGTCGGCTTCAAGCTTCCCTGCTCAGTCCCTTGATCTACCATTTAGGGTTACGACATGTCCAGTGCATCCTTTGCAAACAGCAGGAGTGGAAGCCACGACCACCTAGGCCATGCACGATCGAAAAAGATGGCTGCATTGCCAGCACAGACGTGTTGGACGACCAGATGCATGACATCTCCTGCTTGATCGGACTCGAACATGGCGGCAGGCGGAGCGATGCTAACGGGGTCATTCCGCTTGGCAGCGTCGCATGCGTGGACATTTGTATTTCGGCATATGTGCACACTTTTACTTTTCTGGGCCATGTCGTGTGCACATCACTCTGGGCCTTGTGACGACGACGACGATGATGATGATGATGATGATGGCGCTGGTGATGGTGATTGTAAGCATGGTGATGACGATATGTGCGATGTACACTGCCCACAACAATGACGGTTCTGCTGCCTTTGTGATCTTCTGTGATGCTGTGCTTGCGGCTCTTACTGTCAGTCAGCCTTTCTAAGTAACCACTGAGCTCAGTGAAGGGCCATGGAGATCGAGATTGTGCCTGTCGCGGTCAACGACACCCAGCAGGCCAACATGAAGCCGGAGAGCATTCAGTTCAGGTTTGGTCCGTCTCTTGCGTGTCTGACCCTTCTTGCAATGTGCCATGGCCTGAGGTCCTCGCAGAGTCCAGACATTGCGAAACAAAGTACCGAAATGCCATTTTTGGGGCGAGGCATTTCTTTGTACCTGCAGTTTTTCTTTTGTTTGGACATTTCGGGAAAGTCTAAGGACGTTTCTACATCCACCCGTTCACAAACAGCAAGCATCCTCAAGCTCTGGAACAAGCGAAAACACCGCAGGGCTGGAAGCTGTGCCGTGCTGATGAGGACAGGGCGCGTTGCATGGCGTTTGGCCTAGGGCCAAGGGTTCCCAGTCGCTGGACCTAGTCCAGGCTCTGAAGGTGTGCAGGCCGAAGCATGACCCCTGTTTTCTGGCACCACATGCCCATGCATTTGGGTTACAGACTCCGGACTGCAGACCTGACATGCAGCGCCAGAATCCCGCTCTTCTTAGTGAGGAGGCTGCAGTGGTGGCGTGGTCAAAGGACGAGACGGCGCCAGGGGAAGGCTCCTACATGTTACATAAAGTAAAGGTCTCTACAAGTGTTATTGCGGGGGTTGCTATGAGGGTTATTGTGAGGGTATGAGGGGACCCCCATGGGAAGGCGTGATGGCGAATGGACACGGAGCAATTCAGATGGACTTGCTTTCTACGGCTGTGCAGAAAGCATAGTGCTGAGCCCATTTTGCAGTCACACCTATGAAGATCTCTGCAGAATGATTTGTCGATGGGGCAGCTGGTGTTTTTCCGCTTGACTGATTCTTCCATACACCGCAGCCTAAAGCTGCAAGTTTGCGCTGTCTAGGCTCACCTGCTTGGAAGCTTGTCAGTGGGTCCACGCCCCAGCTGCTGCTGTCCTTCTACCTATAGGGCTACATTCGGTCACCCCCGTGCGAGCGCGCCCACAGCGCACACGCGCGCGCACACAATATCGCTCTCACGCAGAAGCACGCACCCGCCAGCCCTGCTACGGACAATGTTTGCCAGTCCGTGAACCCCAGTAACTCGCAAGGTTTTGGTGTCTGACGCACAGATCTGCGTGCATTCGTTGAAGGATTCGAAGGGCCGCCAAGGTTTTGCACGCTCGTGGTCTCAGCGATGCTCCTTGTGGACATTTCCACTGGTACAACCCAGACCACGGCTTCAACTCATCAGCATTCCTCAGCAAGGCTTCTTACGCTGCACATGGGTTGCGGCACTCGAAGGGAAGGCTTAGTGCTTGCAGGTTCAGCTTTACCGCTATGTCTTGTTTGCACCCACTCTCCACTTTCTACTCTTTTTGCGGCCAAGGCCGTGCAGACTGGGAGGAGATTGCATCCTGAGGGCTCCGGACGCCTGTGTTGTCCAAGTTGCTCCCGGGGACAGGCTCACCTGGGCTGAAGTTTCTCCTTCTTTTGTGCGATGTCAGTGCGACTTCCCCCGCCCCCGCAAGAGGTCCATCGTGTTCCGGGCCTTCTTGACCGGAAGGCACCGGGACCTGGACCTGGACGAGGCCCGAGAAACGCGCCAAGGCTTCTTGTTCCGCCGCCGCCAGCCGCGAAGCTTTGCCCTGCTCAGGATGGTGCCGGGAGCGTTCTTTGCATGACGTCACACGGCGAGTCTTCTCAGGAGCAGGGAGGAAGCAGTCCCGGAGCTCGTTTGTGCATCTCGCTCTCTCTTGGCGAGGAGCCTCGCCTTCGTGCACTCCAGGCCTCCACCCCTGCCACGCCTCTGGCCACGTCGAACTGGTCCGAGGTGGTCAGCTGCGACTTCGAGGCGCAATAGGACCTGAGACTCCTTTGAGCCTTTAGATGAGGAGCTGCCCTGAAGATGCGAGAAGCTGTGAGGCCAACTTTTGCGGGTGGTCGAATGGTGACAACGCCTGGCGGCCTCGTTCCGGATCGACTCCATCATCAGACACGGGACCAGAGCAGGCAGCAGAAGGGGACTGGTACGTCTACGTAGAGTCGAGCTCCAATGCGAACAAGGCTGGGTGTATCAACAAAGCAAAGGGTCGCGCGCCAGAGCCTGGTCGCAGAAATGCACGACAGGAGTTCATCCTGACCAGCGGCATCTTCGACACTTCACCAGCAACGCGGCATCTCCATTTCTATTTCCATATGTTTGGGAGACACTTGCAGACGGGCAGCCTGCGAATGGACGCGTTGCGAAGCAGTGGCTGGACGCAAGTGTGGTTGCGAATCGGAGAGCAAGGGATGCAATGGGGCACAGCATTGGTGAGTCTACCGCAGGACGCCGCAGCTGTGCGCTTCGTCGGCATCACAGGTGACAGCTGGAGGAGCGACATTGGGCTGGATGGCATCGCCGCTGGGCTCCCCACTGTGGAGTTCGATCAGCTCTCTTGTGAGTTCGGTTTCGACACCTGCCTGTGGCAAAGCACTGGGGCCTCTTCATGGCAGCTTGCGGAGGACGCGGATGGCCAGTGGCTGGAGGCTGTGCAGAGTGGTTCCCAAGCTTCGCAATGGATCTTGGAAACCGCGGCGATCTTCAACACCACTAAGGAGAAGGCCTTGGTTTTCGACTATGAGTTGAACGGCTCGGGAACCGTGGCGTTGGAGCTACAACACCAAGCCTCCGCTACTGGGGGCTGGCAGCGTTTGTGGACGCAGTCAGGCAGCCGCGGCGCAGGTTGGCATGCCGCCATCGTCACCATCCCTTCTTCCACGATGAGCCTGCGCTTGCTTGCCAATAGCACTGACGACGCAGATGTCGTGCGGATCGACAGGCTCCATGCAGCGGACGTCCTGCACGACTGGAGCTCCATTTCCTGTGATTTTGAATCCGACTTCTGTGCTTGGTCCACCAGTTCGCACCCATGGCTGCGAGAAAAAGGGACTACTTCTAGCTCAGGTACCGGGCCGGACGAGGCTGCAGAAGGTGACACGTACATTTATACAGAAGCCAGTGACAATGAGAACAAGGCCGGACCACTTCAGAAAGCTAAGCAGAATGCACAATGGTAGTTCTTCACAAGCCCTTGTGCAGGCTTTCATTCTCACCAGCGACCTGTTCGACCCATCACCGGAAGCTCGGCATCTCCGTTTCTATTTCCACATGTATGGTGAGGACACAGGCAGCTTGCGAATGGAGACGTTGCGAAGCAGTGGCTGGAGACAGCTGTGGTCTCGCATCGGAGAGCAAGGGACGCAATGGGGCCTGGCACAGGTGATGTTGCCGCAGGATGCGTGGGCTGTGCGTTTCATCGGCATCACAGGCAGCGACTTCAAGAGTGACATTGGGCTGGATGGCATCGTCGCTGGGCTCCCCACTGTGGAGTTCGATCAGCTTACTTGCGAGTTCAGTTTAGACACCTGCCTGTGGCAAAACACTGGTGCATCTTCCTGGCAGCTTGCGGGGGACGCAGATGGACAGTGGCTGGAGGCTGTGCAGAGTGGTTCCCAAGCTTCGCAATGGATCTTGGAAACCGCGGCGGTCTTCAACACCACTGAGGAGAAGGCCTTGGTTTTCGACTATGAGTTGAACGGCTCGGGAACCGTGGCGTTGGAGCTACAACACCAAGCCTCCGCTACTGGGGGCTGGCAGCGTTTGTGGACGCAGTCAGGCAGCCGCGGCGCAGGTTGGCATGCCGCCATCGTCACCATCCCTTCTTCCACGATGAGCCTGCGCTTGCTTGCCAATAGCACTGACGACGCAGATGTCGTGCGGATCGACAGGCTCCATGCAGCGGACGTCCTGCACGACTGGAGCTCCATCTCCTGTGATTTTGAATCCGACTTCTGTGCTTGGTCCACCGGTTCGTACCCATGGCTGCGAGGTTCAGGGACTACTTCTAGCTCAGGTACCGGGCCGGACGAGGCTGCAGAAGGTGAGTCGTACATTTATACAGAAGCCAGTGGCAATGAGAACAAGGCCGGACGACTTCAGAAAGCTAAGCAGAATGCACAATGGTAGTTCTTCACAAGCCCTTGTGCAGGCTTTCATTCTCACCAGCGACCTGTTCGACCCATCACCGGAAGCTCGGCATCTCCGTTTCTATTTCCACATGTATGGTGAGGACACAGGCAGCTTGCGAATGGAGACATTGCGAAGCAGTGGTTGGACACAGCTTTGGTCTCGCATCGGAGAGCAAGGGACGCAATGGGGCCTGGCACAGGTGATGTTGCCGCAGGATGCGAGGGCTGTGCGTTTCGTCGGCATCACAGGCAGCGACTTCAAGAGTGACATTGGGCTGGATGGCATCGTCGCTGGGCTCCCCACTGTGGAGTTCGATCAGCTTACTTGCGAGTTCAGTTTAGACACCTGCCTGTGGCAAAGCACTGGTGCATCTTCCTGGCAGCTTGCGGGGGACGCAGATGGACAGTGGCTGGAGGCTGTGCAGAGTGGTTCCCAAGCTTCGCAATGGATCTTGGAAACCGCGGCGATCTTCAACACCACTGAGGAGAAGGCCTTGGTTTTCGACTATGAGTTGAACGGCTCGAGCACCGTGGCGTTGGAGCTACAACACCAAGCCTCTGCTGGCGCCTGGCAGCGTTTGTGGACGCAGTCAGGCAGCCGCGGCGCAGGTTGGCATGCCGCCATCGTCACCATCCCTTCTTCCACGATGAGCCTGCGCTTGCTTGCCAATAGCACTGACGACGCAGATGTCGTGCGGATCGACAGGCTCCATGCAGCGGACGTCCTGCACGACTGGAGCTCCAAAATTTCCTGTGGTTTTGAATCCGACTTCTGTGCTTGGTCCACCAGTTCGCACCCATGGCTGCGAGAAAAAGGGACTACTTTTACCTCAGGTACCGGGCCGGACGAGGCTGCAGAAGGTGAGTCGTACATTTATACAGAAGCCAGTCGCAATGAGAACAAGGCCGGACCACTTCAGAAAGCTAAGCAGAATGCACAATGGTAGTTCTTCACAAGCCCTTGTGCAGGATTTCATTCTCACCAGCGACCTGTTCGACCCATCACCGGAAGCTCGGCATCTCCATTTCTATTTCCACATGTATGGTGAGGACACAGGCAGCTTGCGAATGGAGACATTGCGAAGCAGTGGCTGGACACAGCTGTGGTCTCGCATCGGAGAGCAAGGGATGCTATGGGGCCTGGCACAGGTGATGTTGCCGCAGGATGCGAGGGCTGTGCGTTTCGTCGGCATCACAGGCGACTTCAGGAGTGACATTGGGCTGGATGGCATCGCCGCTGGGCTCCCCACTGTGGAGTTCGATCAGCTCTCTTGTGAGTTCGGTTTCGACACCTGCCTGTGGCAAAGCACTGGTGCCTCTTCATGGCAGCTTGCGGGGGACGCGGATGGCCAGTGGCTGGAGGCTGTGCAGAGTGGTTCCCAAGCTTCGCAATGGATCTTGGAAACCGCGGCGGTCTTCAACACCACTAAGGAGAAGGCCTTGGTTTTCCACTATGAGTTGAACGGCTCGGGAACCGTGGCGTTGGAGCTACAACACCAAGCCTCTGCTGGCGGCTGGCAGCGTTTGTGGACGCAGTCAGGCAGCCGCGGCGCAGGTTGGCATGCCACCATCGTCACCATCCCTTCTTCCACGAAGAGCCTGCGCTTGCTTGCCAATAGCAGTGACGACGCAGATGTCGTGCGGATCGACAGGCTCCATGCAGCGGACGTCCTGCACGACTGGAGCTCCATCTCCTGTGGTTTTGAATCCGACTTCTGTGCTTGGTCCACCGGTTCGTACCCATGGCTGAGAGGTTCAGGGACTACTATTAGCTTAGGTACCGGGCCGGACGAGGCTGCAGAAGGTGAGTCGTACATTTATACAGAAGCCAGTGACAATGAGAACAAGGCCGGACCACTTCAGAAAGCTAAGCAGAATGCACAATGGTAGTTCTTCACAAGCCCTCGTGCAGGATTTCATTCTCACCAGCGACCTGTTCGACCCATCACCGGAAGCTCGGCATCTCCATTTCTATTTCCACATGTATGGTGAGGACACAGGCAGCTTGCGAATGGAGACGTTGCGAAGCAGTGGCTGGACACAGCTGTGGTCTCGCATCGGAGAGCAAGGGACGCAATGGGGCCTGGCACAGGTGATGTTGCCGCAGGATGCGAGGGCTGTGCGTTTCATCGGCATCACAGGCAGCGACTTCAAGAGTGACATTGGGCTGGATGGCATCGCCACCGGGCTGCCCAATGTGAAGTTCGATCATCTTACGTGTGACTTTCGTTTTGACACCTGCCTTTGGCAGAGCACGGGTGCCTCTTCGTGGCAGCTTGAGGGGGATGCGTCTGGCCAGTGGCTGGAGGCTTCTGGCAACAGTTCCCAAGCTTCGGAATTCATCTTGGAAACCGCGGCGGTCTTCAACACCACTGAGGAGAAGATCTTGAATTTGAGCTTTGAATATCAGCTGAACGGCTCGGATGCCGTGGCATTGGAGGTACAGCACCAAATCTCCGCCGGAGACTGGCAGCGTTTACTGTTGGAGTCGGGTGGCCGCGGCGCTGCTTGGCACACCGGTGTCGTCACCGTCCCTCCTTCTGCTCTTGGCCTCCGCTTCGTGGCCAATGTCAGCACCGATTTCGACATGGTGAGGCTTCTTTTCTTGTCGGCCATCGAGTCCGCTGGAGCCGGAGCGCTGGCGGATGTGAGCTGCACCTTCGAGAACGACACTTGCAAGTGGTTGGGAGACTGGCAGCGCCGCAGCGGCCCCTCCCCAAATCCTACCCTCACAGGGCCCGAGGCTGCCTTCCACGCCGAGAGCTACGTTTATGCCTCAGATTCTTATAATGAGGTAGTTGTGCTCACCAGCCCCCTCTTCGCGAAGCTTGCCAACGTCTCTTACCTAGAGTTCGCCTATCACATGCTTGGTTCTGGCGTCGGCAAGCTGGAGCTATGGTACCTGAAAGGCGGCAGGTGGAGCTCGCGCTGGTCCCGGCAAGGAAACCAAGGGGCCGACTGGCTTCAGGCCAAGGTGAGGCTCCCAAGTGGGGTGGAGATGCTCCGCTTCGTGAGCTCCGGGGCAACAACGTGGGCGGAAGTCGCTTTGGATGCAATCCTCGCCTGGGAGGGGCCCGAAGCAGCCCCAGAGTTCCTGAGCCTTTCCTCTGATGGCTTTCACAATTGTGCAGTTCTCAAGGCCCAGGGGCTCCTGAAGTGCTGGGGAGCTGGTCTTTTCGGCCGCTTGGGTTACGGCAGCGAAGCAGATGTGGGGAGAGCTCCGGGTGAGATGGGGGAGAACCTTCCGGCCGTGGACCTCGGGGAGCCCGGCGTTCGAGTGACGGCGGTGGTCTGCGGTTGGTGGCACACCTGCGCAGTTCTCGAAACGGGCGTCCTGAAATGCTTCGGGGACAATGATCACGGCAAGCTTGGCTACGGACACACCCGCAATGTTGGCGACGAGCCCTTGGAGATGGGCCAGCACCTGCCAGCGGTGGACCTGGGCCCCGGTGCGGAGGTGGTGCAGGTGGATGCTGGAGCGTTTCACACCTGCGCTCTGCTTCGAGGCGGAAGCGTGAAGTGCTTTGGCCAGGGAGCTCTGCTGGGCTTGGGAGACGAGCCCGGGCCCCAGAGGTTCCTAGCTGCCACGGTTAGGCGCTCGAGAGAGTTAAGCTAAGGGAAGACCGTGGCGACGAGTGGGGCGAGATGGGCTCGAACCTCCCCGCGATTGACCTCGGCACCCACTTCGAAGCAGTGCAGCTGGCCGTGGGAACTTGGCTCAGCTGTGCTCTCTCAAGCCAAGGTGACGTGAAGTGCTGGGGATTGAGCAGCTTCCTGGGACTGGGTTTTGGCAGTGGAGGCTACATCGGCAGCAGCCCCAACGAGATGGGTGACGCCCTACCTGCAGTAGACTTGGGCCCCCTTCCTGCCGTGCAGATCGCAGCCGGGGAATTCCACACCTGCGCCGCTGCTTGCCTGCATCCACTTCATCCAGTGCACTAGTCTCGTTCTATCGATCTCATCGTATCGTGGACATGCCGGTGCCAGGTCCTGTCCGACGGCTCGGTCAAATGCTGGGGTAGGAATGACAAGGGGCAACTTGGACACGGCAACGTTGAATTTGCGGGCGACCAGCCCGGTCAGATGGGCACCAACCTTTCCGTCACAGACCTGGGCGATGGCATGACGGTTGTCCGTATCACGGTTGGCGGTAAGCACACCTGTGCGATCCTGCAAGACAGGACCCTCAAGTGCTGGGGCGGGGGAGAGAGTGGCGCGCCTGGGCCTCAGTTAGTCAGGGGACTGCATGTGAAACAGTCGTTTTCCCAGAACACCGCAGCAGCCCATGCGACTGGAGGCTTGGCCAGGGCAACACAGAGAACTTGGGAGATGAGCCCTTAGAGATGGGCTCCAATCTCCGCGCGGTCGGCCTCGGCAATCTCGAGGTGTGGGATGTGAGTGTCGGCGAAAGCCACACCTGCGTGCTCTTGGAGGACGACACCACGAGGTGCCTGCACTTCGCAACACAGCTCGTAGGTGCCCCAAACCATGAGTTTTGCGCATGGATGCTGTGCAGGTGCTGGGGTACAGGCAATGCTGGGCAGCTGGGCATTGGCAGCACCCTTAACGTCGGCCAGGTGCCAGGCGAGCTTGGTGTGGCTTTGGTGCCTGCGCGGCTCTTTCCTCTGACTTTGGGCGCTGGCCTTCAGGGTCTCAGCTTCGCCGAAGCCCATGGCCCTGCCAGAGGGTTACTTCAAATGCAGCACAACGGTTTCGTGGGCCTAGCCTGCGATGACGGCCTTGATGATCGGGTGGCTCAAGTGGCCTGCCGTGATCTCGGCATGGCCGGTGGCAGGGCCCTGACAGCCTTAGCAATGTGGGGTGCTGCGGGCGCTGGCACCATCCTTGCTGACAACATTAGGTGTACCGGTGCAGAAGTAAGCCTTCGCGACTGCGAATTTCGTGGCTGGCATCTGCACGACTGCACTCTTCAAGAAGCCGCAGGCCGTAGAAGTGAAAGCTAGGACGGACTGCTTGTAGATGAGCCCATGTGCGTGGATGTGCAGTCATGGTTCATGACGTGAACACATGTGTTGATCATGAGCCGAGGTCACGCCAATATAAATAAGAAGGTGGCCTCGGACTGCTAATGCTAATGCTTGCACGAACAGAATGAGGCACATTATCCAAAGGATCCGACGACATAGGAATTGGGGCCCCCAGGCTCGCAACTCCACAATCCCCAAAACTCTTCAAACCTTCATCCCTCATCTTTCACACGAACCTTGAGAAACGATCACGTGGCGTGTCTTCCTTGTGCAGGGGCCCATGCTCACCTGCACGTCCCGTGTTTTCCCTGCGCAGGGGCTGTGCTCACCTGCACATGCCGGCACACCTGCAACATGATGTGTTTCTTGAGTTTGTCTGGTGGCTATGCAGGTCTTGAGTGCGAGTCGGATGCCTGGAGCGACTTCACACCCGCCGCAAGCCCAGCCGGGCGCCAGGACGCTTCTATGGTCTGGGACAGTGAGACTCAGTCTGCATGGATGTTCGGGGGCCATGCCAGCAATGCCTTCCTCTACTTTGCGGACCTCTGGCGCTACGACTGGCCTCGACGAGCTTGGACTGAGATCCTGCCGTTGAGTGAAGGACCCGCCCCCGGTGCCAGATGGGGCCACGCAGCCGTGTGGCACGTGCATTCCAGGTCTATGCTGGTGTTTGGAGGCAAATTCCAAGTCACCTTCTACGATGACATTTGGCAATTTCGCAGCACGGACAGCACTTGGAGGCAATTGCCTGCCATGGCGAAGCCGTCGGCACGCGCCTACCACAGTGCGATCCTGGACCCGGTGGAGGGTGCGGTGCTAGTTTTTGGAGGAGAGAGCAGCAGCCAGGTGTTGGAGGACCTCCAGCGCTACAGCCTCGCCGACGGCCAGTGGAGCAAGTCTGGCGCGACGGGTCCCGGAGCCCGCAGTCGACACACTGCCGTCTGGGTGCCCGCAACCCGCTCCATGCTCGTTTTAGGCGGGTGGAGCGGGCAGCAGTATCTGGATGACTTGCGTAGCTACGACGCTTCGGCAGGCACCTGGGCCGAGGTATCAGCCGCAGGATATTGGCCCACTGCTCGTGCTGGGCATGCCGCCGCATGGGACCCTGTTTCAATGAGCATGCTGGTCATGGGCGGCATCACCAATGTAACCAGCGACCTCAGCTACGATGCCTCCATCTACAATTACAGCCTCTTGACGAACTCTTGGAAGGAAGAGGGCTTGCAACGCCAGCTCTTAGGCCCAACCGGCCGTACCGGTCATGGCATTGTTTGGGACTACGCTTCTCGCGGCTTGCTGTGCTTCGGTGGCTTCAATGCCTCCTACTTGCAGCAAACCTGGCGATACGTGGTCAGTCAGACCAGCTCGCCCTTGCTGGTCAGCTGCCAGCAGGGCCGCAACTGTTCCTTCCGCTGGAATGCTTCCGGCTCTGTTGCCGCGAAACGCACCTGCTCCGACCAGGATATCTTGGGAGGACTCCCCACACCACTCTCGGAAGCGGAGGAGGAGGATCTCTGGACGTTCGGAGTAAATGCATCCCCTTTCTTCACACAACCGGGTCATCACCGCCTCTGCTGGTGTGATGTCGTCAACTGCAGCCACCCCGACAACTTCAGCGTGACAGTGGGCTACTTTGTCCTGGAGGGGCCGCAGCTGCAGCAGTCCGCTCAATGCTACCTAGGCAGAGACTGTACGATTTCAGAGTGGCGAGGAGTCGGCATCTCCGCGAACGACAGCGTCGTGATGCAGAGCCGATGCGGCGAAGGGCCGCGGCTCTCCTCCTCCTCCTACTCCCAGCGCTCGGTCGGCGTCTCCTTCAACGAGTCCTACGGTTGGCACACCTTGCACGTGGGCTTCCTCGACCCAGCGGAGGGCCTCAAACCGGAAGCTCTGGAGCTTTGCTGGTGCCCTGCTGCGGCGGCCCCTTGCGCTTCGGCGGAGGACTTCCTCGTGGTCGCCCTGAGCCTGGACGTGATCTGCCCGCCCGGCGAGTACAGCGAAGGGCCGGGCGCTTCCTGCCTGCCCTGCCCACCGAGCTTCTTCTGCCCCGGCGGTTCGGAATTGCAGAGCTGTCCGTCGTCGAGCACTTCGATGCAGGGCTCAAGTCCGCCGCTCAGCACTGCGAGCCTCGCACGCTGGACGCACAGCAACGGATCGTCAGATTCGCCCTCTTTTGCCGAGGCCAACTCTCCGAATGCCTTTGCCTTCAAGGGCGCTACTGGGATGCAGAGAGCGCCATCTGCCTGGCGTGCCCCGCTGGGTCTTCGACGTTGCAGGCGGGTTGTCTGCAGGTTCGTAGGTAGCTGCTTGAGGTTTCTTCTGCTTCTTCTCTTCCTCGTCTTTTCGGTTGAACGGCCCTGCTTGTGACTGGAGGAGGGGGCCACCAGCCTTGCGTCCTGCACTTGCATGCCGGGCTTCTTCGCGACGCAGCCCGACAATCCGGCAGTTTGCGAAGCCTGCGGCGTGGGCTTCTTCTGTGCAGGGGGCCTGCAGACCCCGCAGCCGTGTGCGCCGTCCCAAACCACCGAGAGCGACACGTCAGCCAACAGATCCCAGTGTGTTTGCAGGCCCGGCAGCTTCTTGGAAGACGGGCTTTGCGCCCCGTGTCCGGTTGGATTTTTCAAGGGCAGCGTCGGAGACTTCCCGTGCTCGCCATGTGGTACTGGCACCTTCAGCAACGGCACAGGAAGCACAGAGCCTTGCAGATGCCAACAGGGCTATGGTTTTGACGAGGAGATCACACAGTGCAGACCATGCCTTCCGGGCGAATACAAAGCACTGGTAGGCGACACTCCGTGCAGCCGCTGCTCTACCAATAAGACTTCTGTGGAGGGCGCCGCGTCTCCCCTTGACTGTCGATGCCGCTCAGGTCTTGCAGCAGAGGGTGAGGGCTGCCGAGACTGCCGAGAAGGCTTCTTCTGCCCGGGCCAGGGTGAAGAGCGGCGATGCCAGGATGATGCCACCTCACGCAGGGGCTCCATCCTGCAGGCAGATTGCCTATGCCTCCCAGGCTACTATGCCCTTGAAGCTCAGGGCATCTGTGAGCCTTGCCAACCTGGACGCTACAAGCCCACGCTGGCCAACGATCCATCTTGCCCATTACAGTGCCCCACGAATGCCGAGAGTGCCAATGCGTCCACCAACTTAACAGAGTGCTTCTGCATGCCAGGATTTTACGCAGTGCTCGATGAAGGATCCCTCTCCAGGTGCGCCAGTTGTGCCTTCCTTCCTCATTTGCAATGCTTGGGTGGTTTTCACACTCAGGCGGGCATCACTCAGTTGGGGAACCACAAGCTGCCTGTCGCCCGGCCGGGCTACTTCCAGACAGGAGTGACAATCGCCGTGAAGTGCACGGCCGTCACGTCCACTGGCCTCAGCGCTTGCCTCGGAGGGCAGCTATGCGCGCAAGATGACACGGTGGAATGCTTCGGCAAGTATAGCAACGCTTGCGACGAAGGCTCCACCGGGTTCTTTTGTGGAGAATGCCCAGCTGGTTGGGCCAGGAGTGCCTTCCGGCAGCCATGCGAACCGTGTGCTGCTGGTGCTGTTTTGCCACTGGTAGCCTCTGTCATCATCGATGTTGGCACGAAGGTCGCGGGTGCCGAACGGTTGCCGATTTTAAGGGGGTGTTTGCAAAGCCGCCCCTCAATCCTAGAAGTTGTCCGCAGCAAGGGAAGTGTAAGAAACGGGAGGGAGCGGGTCATAGCGGGGGAAGCGGACAGGCCACGATCAACTTCGTGGTCGCGGCCATGGCCGCAATGGCGGCAGTCAGAGCCAGCAGCAAGCTCCACACCGTGATGATCCGCATCGCCGTCCAGTGGCTGGCTGCCTGCTCGGTCCTGACGGCTTTCGACCTCACACAGATTCCACTCGAGAATGCGGAGACCCAGGGAGATCAGGAAGAGTATCCACTCTTCCCATGGCCTGCGCAGGTGGCGGTTGAAGGAGGGTCCTTTGAACCCGAGATTTGACCCGCCCCTGAAAACCCGTTTCGCCCCGCAGCAGGTCAGCGCAGCGATGCGCGGCCTCTTCGAGACCCTCACGCTGACGCCGGTGCTGACATCTGTCAACTCGGCCACACAGTGCTTCGCCCAGGCCAGGTAACAGTAGGCTCCCATAGGGACACAAATCGAAACAGCATGTCAATGTGGAAGCTGACAGTGCCGCAAGGCTATAGGGAAAATACAAGTAAGATAAGTAAGAGCTCGAGTTCTGTGTTGCCTGAAATCCTAAACCTATCCACGAGGCTCAAACTCTGGATCAGATTCCGCAAGCCAGTATACTATACTCCTTAATCAGCTTCTGTTTCATCGCTTACGCTTGCAATCTGAACTGAGAGTGTCGTCTGAATGGTCGTGTAGCGACTCGTGCAGCCTAGCGGTTTCGGACTCCGTCAGGAGCTTGCTCCTGACATCACTGCCCCACGCGTCGCCTTTGGAGTGTACCACCTCGCCTTACCTCTCTTGGTCATGATCGGCATTCTTCTGCTCTCCTTCGTGGTGGTGCATGTGGTGGTGCCTTTGGGGCAGCGTTTCGGCTTCTCCTTCAACGAGTCCGGACGTAGCATGAACCATCTGCGCAAGATCATAGACCCGATGCTCAAAGAGGTTTTGCGCAAACCCGTCGCTCCCATGACCGAAGCTCCCATCACAACAAGCCCGTCTGACGCCTTCTCTTGGGCGGACTTGCAGCGCACGGGCACCTTGGGGAACCTCACCACGGCTCAGTTGCAGCAAGCGGCGGAGAACCCGGATGGCTTCTTGCGCACGGCTGCAGCCGGGTCGCGAGAGCTCCTGGTCAGCGCCTGTGCGGCTCGTGCTGCCCAGCTGCATCCGCAGGCCGAGGCCCAGGAGCTTTACCAAGAGCTGGCGAAGGCACCACACCTGAACTTGACATGCTGCAGACTTCCTGTTTGAAGAGCTGTGGCATTCTGTGCTGCAATCGCACTTGCGCAGGCGGATCTCCGACACTTCCTGACCGCGGACTTCGCCACTCGGTCTCCGGATTTTACGGCAATGCTGGACAAGGTCTTGGATGCGGCATTCACCTTCGACGAGGAGACCGTGCCCGTACCGAAGGAAGGCCCTGAGCAAGAAGAGGCTGACGAGCTCCGGCTCGTGGGCTCGGAGCACGCGCCTTGCGACGTCGTGGTTGCCTTGCCCACGGACGCAATGCGCGGACCCAAGAGCTGAGCCCTCATGGCCTCCTGAGCGTCGTGCGTTTTGCTCCCGAGGCCAGAGAAGAAACCTGGGGAACAGAGCACCTTCAGCTTTACATCTTTGGAAAACCGAGCAAGCCTGATGGACTCTCTAAATTTCGGCCTCTTCTCGCCGGCACCTCGCTTCGTCGAGCTCGCATACCAGAGCGTGCCTATCATTTGGGTGAGCCTGGTCTCTCTGTGGCCTGGGCTACTGTCAAGCTTCCTGCAGATGATCTGGTGCGTGTCGGTTCTGGAAGACGATGTGCTGGTGAGCCGCCTGCTGCCCAACCCTTCCGTCATTTGCTGGTCCGACGAGCACCTGGTTTCTGCGCGCTTCGCCGTTGCTGGGCTCGTCGTGTGGTGCCTGGGCATACCGATTGCGCTGGCCACCGTCTTGTTTCGCCTCCCGGATAGGCAGGCTCCTGACAACTTCAGGCCTGGGCGAGAGACGGGGCCATGCAGGGTGCGCAAGACTTGAACGAAGCCCTGATGCGCAGGCGCTTTGGCTATTTCTTCCAGGGCCTGGAGCGACAGTTTTGGTGGTGGGATCTCCTCGTTAAGCGCTTCGCCGTGGCCTCAGATCGAAAACACCTCCGGCGAGTGCTTATCTTTGCAGTTTTTTTGTGAAAGATTCGCAGTGCCTCGAGAGATTCTATAATCTATAGAGTACAGCAGCAAAGTCAGCATAGGCTGCACTGAATATGTGGTCCGCGCAGTGCGGCACATTTGAGTACTTAAGCTCCATGTTCGGGCCAAAGAAGTGCATTTGCTCAGGACTTGGCGCTGATGATGCTGGTCGCCTACACTTCCCTCGTGCCGGATCAGAAGGCCAAGCTCGCGCTCTTCCCCGTCCTCTCGGGCTTCCAGGCAGGGAGCTGCTTCGCACAGCCCTACACTATGGCCCTAACCCATCGCAGCCCTGCGTTGAATAGCCGATAGCCGATTGGATGGGCGCAGTTGTATGCGGAGAGACGGGGAGGGCGGAACAAGAACATGTGAGGGCGCAGTGAATTGCTTGTTGCACGCAGCGAGAGGGAGGAGAGCGCGGAGAAGCGGCTGCCCCACACATGCAAAGGGAAGCAGTGACAACAGACGTTGATGGAGTTGCGACTTGCCGTAGCGCATAAGTAACACCTGTGGTCGGCGGTCCAACGCATGCCCGCACCCAAGCCTTGCCCTGCGAACCCTCCTGCTGTGCATTCGGAATACCTACCTGACTTAGAGTGGGGCGGAGCTGTTGTTCCCTGTGACTGATCTGTTCTCCCATCCATTTGCCCCCGAGCCTGCTGTGCACGCTTGGTCTGCAGCAGGCGCTGCTGGCATCGTGGGTCCGGCCCTATGCAAACGACCAGGCTGAGGTGCTGGACGTCTTGGAGGCCATCGCCGGGCCATCCGCTTGATTTAGTAATTTAGTAGGGCCTCCCGGCTCTCAAGGGCTTTCCGAGTGCTTCCTGCAGGTGACACTGTGCTCGATCCGGTTTCTGCTCTTCAGCGGAGTGGCGCTGCTTCTCAATCTGGAGACACCGACAGAGACGGCTCACACGCCACTGTGCCGATACCCTGAAGCTCCTAAGCCCTGTTTCCCATCACCGGTCCCAACCTGAACCCAAGCCAGGGTGGCCTACCTCCTCCTGCTGGTCTTGGTGCTCGCCTGCCTTTACTTCTTCGTCCACTTCACAGCCCAGGTCTGGCCAAGACACCAGACGGTGACGTCAGTTTTGTAGGTCTTAGCGAGTAATTTCACACGACATCAGGATCGCGGTCTATCGTCAAATGCTGTTTGTCCATCGTGGTGTGGTTACTATTCGTAGGCCTTAGCTAGCTGTCACTGTCGCTGTCGTGATCGTCTTTACATATCTGCAGTCATATCACTGTTATCCGATATCAACCTAGGTACCAGTGCCAGTACCAGGCTGTCAGCTTGGTGCCCGAAGCCCATGTGCCGGTATCGTCTGGGTGTTTCTGCGCTTATGTGTTCTTAGTGCCCGACGAATTCGCACGGTTGCAGGGTTCGATCACTGTCACGCCTTTCCCGGGCTCGGGCTTCCGGTTCTCAAATTCTCCAGTTGCTTTCGAGTGGTTTGCTCCTTTTTCTTAGTCCTTTTCTCGAGCGGTTTGCTGCTTGTTTACAGATTCTCTAGTCTCTTTCGAACGGTTTGCTCCTTGTTCTGTTCCTTTGGAGCGGTTTCCTGCGTGTTCTCAAAGTCTCTAGTTTCTTTCGAGCGGATTGCTCCCGTGTTCTCAATCAAATTCTCCAGTGGTTTGCTCCGGTGTTCTCAAATTCTCTAGTGTATTTGGAGCGTGTTGCTCCTTGCTCTCAAATTTTTTAAGTATCTTTGGAGCGGTTCGTTCCTGGTGTTCTGAACAAGTTTTCTAGTCTCTCTCGAGCAGTTTCGCGCCTTGTTCTCAAATTCTCTAGTCTCTTCCGAGCGGCTTGCTCCTTGTTCTCAAATTCTCGCGTTTCTTTCGAGTGGTGAGCTCCTTGTTCTCAAAATCGCTGGTCTCTCTCTGGGCGGCTTGATTTTTGTTTTCAATGACTCCAGTCTCTTTCAATCTCGACGGGGCGGTTTGCTCTTTTCTGTCAATTTCACTCTTCTCTTTTGAGCGGTTTGCCACTTGTCGCAAATTCTCTAGACTTTTGTGAGTGGTTAGCTCCTGGTTCTCAAGTTGTCTAGTTCCGTTCGAGCCGTTTGCTCCTTGTCTCCTTGTTCACAACCTCCCTAGTTTAGTTTCAGCGGTTTGCTCCTTCTTCTGTTCCTTTGGAGCGGTTTCCTCCTTGTTCTCGAAGTCTCTAGTCCTTGTCGAGCGGTTTGCTCCCATGTTCTTTGGAGCGATTTGCTCCTTGATTTATTCCCTACTCTCTTTCGAGCAGTTTGCTCCTTATTTTCTGTAAGCTTTTCGAACTGTTTGCTCCTTGTTCTCGAATTCTCTAGTCTCTTTCGAGCGGTTGGTTCCTTTTCTCGAGTTCTCGAGTCCTTGTATTGCTCTCAAATTTGCTACTCTCTTTCGAGCGGTTTGCTCCTTGTTCTCAAATTCTTCTGTTTCTTTCGAGAGGTTTGCTCCTTGTTCTCAGATTGGGCGGTTTGCTCCTGGTTCTCAAATTCTCTAGTCTCTTTCAAGCGTTTTCAAGTTCTCTAGTGTCTGTCGAACGTTGCTCCTTGTGTTCTCAGATTTGATGGTCGTTTTTCGGAGCGAATTGCTCCTCCTTGTCAAAGTTCTAATTTCTGTTGTTTGTTTTGCTCTTTGTTCTCAATTCCCGAGTCTCTTTCGAGCGGTTTGCTCCTTGTTCTTAAATTCTGCAGTCTGTTTCGAGCGGTATGCTCGTTGTTCTGAAATTCTGTAGTCTTTTTTCAAGCCGTTTGCTGCCAGTTGTTAACTTCTCTAGTCTCAGTGGAACGGTTTGCTCGTTGCGTTGTCAAGCTTTCCAGTCTTTTGTCAAGCGTTTTGCTTCTATTTTCTCAAATCCTCTAGTTTTTTTCAAGCTGTTTGCTCCGTGTTCTTAAATTCTCTAGTCTTTTTCGAGCATTTTGCCCCTTGTTCTCAAACTTTGTAGTCTTTTCTTGAGCGGCTTGCCCCTTGTTCTCAAACTCCTAGTCTCTTTCGGGCGGCTCCCACCATGGTCGCAAGCTCTCTAATCTCTTTGAAGCGGTGCGCGCCTTGTGTTCTGAATTTCTTTGGTATTTCTTTTAGCGGTTTGCTTTTCTATTTTCAACTGTTTTGGTTTCTTTGGCCTGGTTTGCTCCTTGTTCTTCAGTCTTTACTCTTTTCGAGCGGCTTGCTCCTTGTTCTGAAATTCCCCAGTCTCTTTCGGGCGGCTTGGTCCTTGTTCCCAAAATCGTTAGTACCTTTGGAGCTGTTTGCTCCTTGTTCTCAAATCCTCTAATCTCTTTCGATCGGTTTGCTTTCTCTAATCTCTTCGGGAGGTTTGCCCCCTGTTCTCAACTGCTGTTATCTTTTTCAAGCGGTTCGCCTTCGTTTTCTGTCCCCTTCGAGCGGTTTGACCAATTGCTTCAAGGCCTCTTGCTTCTTTCTCTCAAATTCTTTAGTCTCCGTCGCGTGGTTTGCTCTTTGTTCTCAAAGTCGCCAGTCCTTTTCGAGCGTTTTGCTCCTTGCTATGAATTTTTAAACCCTTTAGTCTCTTTCGAGCGGTTTGCTCCTTGGAGTCAAATTATCTAGTCTCGTTCGAGCGGTTAGCTTTTTGTCCTGAAATTCTGTAGTCTCTCTTTCGAGCGGGTCACTGCTTGTTCTCAAATGCTCGAGTCTTTTTCGAGTGGTTCGCTTTGTGCTCTCTTTCTCCAGGCTCTTTCGAGCGGTTTGCTGCCTTGTCTCAAATTCTCTAGTCTATTTCGAGCGGTTTGCTCCTTATTCTCAAATGCTCTAGTCTCTTTCAAGCGGTTTGCTCCGCGTTCTCAGTCTTTGGTCTTTTTTGAGTGGAATTATGTAAGAACTTTGTACGACCGATTAGGTTGTTTTGCCTCCTTAAAGATTCTGCTGTTCCTGGGGCCTTAAACCCCCAAACCCAGGGCGTGAGAAAAAACAAACTCATGAACCTTAAATTCCTAAGCATCAAAGCCTTAAACCCTAACTGCCGGAGGTCCTTCAAGATGCAGCGACCTGGAAATCATTAGGCCAGCCTTTTTCGAAGCACCTGCTGGCTTTGGAGTTTGGTAGGGTTTAGGTTCTAGGGCTTCGCGAGTTAGGGGTTCAAGGTTTTGAGTACAGGTTTCTGGAGAGAACCTTTTTTCGCCTAAACCCTAAACACAGTGGCAGCCCTTTGGAGGTTGGTTTCCGCGCTTTCTGATCGAGTTGGCACTGCCCTTGCTTACAGAGGCGTGGGCTTCATGAAGCATGCACACTGAGTTGAAGCACATGTTACGTATGTCCATACCATAATAGTAAAGATACTATCCTTTTTGGTAGGATATTGTGTGTGTTTGAGTAGGTTCGATCAGATCAGGTGTTGTTTCGTACTATATCGTACTATCTTGTATTCCACTTTTCAATAGCAGACTGCGTTATCGTGTAATATTTCTATTGTGGTAGATTTCATTGTCTTATATTGTAATATGTCATATTACGTTAAACTTCCTTGTTTCGAGAGATCTTGGCTTATAGTGGTATCATGTTACATTATATTCCATTACTTCGGATTGTGTTGTACATTTTTTGGAGAATTTAATTTGCATATTGTGTGTATCACTGTATCTGCCATATATCATGTGCTACAAATTATGTCACATTATATGAATGTATGGTATATTACATATGACATAGCACATCTCCCATGCTTCACGGTATATATATATATATACATACACACACGTACATTACATCTTCTAGTATCTATCACGTCTAACCTGTGTTTCGTCATCTGCCATATATCATCTACTAGATATTACTGATAATTAGCTATTTGTTTGCCTTGCTGTAATGTTTTTATGTTGCAGCATCCTATTTCATATTATGTTTGTATGTTCTAGCACACCAACTCTTTGTCATGGTCATACATATAGATGCTTCTGTGGTATGTTCTCTTTGCATTTTAGTAGACATTATATAATTATATCGCAGCATATCATATTGTTTTATATTCGCTTCTCGCATATTCGGTTATTTTATAGTAGCTTTTAACCCTACCATATTCTGTTATACTACATCTTGTTCTCGTCTATGAAGTCCATGGTATTGGGTTTGGCTGTATTGTAACATATTCCAGTAGATTTAAGTATATACATCATAATGGGATACCATTACATTGTGTTGCCTTGTTGTATATATACATACATACATACATACATACATACATACATACATATAAACACAACGTAGAACCATATCTTGGATTGTGCAATGTTGCTGTAGGTGTCATTTACCACGCTATATCAAGTTACATCCGTTTGTGAAATCCTAGCATAATCTTTCATTTTATTATGCTACATCGTATTATGCTAATTATGTACTTTAAGATAGTAGTTTTACTCGACTTACAAGGTCCGTGCCCACTTGGGACTGGGCCACGGCCGGAAAGGTTAACTCTTCGCGTCCGCATTCTAGATGGTGCAAAGCGGATTGAAGGGCTATCTTTTTGAGGGTAAACCCTAAACCTCAAACCCGTCCGAGGGTTCTGCTTTGCGGCTCGTAAACCCTAAACCCTGAACCCTCGCCGAAGACCCGAAAATCATGGACCCCAAACCTTTGGAGAAGTGACCAACGCAGGCGCAGTCAGAATCTCTTGAGCTGGGTTGGTCTTTCTCATCGGAGAAGATCACAGTGACGACCGCGTCACTTGATGCAAGGCACGCATTGTGTGCCAGGGCAAGGGTTTTGTGCGCGACGTGTCCCTACCCTAAACCTAAATCCAAAACACAGGTCCGGTTGTGGGCATTGGGTTTGGGATTCTGCATGGGAAAGGAACAAAAGCGGCCAACAACGAGAAAACAGGAGCAGCAAAGCCCACAGTCCACAACCCTGTCTCACACGCAAGCAGATGGTGCCAGGAACAGCGGACAAACGTCGAGAACGGCCCTCAGCAAGATCTGTGGCTTGGACGATCTGAATGGCAAGCTCAGGGTTCAGGGTTTAGGGTATGGGCTACGGCTACGGGTTTAGGTTTCAGGGTTTGTTTCAGTTTCTGGGGTGTGCGGTCGACTTATCTTGAGCATTTTGGCCGACAATGCATGACAAATCCACCGAGCGTTGTCTGTATGCTTCGACAGACAGGTAGATAAGCAGCATGTCCATGATATTCGTAGATGTGCAAAAGTATTTATAGTTACATAGGTTTTTGTCTGCAGTCTAGTTGAACCTAACATGGGTGACCATGAGGGAAAAGAACCAGGCGGGAGTCAGGAAGTAAGCCCTCTCCCGAGTCGGGAAACTGTTTCGAGTTTAGGGTTTAGGGGTTAAGGGTCCAGGGTTTGATGATAAGGGTCTGAGGGATTAAGGACGTTTAGGTTGAGGGTTTGGGGTTTAGGTCCTATAGGGTGTAAGGGTTCGAGCCAACACCTCCGTACCACAATTCTCCGACCTATTGGGTGTAGTCTGTTTCCTATAAGTGTTGACAGTTTGCGGATCGCTTGACAACTTGAATGGTTTTTAAACAGTCTGGCATAAATGCGATATCACATGAAGCTTCGTCGGCATCCGTAGAACTCATGTCCCCAAACACGACGTCGAGCATTTCTTGCAAGCTCATGAATTGCCCGGAGCACCTAGGTATCAAAGCGTGGCTGGTGCTACGGCAGATGAGTAAAGCTGTTTTACGACACGGTCCCCTCTTCCAGCAAGCTGTGGTTGCGAAGGCCACGGTTTCGGGGTCAGGAAGGGTACCCAAGCAGGGTTTAGGGTTTAGGGTTTAGGGCTATCAAGCACAGCATGTGTGTACATGTGAACAGGCGTTTGTCAGTGTACCGATCTCCGTACACACACAAGTACATGCTAGCCTAATCTGCATATGTACATACCTGCGACTTGGATATACCTACTTCTGTCTGGTTGTTTTATACATACATCCTATACTACCGCTTTCCGCTTTCAAGGCAATGTGTCCATGTCGGGCGCAGCCATATTTTCAGGCATTTAATTAAGTGCAAATGTTGCCACCTGAATGGGGCGGTGGCCCCCCTCGTGCGCCTGGCATTCCCTTCTGGGCTATCCAGAAAAGCGCATTTCAAAGGACGACAAACCCTGGAGCAGAATTCCCCTAGTGGTGTTTGTGCACTCAGGGGAACAAAACCCTGGCTCCTATAGCTCTATGCTGGAGCCACGCAACTCATGTGCCACAGCCATGCTGTGAGGTATTCTGTCGCTAAATTGCGATTTACACGAGACATGAGCTGCCGATGCAGGAAAAACTGTAGACAAGTCCAGCACCTGCACTCGAAAAAGCAGACCCAAATCTCTAAACCCCGGAGCAGAAATCTACGGAGCGTAGTATGCACTCCGGGAAACAAACAGGTTCAGCATCATGATACATATCAGAAAGCGGAGGGTATTCCTCAGAAACAAAGCCACTACCGCAGGGACCCTCATGCATGGCCACACAAAAGGCGCAGTGACTGCGTGTGCACCCCCTTGGGCCACACGAACCGTAACAACTTTCCTAAAAGAACACTAAAGCACGGAAGATATGTACAGTCTCAAGGCACCTCACAATCAGCTCACCATAGGCTGCTCTCATGTACGCATAACCAAACGCCAAACTCCGGAGGCTACTGGGTGGTTGAGTCCCCTCCAGGCTCTGGTTGAGCTCACAGCCAGACATCAAACTTTGCAAACTGCTGGGTAGTTGGCTGCCCTCTAGGCTCCGGTTGAACGCATAACCAAACGTCAAACTCCGCAAGCTGCTGGTCAAACGCCGCAGGCTGCTGGATAGTTGGGTCAAGGTCCCCTCTAGACTCTGGGTGAACACGCCGCCAGACATCAAACACTGCAAGCTGCTGGGTAGTTGGATGCCCTCCAGGCTCCGGTTGAACGCATACCCAAACCTCAAACTTCGTAGGCTAATGGGTAGTTGGGTCCCCTCCAGGCTCCGGTAGAACACGCAACCAAACGTCAAACTCCGCAGGCTGCTGTGTAGTTGGCTGCCCTTTAGGCCCCGGTTGAACTCATAGCCAAACATCAAACTCTGTCCGCATCGCACGACGCGAACGGCTTCACATGCTGAGTAGCCTTGACATTGCCGATCGTGCCGCTGGCCTCAACGTGCGTTGCAATCGTCATGCCTGTCAGGGTCTTGACAAAGTTCTGCATGCCGCCTGGCACCAGGTGAAGGCGTGCCCCCCATGGGCATTGGGGCTAACGATATTCCGCGCTGCTGCGGCCATTCGAGCCCTCATCCTATACTTACACACATGCATACATACCTACCTACCTACCTACTTGCCAACCTACATACGTACATACATGCCTACATACATACGCAGACATACACACTCACACGCACATGCACTGACACCCACCCACACAAACAAATATGTGTACACACACACACAAATAAGTACATACACGCACATCGACATTTTCTTGCATGCGGAGGTGTACGTGTGGGCACGCTGCATATATGTACCGTCGCACTTTTGCATATCGCTTCTTCTCTTTGTCTACCTGTCTGTGTTTTTGTCTGTCTGTCTGTGTCTATCAAAACCTGAGAACTTTAATGACCTCAAAAATGAACTGCGAATCATCAAGATTATCCTAGATTTGACTTACTCGGATGCGTGATGAGCTGGTGCGTGTAAAGTCGTACATATGTCCTTCTATTCATACCTTTTTCATGCGAGTATAGACAAGCATACATGTGTGAGTGAAGTACATCAGTAATCCTTCAGGCTTCGGTATTGGTCTTGTCTCGATTCTCAGACTTTTTGTGTGGTCTGCAAGGCTGGTGGGTATCGAGGAAGGCCAACAACGCCTGTTGCAGTAACTCACCCCCTCGACCACGGTTTATCAGCATTGGAAGGCCAACGACGACTTGCTCGCACTCTGGCTTCAGCTTGGGCCCAAGCAGCCCTCACAGCTGCCCTCACAGAAGCACGCCTGTGCTCTTGCAACAGCATGCAAAGTACTGCCGCGCTCGCTGGTGAAAAGCCGCATCTGCGTTTCATGGATGCAGCAGCTCGAAGCACTTGCCCAGCAAGATCCGCCCTTCAGATGCAGCCCCAAAGATCTGGAGCAAGCGGTTCAGCAACTGGGGAGACTGTCGTCAGAAGACGCTTCCATGCTGATTGAATATGTCGTGTCCTTGTGCGATGCGTACATCGAGCCAGAAGCCCCACTTGAATTTTGATCCGACCTGCGCGAAAGGCTTCAACTTAAAAACCTTCTGCTCGAAATCGAGCACAGCAAATTCGGACTACTCCGATGCAATTTCCGGGTGGCCCGAAGGCTTGCGAGCCGCAGAACTTACTGTCAAGTTGAGCTTCAAAATATGTGCGCGGTGCCAAACGGCATGATATGAAGAAACTCTAGCAGCACAAATACTGTTATATACTAGTCTCTGTAGGCTTTTTCTTGCAGCAGCACGCACATTCTGCACAGCCCGAAGGCATCAAGCTCATGTATTGGCTCATGCAGGACTTGCTCTCCGTGGCAAGCGGGAAGATACGCAGAATGTTTGATTATACATGTACCAGCCATCTTCCGAAGCCTCCTATGAATCTGTGCCGGTTTGTTCATAGCTTCAGCGTCAAGCTAATGCTTCAGCTCATGTTGATGGCCTCAGTCTCCATTCTACCACTGTAAACCACTAACCCGTACAAAGTCCTGAACCCTCCAGGCTACCTGAGGCGAGGAATGGCCTTGCTCAGGAATTGGTCCTTTTAAAGGGGCCTGTCTTTTGTTTTTTCTCCTGAGTGGGGCCTCGCCATACGTGCCGGCATCTTTTGTCTCCCCCAAGGGGCGCGGCGTGGATTCGAAATTCCAGAGGCATGCGCTGTCAAAAGGCAAGAATGACATGATCTTCACCCACACGCCAGTTGAAAGCAACGAACTACTAAACATAACCAGGAATCCATCACCCGCCTTCGTGTAGTCATCTGAAGCCGCAGCCACTCGGAAAAAACGGTTCTACTTATCTTGGCATTACCATACCACTAGCACCACCATCATGGTTGTCATAATGATCAGCAGCATGATGTTGATGATGATGACCATCACCCTTGCCATTACCACCACCATCATCGTTATTTCTATCTTCATTATTACTGCTGCAACGACCACCAGTGCTGCGACCGATACTGTGACTGCTACTGTGACTGTGACTGCTACAGCGACTGCTACTGCGACTGCCACTCGGGCGCTGAAGGCAATGTGGTCTGAGCTTGCCAACCAAGGATATTTCTCTTGAGATTGCAGTTGGATGTTCAAACCGTCTCTGCGTTTTTGCCGCAACCAGTGGGCTGGCTCCAGCTGATTGCACTTGCGCTTTGACCTTCGAGCAGAGGCGACGCATGAAGAAATGACAAGATGTGTTGGGAGTCCAGAGCCCTCAACCCTAAACTCAACGCCCAAAACTCCTGAAAGCCCTAAACGGGACCACACAGTTTCCTTGACCGGTCAGGATCATGGCGGCGCATTGGATCATTTTCATGACCGGCTTCGTGCAAGGCAATCGCAGTGGGGATCTGCGCACACAAGTCACTGTCCAAGCTTCCATGCAGCAGCAAAGTGGCCATGGGCGGCAGTGGTGTAGAGAAGAGGTGAACAGGTCGTGATTGTCTGTGCTCGCATGCAGCCGCTTGGGGAATAGTGGAGATGGCGGCCAGCCTTGTCTTCGTTTTGATGCGCGACATCTGCTGCTTAGGGATGTACGTGTTTGTCGGCAAGGTTGGCAGCCTTAACTTCGGGCCCGCACAACCCCTTAACGTCCAAACAGAGTGCGTGCTCCTTGCAACACCTGCTGTTGGTTTGGCTCGTCTCCGTTTGACTGGCAGGCTGTGGGCAAGTGCAGTCTGTAGCAAGGGTGTCTCGGGTGTCGGCTACCACGCGGGCTGCAGGTGCATTGAGTTCACCAGCATGGCAGGTAAGCGTGGGGCTCGAGCCTGAGATGTCCTGCATCAGGTCGAAGGATCATGACTAGCAAGGTTACAAATGGGGCAGCCGTGGTTGTGATTACTTATGATCCCGTTTAAGGGTATTCTAACCTTGCATACAACATCCTTGGATTCCAACCTGGGTTCACCACGCAGTGGCACTACGTGGGCTAAAGACTGTCCAGTGCATCCCTGTGAACAGCAGGAGTGGAACCCCCGACCACTTAGGTCATGCGCGTTGCAAGAAGATGGCTGCATTGCCAGCACGGACGCGCCGGCCAACCAGATGCGTGACATCTCCTGCTTGATCGGGCTCCAACATAGCACCAGGCGGAGAGATGATGGGGATTATTCAGTGTGGCGCCATCGCATGCCAGGACATTTGTATACGTGTACGTGTGAACACAGGCGTTGTCTCCATTTTGGGACATGTTGTGCCTGCGCATCACTTAAATCCTCGCGACTTGGAATCCTGCTGTGACAATCATGATGAATATGAAGATTATGATGGTGATGATGATGATGACGATGATGATGGTGATGGTGATGGTTGTAATCATGATGATGACGATGCGCCTTTCGACGACGACAGGGGTTATTCAGTGTGGCACCGTCGCATGCCAGGACATTTGTATATGTGTACGTGTACGTGTGAACACAGGCATGTGTTTTCTCCATCTTGGGACATGTTGTGCCTGTGCATCACTTGAATCCTCGTGACTTGGAATCCTGCTGTGACAATCATGATGAATATGAAGATGATGATGGTGGTGGTGATGATGATGATGGCGATGATGATGGTGATGGCTGATGATGACGACGATGATGGTGATGGCTGTAGTCATGATGATGACGATACGCATGTTGACGACGACAATGATTGTCGTATTACCTTTGAGTCATCTTCAAAAATGCAGGCAATCTTTCCAAGTAGCTGCTTGGCCCAGTGAAGGGCCATCGAGATCGAGATCGTGCCCGTCTGGGCCAACGGCACCCAGCGGGGCGAAATGATGCAGGAGAGCGTTGAGTTGGGTCCGTTTCTGTGAGGTCTGATGCGATCAAGCTGCAAACTGCTCTTGGCTGAGGTTTTTTTTGCAGGGTTTAGATAGTCTAAAGCAGAGCACCGAATACTCTAATCCCTGAACCCGAAACCCTAAACCCTTGATGCCCTTTTCTGCGCAGAGCTCTATGGAGGATTCTAGATCCCTAAAGCCTAACCCCATCTAAAACCCCTAAACCCTAAAACCCCCAAAAGGAGACCACACCCAACTCGGAGCCTCGCTCAAAAAGCCCCGGAAGACTCCGAGCCCCGAAAAATTCTGAGAAAGCGCAAAAAACCGCAGGGCTGGAAGCTGTGCCGCGCTGAGACTGAGGCCAGGGCGAGTTTAAGGTTTCAGGGCTCCGGGTTTTAGGGTTTAGGGGTTTAGGGTTTTTTGGGAGGTTTAGGGGTTTAGGGCGGCTTTCGGCTTGCGGGCTTTTTTTTGCGGTTGTGGAGCTGCTGGGCCTAGGCCAGGCCCTGGAGGTGTGGCTTAAAGTAAATTCCAGAAAGTTGGAATATGATTATCTTAAACCTTTTATGGTAAATTATAGGTTATCCTACCCTGAAACCATATTCCAACTTTCTGGAGTTCCCTGCCGCTGCGCGCTTTCGGGTCCTGAGGTGTGCTAGAATCCCGCTCTGCATCGTGAGGACAGTCGCGTGGTGGCGAGGTCAGAGAACCAGACTGGGACGCCCAGAGAAGGCCCCTCGGGTGTACGTAGGGTGAAGTGCTCTAGAATTGTTGTTATTATGAGGGTTGTTATGAGGGGTTACTATCAGTGAAGGGCCACTCTGAGAAGTGACTTTGCCACAGCATGGCTAATGGACATGTGCGGCGCAATCCAGGCGGAATAGACTACCTTTGTGGGAAGCGATCAATGGGCGGCGCCCATGTAACAGCTATGACCATTTCTGCAATATGATTTGCCGATAGCGCAGCTAAGCCATTTCTCAGAAGTTTTGTGGAGTATGCAGCTGATGTTTCCGCTCCTCTGTTTGCCCAGCACCACATCCTAGAGCTGTAAGTTTGTGCTGTCCAGGCTCACCTGCCTGGCATCTTGTGAGTGGGTCCATGCCCCAGCCGCTTCTGCAGTGCTTCTCCCTGCTGCAAAGTCTCGGTTCCGTCAGTCGCAGCTCGAACACACGCGCACCAGGCCTGCTTCTACGTTTTGTGCAAGTCATCGAACCCTAAACCGCCAAGCTGCCTCCGCGCGCACCATCAGCCACTCGCACGGGTCTGAAGCAGCAGCAGGACTTTGACTGCACAGGTGGATGCTTCCCGAAGCCTTGTCGGCATGCCTTCAGCCCCAATCTTCCATGCTCATGGTCTCACATTCCACACCGATCAAAGCAGCCACTGGCGCAAGACAGCGAAGGGAAGGCTTAGTGCTTGTCACTTTAGCCGGCCATGACTTGTTCGTGTCCACCCACTCTCTCCTTTCCACCCTTTTGCGGCCGAGGCCGTGCAGAGTCGGAGGAGATTGCATCCTGAGCCCGAGACCTCCGGACGCCTGCGTTGTCCAAGTTGCTCCTGGCGACAGGCTCACCTCCAGAGCTCACCTGCCGCATGCTGAAGATCTCTCCTTCCTTTGTGCGATGTCAGTGAGACTTCCACCCCGCTGCCCTCGTCTTGTCGCAGGAGGTCGATCGAGCTCCGGGCCTTCTTGACCGGAAGGCACCGGGACCTGGACGAGGCCCGAGAGACGCGCCAAGGCTTCTAGTTCCGCCGCCGCCAGCCGCGAAGCTTTGCCCTGCTCAGGATGGTGCCGGGAGCGTTCTTTGCATGACGTCACAAGGCGAGTCTTCCGAGGAGCAGGGAGAAAGCAATCCCTGAGCTCGTTTGTGCATCTCGCTCTCTCTTGGCGAGGAGCCTCGCCTTCGTGCACTCCAGGCCTCCACCCCTGCCACGCCTCTGGCCACGTCGAACTGGTCCGAGGTGGTCAGCTGCGACTTCGAGGCGCAATAGGACCTGAGACTGGGAGCCTCTAGATGAAGAGCTGCCCTGAAGATGCGAGAAGCTGTGAGGCCAACTTTTGCGGGTGGTCGAATGGTGACAACGCCTGGCGGCCGCGTTCCGGATCGACTCCATCATCAGACACGGGACCAGAGCAGGCAGCAGAAGGGGACTGGTACGTCTACGTAGAGTCGAGCTCCAATGCGAACAAGGCCGGACTTTTCAACAAAAGAAAGGGTCGCGCGCCAGAGCCTGGTCGCAGAAATGCACGACAGGAGTTCATCCTGACCAGCGGCATCTTCGACACTTCACCAGCAACGCGACATCTCCATTTCTATTTCCATATGTTTGGGAGACACTTGCAGACGGGCAGCCTGCGAATGGACGCGTTGCGAAGCAGTGGCTGGACGCAAGTGTGGTCGCGAATCGGAGAGCAAGGGACGCAATGGGGCACAGCATTGGTGAGTTTACCGCAGGACGCCGCAGCTGTGCGTTTCGTCGGCATCACAGGTAACAGCTGGAGGAGCGACATTGGGCTGGATGGCATCGCCGCTGGGCTCCCCACTGTGGAGTTCGATCAGCTCTCTTGTGAGTTCGGTTTCGACACCTGCCTGTGGCAAAGCACTGGTGCCTCCTCATGGCAGCTTGCGGGGGACGCGGATGGCCAGTGGCTGGAGGCTGTGCAGAGTGGTTCCCAAGCTTCGCAATGGATCTTGGAAACCGCGGCGATCTTCAACACCACTGAGGAGAAGGCCTTGGTTTTCGACTATGAGTTGAACGGCTCGGACACCGTGGCGTTGGAGCTACAACACCAAGCCTCTGCTGGCGGCTGGCAGCGTTTGTGGACGCAGTCAGGCAGCCGCGGCGCAGGTTGGCATGCCACCATCGTCACCATCCCTTCTTCCACGATGAGCCTGCGATTGCTTGCCAATAGCACTGACGACGCAGATGTCGTGCGGATCGACAGGCTCCATGCAGCGGACGTCCTGCACGACTGGAGCTCCATTTCCTGTGGTTTTGAATCCGACTTCTGTGCTTGGTCCACCAGTTCGCACCCATGGCTGCGAGAAAAAGGGACTACTTCTAGCTCAGGTACCGGGCCGGACGAGGCTGCAGAAGGTGACACGTACATTTATACAGAAGCCAGTGGCAATTATGAGAACAAGGCCGGACCACTTCAGAAAGCTAAGCAGAATGTACAATGGTAGTTCTTCACAAGCCCTTGTGCAGGCTTTCATTCTCACCAGCGACCTGTTCGACCCATCACCGGAAGCTCGGCATCTCCGTTTCTATTTCCACATGTATGGTGAGGACATAGGCAGCTTGCGAATGGAGACGTTGCGAAGCAGTGGCTGGACACAGCTGTGGTCTCGCATCGGAGAGCAAGGGACGCAATGGGGCCTGGCACAGGTGATGTTGCCGCAGGATGCGAGGGCTGTGCGTTTCATCGGCATCACAGGCAGCGACTCCAAGAGTGACATTGGGCTGGATGGCATCGCCACTGGGCTCCCCACTGTGGAGTTCGATCAGCTCTCTTGTGAGTTCGGTTTCGACACCTGCCTGTGGCAAAGCACTGGTGCCTCTTCATGGCAGCTTGCGGGGGATGCGGATGGCCAGTGGCTGGAGGCTGTGCAGAGTGGTTCCCAAGCTTCGCAATGGATCTTGGAAACCGCGGCGCTCTTCAACACCACTGAGGAGAAGGCCTTGGTTTTCGACTATGAGTTGAACGGCTCGGACACCGTGGCGTTGGAGCTACAACACCAAGCCTCTGCTGGCGGCTGGCGGCGTTTGTGGACGCAGTCAGGCAACCGCGGCGCAGGTTGGCATGCCGCCATCGTCACCATCCCTTCTTCCACGATGAGCCTGCGCTTGCTTGCCAATAGCACTGACGACGCAGATGTCGTGCGGATCGACAGGCTCCATGCAGCGGACGTCCTGCACGACTGGAGCTCCATTTCGTGTGATTTTGAATCCGACTTCTGTGCTTGGTCCACCGGTTCGTACCCATGGCTGCGAGGTTCAGGGACTACTTCTAGCTACGGGACCGGGCCGGACGAGGCTGCAGAAGGTGAGTCGTACATTTATACAGAAGCCAGTGACAATGAGAACAAGGCCGGACCACTTCAGAAAGCTAAGCAGAATGCACAGTGGTAGTTCTTCACAAGCGCTTGTGCAGGCTTTCATTCTCACCAGCGACCTGTTCGACCCATCACCGGAAGCTCGGCATCTCCGTTTCTATTTCCACATGTATGGTGAGGACACAGGCAGCTTGCGAATGGAGACATTGCGAAGCAGTGGCTGGACACAGCTGTGGTCTCGCATCGGAGAGCAAGGGACGCAATGGGGCCTGGCACAGGTGATGTTGCCGCAGGATGCGAGGGCTGTGCGTTTCGTCGGCATCACAGGCAGCGACTTCAAGAGTGACATTGGGCTGGATGGCATCGTCGCTGGGCTCCCCGCTGTGGAGTTCGATCAGCTTACTTGCGAGATCAGTTTAGACACCTGCCTGTGGCAAAGCACTGGTGCATCTTCCTGGCAGCTTGCGGGGGACGCAGATGGACAGTGGCTGGAGGCTGTGCAGAGTGGTTCCCAAGCTTCGCAATGGATCTTGGAAACCGCGGCGATCTTCAACACCACTGAGGAGAAGGCCTTGGTTTTCGACTATGAGTTGAACGGCTCGAGCACCGTGGCGTTGGAGCTACAACACCAAGCCTCTACTGGCGCCTGGCAGCGTTTGTGGACGCAGTCAGGCAGCCGCGGCGCAGGTTGGCATGCCGCCATCGTCACCATCCCTTCTTCCACGATGAGCCTGCGCTTGCTTGCCAATAGCACTGACGACGCAGATGTCGTGCGGATCGACAGTCTCCATGCAGTGGACGTCCTGCACGACTGGAGCTCCATTTCCTGTGGTTTTGAATCCGACTTCTGTGCTTGGTCCACCAGTTCGCACCCATGGCTGCGAGAAAAAGGGACTACTTCTAGCTCAGGTACCGGGCCGGACGAGGCTGCAGAAGGTGAGTCGTACATTTATACAGAAGCCACGGGCAATGAGAACAAGGCCGGACCACTTCAGAAAGCTAAGCAGAATGCACAATGGTAGTTCTTCACAAGCCCTTGTGCAGGATTTCATTCTCACCAGCGACCTGTTCGACCCATCACCGGAAGCTCGGCATCTCCATTTCTATTTCCACATGTATGGTGAGGACACAGGCAGCTTGCGAATGGAGACATTGCGAAGCAGTGGCTGGACACAGCTGTGGTCTCGCATCGGAGAGCAAGGGATGCAATGGGGCCTGGCACAGGTGATGTTGCCGCAGGATGCGAGGGCTGTGCGTTTCGTCGGCATCACAGGCGACTTCAGGAGTGACATTGGGTTGGATGGCATCGCCACTGGGCTCGCCACTGTGGAGTTCGATCAGCTTACTTGCGAGTTCAGTTTAGACACCTGCCTGTGGCAAAGCACTGGTGCATCTTCATGGCAGCTTGCGGGGGACGCAGATGGCCAGTGGCTGGAGGCTGTGCAGAGTGGTTCCCAAGCTTCGCAATGGATCTTGGAAACCGCGGCGCTCTTCAACACCACTGAAGAGAAGGCCTTGGTTTTCGACTATGAGTTGAACGGCTCGAGCACCGTGGCGTTGGAGCTACAACACCAAGCCTCTGCTGGCGGCTGGCAGCGTTTGTGGACGCAGTCAGGCAGCCGCGGCGCAGGTTGGCATGCCGCCATCGTCACCATCCCTTCTTCCACGATGAGCCTGCGCTTGCTTGCCAATAGCACTGACGACGCAGATGTCGTGCGGATCGACAGGCTCCATGCAGCGGACGTCCTGCACGACTGGAGCTCCGTTTCCTGTGATTTTGAATCCGATTTCTGTGCTTGGTCCACCGGTCCGTACCCATGGCTGCGAGGTTCAGGGACTACTTCTAGCTCAGGTACCGGGCCGGACGAGGCTGCAGAAGGTGACACGTACATTTATACAGAAGCCAGTGGCAATGAGAACAAGGCCGGACGACTTCAGAAAGCTAAGCAGAATGCACAATGGTAGTTCTTCACAAGCCCTTGTGCAGGATTTCATTCTCACCAGCGACCTGTTCGACCCATCACCGGAAGCTCGGCATCTCCATTTCTATTTCCACATGTATGGTGAGGACACAGGCAGCTTGCGAATGGAGACGTTGCGAAGCAGTGGCTGGACACAGCTGTGGTCTCGCATCGGAGAGCAAGGGACGCAATGGGGCCTGGCACAGGTGATGTTGCCGCAGGATGCGAGGGCTGTGCGTTTCATCGGCATCACAGGCAGCGACTTCAAGAGTGACATTGGGCTGGATGGCATCGCCACTGGGCTCCCCACTGTGGAGTTCGATCAGCTTACTTGCGAGTTCAGTTTAGACACCTGCCTGTGGCAAAGCACTGGTGCATCTTCATGGCAGCTTGCGGGGGACGCAGATGGCCAGTGGCTGGAGGCTGTGCAGAGTGGTTCCCAAGCTTCGCAATGGATCTTGGAAACCGCGGCGATCTTCAACACCACTGAGGAGAAGGCCTTGGTTTTCGACTATCAGTTGAACGGCTCGAGCACCGTGGCGTTGGAGCTACAACACCAAGCCTCTGCTGGCGGCTGGCAGCGTTTGTGGACGGAGTCAGGTAGCCACGGCGCAGTTTGGCACACCGCCATCGTCACCATACCTGCTGGCAGTGTCGGTTTCCGCTTCTTGGCCAATGTCACCGCGCTTGATGTTGTGAAGCTGGATTCCTTCTGGGCGACTGAAAACTCGGCAGTTCTGGCAAACATCCACTGCAGCTTCGAGCACGACACTTGCAAGTGGGTGGGAGACTGGCAGCGTGTCAGCGGCCCATCTCAAAATCCTGTCCTGCCCACAGCAGCCTTCCACGGCGAGAGCTATGTTTATGCTGGTGGCACCGAGGTGGAGTCCTTCAGGCTCATCAGCCCAGCCTTCCGGAAGCTCGCCAACGTCTCCCACGTGGAGTTTGCTTTCCACATGTTCGGGGCTGGCGTCGGCAAGCTGCAGTTATGGTACCTTAAAGGAGGCAGGTGGCGCTTGCGCTGGTCCCGGCAAGGGAACCAGGGGGCTGACTGGCTTCAGGCCAAGGTGAGACTCCCAAGTGGGGTGGAGATGCTCCGCTTCGTGAGCTCCGAGGCCATCACGGAAGAGTCCGAAGTAGCTTTGGACGGAATCCTCGCTTGGGAGGGCCCTGAGACAGCCCCTGCAGAGTTCCTGAGCCTCTCTTCTGGCAGCTACCACAACTGTGCAGTTCTCAAGGCTGAGGGCCTCCTGAAGTGCTGGGGAGCTGGAAATCACGGCCGCTTGGGTTCCGGCGGCGAAGCACATTTGGGGACATCTCCGGGTGAGATGGGGGAGAACCTTCCGGCTGTGGACCTTGGGGAACCCGGCGTTCGAGTGACGCAGGTGACCTGCGGTACGTGGCACACCTGCGCAGTTCTGGAGACGGGCATCCTGAAATGCTTCGGGGACAATGGGTACGGCAAGCTTGGCTACGGACACACCCGCACTGTTGGAGATGAGCCTTTGGAGATGGGTGCTCAGCTGCCAGCCGTGGACCTGGGCCCTGGAGCGGAGGTGGTGCAGGTGGATTGTTCAAATACCCACACCTGCGCTCTGCTTCGGGGTGGGAGTGTGAAGTGCTTCGGGGAGGGCCGGCTGCTGGGCTTGGGCTTGGGAGGCGAGCGCGGGCCCCAGAGGTTCGGAGCTGCTGCCAGTGCCACGTGATGGCGCTCGAGAGAGTGAGAACTTGGAAACTGAGGGAGGATCGTGGCGACTGGCCCGGCGAGATGGGCTCGAACCTGCCCGCGATTGACCTGGGCACCGACTTCGAAGCGGTGCAGCTGGCCTTGGGAAGTTACCATAGCTGTGCTCTGTCAAGCCAAGGTACCGTGAAATGCTGGGGACAGGGCGATCTCCTGGGCCTGGGACTTCCCCATAATGTCGGACTCGGTGACAACATCAACGAGATGGGTGATGCCCTACCTGCAGTGGACTTGGGCCCCCTTCCGGCTGTGCAGATCGCAGCTGGGTCCCGCCACACCTGCGCCGCTGCTTGCCCGCATCCAGCGCACTGGGCTCGTTTTCATCGTAGCGTTTCACAGTGCCCAATGGCAGGTGCTGTCCGATGGCTCGGCAAAATGCTGGGGTAGGAATTCCAGGGGTCAACTTGGGCACGGCAGCCTTGAAGACGCGGGTGACGAGCCCGGTGAGATGGGCACCAGCCTTCCGGTTGTGGATCTGGGCGATGGGATGACGGTCGTCCATATCACTGCTGGCAGTCATCACAACTGCGCCATCCTCCAAGATGCAAGCCTCAAGTGCTGGGGCTCGGGCGTGAGTGGCCAGCCTGGGCCTCAGTGGAGGGGGTGGGGGTGAAAGGACTGCTTTTGATTCAATCACAAAAGACCTGGAGGCTTGGCCAGGGCAACCTGGAGAGCTTGGGAGATGAGCCTTCCGAGATGGGCTCCAATCTTCGCGCAGTCGGCCTGGGCAATCTCGAGGTGCGGGATGTGAGCGCTGGCTATGGCCACACCTGCGTGCTCCTGGACGACGACAGCACGAGGTGCCTGCAATCCGCAAAAAAACTCGGTGACTGCCTCGCATCATGAGTTTCCGCATGGATGCTTCCCAGGTGTTGGGGCGAGGGCGGTGCTGGGGAGCTGGGCATTGGCAGCACCCTTAGCGTCGGCCAGGTTCCAGGCGAGCTTGGTGTGGCTTTGGTGCCTGCGGAGCTCTTTCCCCAGACCCTTGGTGCTGGCCTTCAGGACTTCAGCTTGCTTTCCGTTGCCGAAGACCATGGCTTCTCCAAAGGGCTGCTCCAGCTGCAGCACAACGCCTCGGTCGGATTGGTCTGTGATGATGACTTTGACGACCGCGCGGCACAAGTGGCCTGCCGTGATCTCGGCATGGCCGGTGGCAGGACGCTGCCAGCCTTGGCGATGTGGGGTTGGGTGGGGGCCGGCACCATCCTTGCTGACAACATTCGGTGTACAGGCGCAGAAGTAAGCCTTCGCGACTGCGACTTTCGCGGGTGGCATCTGCACGACTGCACTCTTCAAGAAGCCGCAGGCCGTTGAAGTGAAAGCTAGGAGTTGACGTGGACATGGTATAAACACATGATGTTCTCAGTGCGCAGGTCTTGAGTGCGAGTCGGATGCGTGGAGCGAGTACACGCCCGCCGCAAGCCCCGCCGGGCGCCAGGACGCGTCTATGGTCTGGGACAGTGAGACTCAGTCTGCATGGATGTTCGGGGGCCACGCCAGCAACGCCTTCCTCTACTTTGCGGAGTTGTGGCGCTATGACTGGCCTCGGCGAGCTTGGACGGAGATCCTGCCGCTCAACGAGGGCTCGACCCCCGGCAGCAGATGGGGCCATGCAGCTGTATGGGATGCGCATTCCAGGTCTATGCTGATCTTTGGAGGCAGGTTTCGAGTTGCCTTCTACGATGACATTTGGCAATTTCGCAGCACGGACAGCACTTGGAGGCAATTGCCTGCCATGGCGAAGCCGTCGGCACGCGCCTACCACAGTGCGATCCTGGACCCGGTGGAGGGTGCGGTGCTAGTTTTTGGAGGAGAGAGCAGCAGCCAGGTGCTGGAGGACCTCCAGCGCTACAGCCTCGCCGACGGCCAGTGGAGCAAGTCTGGCGCGACGGGTCTCGGAGCCCGCAGTCGACACACTGCCGTCTGGGTGCCCACAACCCGCTCCATGCTCGTTTTTGGCGGGTGGAGTGGGCAGCAATATCTGGATGACCTGTGCAGCTACGATGCTTCAGCAGGCACCTGGACCGACTTGTCAGCTTCAGGATATTGGCCCACGGCTCGCGCGGGGCATGCCGCCGAGTGGGACCCAATTTCAATGAGTATGCTAGTCATGGGTGGCATCACCAGTGTGAGCGATGACCTCAGCTACGAGTCCTCGCTGTACAACTACAGCCTCTTGACAAACTCCTGGAAGCAAGAGGGCCTGCAAAGCGAGGTCCCAGGCCCAACCGGCCGTACCGGTCATGTCATGGTTTGGGACGACGCTGCTCGTGGCTTGTTGACCTTCGGTGGCTTCAATGCTTCTTACTTGCAGCAAACCTGGCGATACGTGGTCAGTCAGACCAGCTCGCCCTTGCTGGTCAGCTGCCAGCAGGGCCGCAACTGTTCCTTCCGCTGGAACGCCTCGGGCTTGGGCACCGTGAAACGCAGCTGCTCCGACCCGGTGGTCTTGGCAGGACTAGGGCTCCCCACACCACTCTCGGAAGCGGAGGAGGATCTCTGGATGTTCGGAGGACATGCATCGCCTTTCTTCGTGGAACCGGGTCATCACCGCCTCTGCTGGTGTGATGTCGTCAACTGCAGCCACCCCGACAACTTCAGCGTGACAGTGGGCTACTTTGTCCTGGAGGGGCCGCAGCTGCAGCAGTCCGCTCAATGCTACCTAGGCAGAGACTGCACGATTTCAGAGTGGCGAGGAGTCGGCATCTCCGCGAACGACAGCGTCGTGATGCAGAGCCGATGCGGCGAAGGGCCGCGGCTCTCCTCTTCCACCTACTCCCAGCGCTCGGTCGGCGTCTCCTTCAACGAGTCCTATGGTTGGCACACCTTGCACGTGGGCTTCCTCGACCCAGCGGAGGGCCTCAAACCGGAAGCTCTGGAGCTTTGCTGGTGCCCTGCTGCGGCGGCCCCTTGCGCTTCGGCGGAGGACTTCCTCGTGGTCGCCCTGAGCCTGGACGTGATCTGCCCGCCCGGCGAGTACAGCGAAGGGCCGGGCTCTTCCTGCCTGCCCTGCCCACCGAACTTCTTCTGCCCCGGCGGTTCGGAATTGCAGAGCTGTCCGTCGTCGAGCACTTCGATGCAGGGCTCAAGTCCGCCACCCAGAAGAGAGTATGGCGCTGTTCTGTTCGGTTCTCACAGCAACAGACCAAGGGCTGTCTGTGTTATGCTGAGAGAGATTGAGAGACCGAGGCCTGCTCTCCGACTGCCGGTGCCTTCGAGGGCGCTACTGGGATGCAGAGAGCGCCATCTGCCTGGCGTGCCCCGCTGGGTCTTCGACGTTGCAGGCGGGTCGTCTGCAGGTTCGTAGGTAGCTGCGTGAGGTTTCTTCTGCTTCGTCTCTTCCTCGTCTTTTCGGCTGCACGGCCCTGCTTGTGACTGGAGGAGGGCGCCACCAGCCTTGCGTCCTGCACTTGCATGCCGGGCTTCTTCGCGACGCAGCCCGACAATCCGGCAGTTTGCGAAGCCTGCGGCGTGGGCTTCTTCTGTGCAGGGGGCCTGCAGACCCCGCAGCCGTGTGCGCCGTCCCAAACCACCGTGAGCGACACGTCAGCCAACAGATCCCAGTGTGTTTGCAGGCCCGGCAGCTTCTTGGAAGACGGGCTTTGCGCCCCGTGTCCAGTTGGATTTTTCAAGGGCAGCGTCGGAGACTTCCCGTGCTCGCCATGTGGTACTGGCACCTTCAGCAACGGCACGGGAAGCACAGAGCCTTGCAGATGCCAACAGGGCTATGGTTTTGACGAGGAGATCACACAGTGCAGACCATGCCTTCCGGGCGAATACAAAGCACTGGTAGGCGACACTCCGTGCAGCCGATGCTCTACCAATAAGACTTCTGTGGAGGGCGCCACATCTCCCCTTGACTGTCGATGCCGCTCAGGTCTTGCAGCAGAGGGTGAGAGCTGCCGAGACTGCCGAGATGGCTTCTTCTGCCCGGGCCAGGGTGAAGAGCGGCGATGCCAGGATGATGCCACCTCACGCAGGGGCTCCATCCTGCAGGCAGATTGCCTATGCCTCCCAGGCTACTATGCCCTTGAAGCTCAGGGCCTCTGTGAGCCTTGCGAACCTGGACGCTACAAGCCCACGCTGGCCAACGATCCATCGTGCCCATTACAGTGCCCCACAAATGGCGAGAGTGCCAATGCGTCCACCAACTTAACAGAGTGCTTCTGCATGCCAGGATTTTACGCAGTGCTCGATGAAGGATCCCTCTCCAGGTGCGCCAGTTGTGCCTTCCTTCCTCATGTGCAATGCTTGGGTGGTTTTCACACTCAGGCGGGCATCACTCGGTTGGGGAACCACAAGCTGCCTGTCGCTCGGCCGGGCTACTTCCAGACAGGAGTGACAATCGCCGTGAAGTGCACGGCCGTCACGTCCACTGGCCTCAGCGCTTGCCTCGGAGGGCAGCTATGCGCGCAAGATGACACGGTGGAATGCTTCGGCAAGTATAGCAACGCTTGCGACGAAGGCTCAACCGGGTTCTTTTGTGGAGAATGCCCAGCTGGTTGGGCCAGGAGTGCCTTCCTTCAGCCATGCGAACCGTGCGCTGCTGGTGCTGTTTTGCCACTGGTAGCCTCTGTCATCATCGATGTTGGCACGAAGGTCGCGGGTGCCGAAAGGTTGCCGATTTTTAAGGGGTGTTTGCCAAGCCGCCCCTCAATCCTAGAAGTTGTCCGCAGCAAGGGAAGTGTAAGAAACGGGAGGGAGCGGGTCATAGCGGGGGAAGCGGACAGGCCACGATCAACTTCGTGGTCGCGGCCATGGCCGCAATGGCGGCAGTCAGAGCCAGCAGCAAGCTCCACACGGTGATGATCCGCATCGCCGTCCAGTGGCTGGCTGCCTGCTCGGTCCTGACGGCTTTCGACCTCACGCAGATTCCACTCGAGAATGCGGAGACCCAGGGAGATCAGGAAGAGTATCCACTCTTCCCATGGCCTGCGCAGGTGGCGGTTGAAGGAGGGTCCTTTGAACCCGAGATTTACCCGCTCCTGAAAACCCGTTTCGCCCCACAGCAGGTCAGCGCAGCGATGCGGGGCCTCTTCGAGACCCTCACGCTGACGCCGGTGCTGACATCTGTCAACTCGGCCACACAGTGCTTTGCCCAGGCTAGGCAACAGTAGGCTCCCATAGGGACACAAATCGAAGCAGCATGTCAATGTGGAAGCTGACAGTGCCGCAAGGCTATCGTACACATCAAGGGAAAATAACTAAGTAAGACAAGTAAGAGCTCGAGTTCTGTGTGCCTGAAATCCTAAACCTATCTACCAAGCTCAAGCTCTAGATCGAATTCGCAAACCAATGTACTCCTTGATCAGCTCCTGTTTCATCATTTACGCTTGCAGTCCGAACCGAGAGTGTCGTCTGAATGGTGGTGTAGCGACTCGTGCAGCCTAGCGGTTTCGGACTCCGTCAGGATCTTGCTCCTGACATCACTGCCCCACGCGTCGCCTTTGGAGTGTACCACCTCGCCTTGCCCCTCTTGGTCATGATTGGCATTCTTCTGCTCTCCTTCGTGGTGGTGCATGTGGTGGTGCCTTTGGGGCAGCGTTTCGGCTTCTCCTTCAACGAGTCCGGACGTAGCATGAACCATCTGCGCAAGATCATAGACCCCATGCTCAAAGAGATATTGCGCAAACCTGTCGCCGAAGCCTCCATCACAACGTCGCGTACTTCTGACGCCTTCTCTTGGGCGGACTTGGAGCGCACGGGCACCTTGGGGAACCTCACCACGGCTCAGTTGCAGCAAGCGGCGGAGAACCCGGATGGCTTCTTGCGCACGGCTGCAGCCGGGTCGCGAGAGCTCCTGGTCAGCGCCTGTGCGGCTCGTGCTGCCCAGCTGCATCCGCAGGCCGAGGCCCAGGAGCTTTACCGAGAGCTGGCGAAGGCACCACACCTGAACTTGACCTGCTGCAGACTTCCTGTTTGAAGAGCTGTGACATTCTCTGCTGCAATCGCACTTGCGCAGGCGGATCTCCGACAATTCCTGACCGCGGACTTCGCCACTCGGTCTCCGGATTTTACGGCAATGCTGGACAAGGTCTTGGATGCGGCATTCACCTTCGATGAGGAGACCGTGCCCGTACCGAAGGAAGGCCCTGAGCAAGAAGAGGCGGATGAGCTCCGGCTCGTGGGCTCGGAGCACGCGCCTTGCGACGTTGTGGTCGCCTTGCCCACGGACGCAATGCGCGGACCCAAGAACTGAGCTGCTCGTATTTCCGCCTCCTGAGCGTCGTGCGTTTTGCTCCCGAGGCCCGAGAAGAAACCGGGGGAACAGAGCACCTTCAGCTTTACATCTTTGGAAAACCGAGCAAGCCTGATGGACTCTCTAAATTTCGGCCTCTTCTCGCCGGCACCTCGCTTCGTCGAGCTCGCATACCAGAGCGTGCCCATCATTTGGGTGAGCCTGGTCTCTCTGTGGCCTGGGCTACTGTCCAGCTTCCTGCAGATGATCTGGTGCGTGTCGGTTCTGGAAGACGATGTGCTGGTGAGCCGCCTGCTGCCCAACCCTTCCGTCATTTGCTGGTCCGACGAGCACCTGGTTTCTGCGCGCTTCGCCATCGCTGGGCTCGTCGTGTGGTGCCTGGGCATACCGATTGCGCTGGCCACCGTCTTGTTTCGCCTCCCGGATAGGCAGGCTCCTGACAACTTCAGGCCTGGGCGAGAGACAGGGCCATGCAGGGTGCGCAACACTTGAACGAAGCTCTGATGCGCAGGCGCTTTGGCTATTTCTTCCAGGGCCTGGAGCGACAGTTTTGGTGGTGGGATCTCCTCGTTAAGCGCTTCGACGTGGCCTCAGATCGAAACCTTCACGAGTGGTTGTGTTTGTGTTTGCGGTTTCTCGTTGCAGGTGGTGCAGGCTGCATAGGCTACCTGTTCTCCCGTATCTGGCTTTTAAACAGCAGCTTCTCAGGACTTGGCGCTGATGATGCTCGTCGCCTACACTTCCCTCGTGCCGGATCAGAAGGCCAAGCTCGCGCTCTTCCCCGTCCTCTCGGGCTTCCAGGCAGGGAGCTGCTTCGCACAGCCCTACACTATGCCCTAGGCCCTAGGCCCTAACCCATCGCAGCCGCGTTGAATAGCCGATAGCCGATTGGATGTGCGCAGTTGTACGCGGAGAGACGGGGAGGGCGGAACAAGAACATGTGAGGGCGCAGTGAATTGCTTGCTGCACGCAGCGAGAGGGAGGAGAGGGCGGAGAAGCGGCTGCCCCACACATGCAAAGGGAAGCAGTGACAACAGACGTTGATGGAGTGGCGGCTCAGACTGTTTGTGCGCATAAGTAACACCGGTGGTCGGCGGTCCAACGCATGCCCACACCGAAATCTTGCCCTGCGAATCCTCCTGCTGTGCATTCGGAAGACCTACCTGATTTAGAGTGCGGCGGAGCTGTTCTTCCCTGTGACTGATCTGTTCTCCCATCCATTTGCCCCCGAGCCTGCTGTGCACGCTTGGTCTGCAGCAGGCGCTGCTGGCAGCGTGGGTCCGGCCCTATGCAAACGACCAGGCCGAGGTGCTGGACGTCTTGGAGGCCATCGCCGGGCCATCCGCTTGTTTTAGTAGGGCCTCCCGGCTCTTGAGGGCTTTCCGAGTGCTTCCTGCAGGTGACACTGTGCTCGATCCGGTTTCTGCTCTTCAGCGGAGTGGCGCTGCTGCTCAATCTGGAGACACCGACAGAGACGGCTCACACGCCACTGTGCCGATATCCTGAAGCTCCTAAGCACCTGTTTCCCATCACCGGTCCCAGCCTGAACCCAAGCCAGGGTGGCCTACCTCCTCCTGCTGGTCTTGGTGCTCGCCTGCCTTTACTTCTTCGTCCACTTCACAGCCCAGGTCTGGCCAAGACACCAGACGGTGACGTCAGCTTTGTAGGTCTAAGCGAGTAAATGCATACGACATCAGGATCGCGGTCTATCGTCAAATGCTGCTTGTCCATCGTGGTTACTATGCGTAGGCCTTAGCTAGCTGTCACTGTCGCTGTCGTGATCGTCTTTACATATCTGCAGTCTTATCACTGTTATCCGATATCAACCTAGGTACCAGTGCCAGTACCAGGCTGTCAGCTTGGTGCCCGAAGCCCCAAATCAGAAGTGGGCTTGGGTTTCTTTTGGAACCCGTAGTTTTTTTGGAACTGTCGGAAAGTTTTTTTTTGCCCTGGGCAGGCCCGTTGAGTATGCATGGACAGAGTCCGGAGCAAGCCCTCCGCCTTGTCCAGGGTCTTGTTTGTATCTCCATCAACGTCGACACGGTCTAAAACAGGCTTTCTCTCCCGCGCACGGATTTTCTTCTGCCTCGCCACGTATCCTTGACCAAAAAGGTCTTCTCCTCAGCGGACAGGGCTTTCAACGGCCCCTTTGGTCCCCGGATCGAGATTCCTCGGGCCCGGGATGTTGAGACAAAAGCCCTCTTAACCCAACGCCGGGTTTTGAAAGTCGCCTCGTTCACCCCTTGCCACCTAGAGGTCTTAAAGAATGCCCTCTCCCTGCCACAATGGGATTCACTTGGGCCTTGCGGTTTTCATGGCCCTTGAGGCAAAAGGAACGAATGAAGCCTCGAGGAGGGCAGAAAACACCTGGACAGGCCACACAAGGCTTTGTTTTACTTCTTGACAAGGCTTCATCCAGACGTGCCGGTATCGTCTGGGTGTTTCGCGCTTATGTGTTCTTTCTGTTGCTTGGTAGTCCTCCACGCAATGCCCGACGAATTCGCACGGTTATGCAGGGTTCGATCACTGTCACGCCTTTCCCGGGCTCGGGCTTCCGGTTCTCAAATTCTCCAGTTGCTTTCGAGTGGTTTGCTCCTTTTTCTCAAATGTCTTAGTCCTTTTCTCGAGCGGTTTGCTGCTGGTTTACAGATTCTCTAGTCTCTTTCGAACGGTTTGCTCCTTGTTCTGTTCCTTTGGAGCGGTTTCCTGCGTGTTCTCAAAGTCTCTATTTTCGAGCGGATTGCTCCCGTGTTCTCAATCAAATTCTCCAGTCCTTTTCGAGCGGTTTGCTCCGGTGTTCTCAAATTCTCTAGTGTCTTTGGAGCGTGTTGCTCCTTGCTCTCAAATTTTTTAAGTATCTTTGGAGCGGTTCGTTCCTGGTGTTCTGAACAAGTTTTCTAGTCTCTCTCGAGCGGTTTGCGCCTTGTTCCAAAATTCGCTAGTCTCTTCCGAGCGGCTTGCTCCTTGTTCTCAAATGCTTGCGTTTCTTTCGAGTGGTGAGCTCCTTGTTCTCAAAATCGCTGGTCTCTCTTTGGGCGGCTTGATTTTTGCTTTCAATGACTCCAGTCTCTTTCAATCTCGACGGGGCGGTTTGCTCTTTTCTGTCAATTTCAGTCTTCTCTTTTGAGCGGTTTGCCACTTGTCGCAAATTCTCTAGACTTTTGTGAGTGGTTGGCTCCTGGTTCTCAAGTTGTCTAGTTCCGTTCGAGGCGTTTGCTCCTTGTCTCCTTGTTCACAACCTCCCTAGTTTAGTTTCAGCGGTTGGCTCCTTTTTCTGTTCCTTTGGAGCGGTGTCCTCCTTGTTCTCGAAGTCTCTAGTCTGTTTCGAGCGGTTTGCCCCTTGTTCTCAACTTCTCTAGTCCTTTTCGAGCGGTTTGCTCCCGTGTTCTCGTGTCTTTGGAGCAACTTTGCAGTCTTTTTCCTCACATCTCTCCAGCTCCATTCGCTTGGTCTGCTCTTTGTTCACAAATCCTCTAGCGGCTTGCTCTTTGTTCTGAGAGTCTCTAGGTCCCTTGTTCTCAAATTCGCAAACTAGTTTTGCTCCTTCTTCTCAAAATCTCTGGTCGTTTTCGAGCGGTTTGCTCCTTGTTCTCAAACTCTCTAGCCTCTTTCGAGCGGTTTGCTCCGTGTTTCCCAATTCTCTAGTCCGTTTTGAGCGGTTTGCTCCTTGTTCCCACATTAATTCCCTTTTCGAACTTCGGCTCCTTGTTCTCGAATTCTATAGTCTCTTTCGTCCGGTTAGTTCCTTTTCTCGAGTTCTCGAGTCCTTGAATCGCTCTCAAATTCGCTACTCTGTTTCGAGCGGTTTGCTCCTTGTTCTCAACTTCTCTTGTTTCTTTCGAAAGGTTTGCTCCTTGTTCTCAGATTGGGCGGTTTGCTCCTCAACTTCTCTAGTATCTTTCAAGCGTTTGTTACCTGTTCTCATGTTCTCCATCTTTTCGCCAGCGGCTGGTTCTCAAATCTCTGGTCGTTTCCGAGCGGTTTGCTCCTTACTCTCAAGTTCGCTAGTGTCTGTCGAACGCTGCTCCTTGTGTTCTCAGATTTGCTGGCTGTTTTTCGGAGCGAGTTGCTCTTCTTTGTCAAAGTTCTAATTTATTTCGCTTGTTCTGCTCTTTGTTCTCAATTCCCGAGTCTCTTTCGAGCGGTTTGCTCCTTGTTCTTAAATTCCGTAGTCTGTTTCGAGCGGTTTGCTCGTTGTTCTGAAATTCTGTGGTCTTTTTCGAGGGGCTTGCTGCCAGTTGTTAACTTCTCTAGTCTCAGTGGAGCGGTTTGCTCGTTGCATTGTCAAACACGGTTTGCTCCTTGTTCAACAAGTTTTCTGGTCTTTTTCGAGCATTTTGCTCCTTGTTCTCAAATTCTCTAATCTCCTTCGAGCGGTTTGCTCTTTGTCCTCAAACATTGTGGTCTTTTTTGCGTGGCTTGCCCCTTGTTCTCAAACTCCCTAGTCTCTTTCGAGCGGCTTCCGCCGTGGTCTCAAGCTCTCTCATCTCTGTGTGCGCCTTGTGTTCTGAATATATATATGTATATACATAAATGATATATATATATATATATATATATATACACTGTTTTTTGCGTGGTTTGCGTTTCTGTGTTCAAACCTTTTGGTTTCTTTCGCCTGGTTTGCTCCTTGTTCTTAATTCTCTACTCTTTTTCGAGCGGCTTGCTCCTTGTTTGTCGAAATCTCAAGCCGTTTTCGAACGGCTTGCTCCTTGTTTTGAAATTCTTCAGTCTCTTTCGAGCGGCTTGCTCCTTGTTCCCAAAATCTGTAGTACCTTTGGAGCTGTTTGCTCCTTGTTGTGTTTGCTATCTCTAATCTCTTCGGGAGGTTTGCCCCCCTGTTCTCAACGGCTCCGATCTTTTTTAAGCGGTTTGCCTTCTTTCTGTCCCCTTCGAACGGTTTGCCCAATTGCTACAAGACCTCTTGCTTCTTTCTCTCAGTTTCTTTAGTCTCGGTCGCTTGGTTTGCTCTTTGTTCTCAAGCTCGCCAGTCCTTTTCGAGCGGTTTGCTCCTTGTTCTGAAATTCTCTAGACCCTTTCGAGCGTCTTGCTCCTTGTTATTACTTTTTGAACTCTTTAGTCTCTTTTAAGCGGTTTGCTTCTTACTCTTTTAGTCAAATTACCTGGTCTCTGTCGAGCGGTTTGCTTTTTGTTCTGAAATTCTGTAGTCTCTCTTTCGAGCGGGTTACTGCTTGTTCTCAAATGCTCGAGTCTCTTTCGAGCGGTTCGCTTGGTGTTCCCTTTCTCCAGGCCCCTTCGAGCGGTTTGCTGCTTTGTCTCAAATTCTCTAGTCTTTTTCGAGCGGTTTGCTCCTTGTTCTCAAATGCTGTAGTCTCTTTCAAGAGGTTTGCTCCGCGTTCTCAGTCTTTGATCTTTTTCGAGTGGAACTATATAAGAACTTTCTTCGGCCGGTTAGGTTATTTGCCTCCTTAAAGATTCTGTTGTTCCTGGGGCCTTCAATCCCCGCAACCCAGGGCGTGAAAACACCCTGTATGGTCGGTTTGTTCTGGCTTAGACCCCAAACCCTGAGGATCTGAACAGGGCGCGAAAAAAGACCCCAAGCGAGAGAGTGAGCATGGGGAGCCTTTTCGGGATGTGAAAAAGCCCCGCCCATCAGAAATTCCTAAATCCTAAAGTCGTCAACTGGAAGCTTCTAAACCTTAACGGTCCTAAACCTCAAACTCGTGAACCTGAAACTCCTAAGCATTAAAGCCTTAGACCCTACTTGTCGGAGGTCCTTCGGGATGCAGCGACCTGGAAATCGTTAGGCCAGCCTTTTTCGAAGCACCTGCTGGCTTTGGAGTTTGGTAGCGTTTAGGTTTTAGGGCTTCGCGAGTTAGGGGTTCAAGGTTTTGAGTACAAGTTTCTGGAGAGAACCTTATTATACCCTAAACCCTAAACACCTTGGCAACCCCTTGGAGGTTGGTTTCCGCGCTTTCTGATCGAGTTGGCACTGCCCTTGCTCACAGAGGCGTGGGCTTCATGAAGGGTGCACACTGAGTTGGAGCACATGTTACATATGTCCATGCCATAATCGTAAAGATACTATACTTTTTGGCAGGTTTGAGTGGGTTCGATCAGGTCAGGTTTTGTTTCGTACTATATCGTACTATATCGTACTATATCGTATTATCTTGTATTCCACATTTCAATAGCGGACCGGGTTATTGTGCATTTTTCGATTATTGTGGTATATTTCATTGTCTTATATTGTAATATGTCATATTACGTTAAGCTTTCTTGTTTCGAGAGATCTTTGCTTGTAGTGGTATCATATTGCATTATATTCCATTGCCTCGGATTGTGTGCATATTTTTGTATAACTTGCTTTAGATATGGTCTGTATCATTTTATCTGCCACATATCATGTGCTACAAAATACGCCACACTATATGAATGTATGGTGTATTACATATGACATAGCATGTTTCCCATGTTTTACAGCGTATATATATATATATATACACATACTACATCGTCTAGTATCTATCACATACAACCTGTGATTCGTCATCTGCCATGTATCATCTACTCATCTACTAGATATTGCCGATTACTTGCTTCTGTTTTCCTTTGTGTATTATCTGGTGTCGATAAGTTGTTACATGTTTTACATGTTAACTGTGCTACTGCAATAGTGTATGTTTATATTGTCAATATATACAGCAGTTTTTTGTCATGTACATGTTTCTATCGTACATCATATTGCTTTTTGCGAAATGCTATGTTACATTTTGCACCGTTAGATCATACTTTGCTGTAGTGTGTTTTTATGTTGTGGCATACTATGCCATATTATGTTTGTATGTTCTAGCACATTGACTCTTTGTTACGGTTAAACATATAGATGCTACTGTAGTATGTTTTTCTTCGTATTATAGTTTACATTATATCATTATACCGCAGCACATCATATTATTTTGTATTCGTTTCCCGCATATTCTGTTATTTTATAGTAGCTATTAACCCTACCATATTCTGTTATACTACATCTTGTTCTCATCTATGAAGTCCATGGTATTGGGTTTTGGTTGTATTGTAATATATCCCAGTAGATTTAAGTATATATCATAATAGGATGCCATCACCTTGTATTGCCTTGTCCTTTTAATTTATATATACACAACTAGAACCATATCTTAGATGGTACAATGTTGTTGTAGGGGTCATTTACCAAGCTATACCAAGTTACATCCGTTTGTGAAATCCTAGCATAGTGTTATTTATTATGCTATATCGTATTTCGCTATGTACTTTAGGATATTACTCAGCTTACAAGGTCTGTGCCCACTTGGGACTGGGCCACAGCCAGAAAGGTTAACTCTTCGCGTCCACATTCTGGATGACGGCAGGTATCTGCAGATGATACAGCTGGAATATCCAACACCGGCAGTACCTTCACAAGTTCGTACTTATCTGTTTTGCACTTCGATAAACTTCAGTGCGCAAAGCGGGTTGAAAGGCTATCTTGTTGAGGGTAACCTTACACCCTGAACCCGTCCGAGGGTTCTGCTTTGCTCGTCGTAAACCCTAAACCCTGAACCCTCACCGAAGACCCGAAAATCCTGAACCCCAAACCTTTGGAGCAGTGACCGACGCAGGCGCAGTCAGAGTCTCTTGAGCTGCATTGGTCTTTGTCATCGGAGAAGATCACACTGACGACCGCGTCACTTGATGCAAGGCACGCATTGTGTCCAGGGAAAGGGTTTTGTGCGCGACATGTCACTACCCTAATCCTTAATCCAAAACCCAGGTCCGGTTGTGGGCATTGGGTTTGGAGCGGCTAACAACGAGAAAACAGGAGCAGCAAAACCCACAGTCCACAACCCTGTCTCACATGCAAGCAGATGGTGCCAGGAACAGCGGACAAACGTCGAAAACGGCCCTCGGCAAGATCTGTAGCTTGGACGATCTGAATGGCAAGCTTAGGGTTCAGGGTTTAGGGTTTGGGCTACGGGTTTAGGTTTCAGGATTTATTTCAGTTTCTGGGGTGTCCGGTCGACTTATCTTGAGCTTTGCGCCCGACAATGCATGACAACTCCACCGAGCTTTGTCTGTATGCTTCGACAGACAGGTAGATAAGCAGCATGTCCATGGTATTCGTAGATGTGCAACAGTAGTTGCATAGGTTTTTGTCTGCAGTCTAGTTGAACCTAACATGGGTGACCATGAGAGGAAGTAAGCCCTCTTCCGAGTTGGGAAACGGTTTCGGGTTCAGGGGTTGAGGGTCCAGGGTTTAATGATAAGGGTCTGGGGGGGGGGGGGGTAAGGATGTTTAGGTTAAGGGTTTAGGGTTTAGGGCCTGTAGGGTTGTAAGGGTTCGAGTCAACACCTCCGTACCTCAATTCTCCGACCTATTGGGTGTAGTCTGTTTCCCATACGTGTCGACAGTTTACGGATCGCTTGACAGCTTGAATGGTTTATAAACAAACAACCTGCCATAAATACAGTATCACATGAAGCTCCGTTTGCATGCGTAGAGCTCGTGTCCCCAAACACGAAGTCGAGCATTTCTTGTAAGCTCATGAATTTACCGCAGCACCTAGGTATCAAAGCGTGGCTGGTGCTACGGCAGATGAGTAAAGCTGTTTTGCGACATGGTCCCCTCTTCCAGCAAGCTGCGGTTGCGAAGGCCACGGTTTCGGGGTCAGGAAGGGTACCCAAGCAGGGTTTAGGGTTTAGGGTTTCGGCCTATGAAGCACAGCATGTGTGTACACGTGAACAGGCGTTTGTCAGTGTGCCGATAACCGTACACACACACAAAAGTACATGCGGGCCTAATCTGCATATGTGCATACCTGCGACTTGGATATACCTAGTTCTGTCTGGTTGTTTTATACATACATCCTATACATACACACATGCATACATACCCACCTACCTACTTGCCAACCTACATACATACATACATACGTACATACATACGCACACATACGCACACGCACACACGCACACACGCACACACACACACACATACACTGAGACCCACCCACACATATACAAATACATATATATATATATACACACACACAAATAAGTACATACACACAGGCATAGACATTTTCTTGCATGCGGAGGTGTACTTGTGTGCACGCTGCATACATGTACGTCGTACTTTTGCATATCGTTTCTTCTCTTTGTCTACCTGTCTGTCTGTCTGTTTGTCAGTCTGTCTGTTTGTCTGTCTGTCTGTGTCTTTCAAAACCTGAGAACTTTAATGATCTGAGGACTTACTCGGATGTGTGATGAGTTGGTGCATGTAAAGGCATGCATATGTCCTTCTATTCATACTTTTTGCATTCACATTTGCAGGGCACGCGTATAGACAAGCATACATGCGCGAGTGAAGTACATCAGTAATCGTTCAGGCTTCGATACTGGTCTTGTCTCGAACTGCCAGCAATTCTTTTGAGTCTCAGACTGTTTTTCGTGGTCTGCAAGGCCTATGAGTATCGAGGAAGGCCAACAACGCCTGTTGCAGTACCTCACCCCCGGTTTATCAGCCTTGGAAGGCCAACGACGACTTGCTCGCACTCTGGCTTCAGCTTGGGTCGAAGCTGCCCTCACAGCTGCCCTCACCGAAGCACGCCTGTGCTCTTGCAACAGCGTGCAAGGCATTGCCGCGCTCGCTGGTGAAAAGCCGCATCTGCGTTTCATGGATGCAGCAGCTCGAAGCACTTGCCCAGCAAGATCCGCCCTTCAGATGCAGCCCCAAAGATCTGGAGCAAGCGGTTCAGCAACTTGGGAGACTGTCGTCAGAAGACGGTTCCATGTTGATTGAATATGTCGTATCTTTGTGCGATGCGTACATCGAGCCAGAAGCCCCACTTGAATTTTGATCCGACCTGCACGAAGTGCTTCAACTTAAACATCTTCTGCTCGAAATCGAGCACAGCAAATTCGGACTGCTCCGATGCAATTTCCGGCTGGCCCGAAGGCTCCTGCGAGCCGCAGATCTTGCTCTCAAGTTGAGCTTCAAAATATGTGCGCGGTGCCAAGCGGCATGATATGAAGAAACTCTACTGTTACTAGACTCTGTAGGCTTTTTCTGGCAGCAGCACGCACATTCTGCACAGCCCGAAGGCATCAAGCTCATGTATCGGCTCATGCAGGACTTGCTCTCAAGTTGAGTGTCACATGATATGCGTGGTGGCAAGCGGCAAGATACGCAGAAGGTTTGATCATTCATGTACTAGCCATCTTCCGAAGCCTCCTATGAATCTGTGCAGGTTTGCTTGCCGGCAGCCACCGTGCACATTCTGCATAGCTTCAGCGTCAAGCTAATGCTTCAGATCATGTTGATGGCCTTAGTCTCCATCCTACAACTGTAAACCACTAACCCGTACACGGTCCTGAACCCTACCAGGCTACTTGAGGCGAGGTACTCTTCACTCTCGGCAGAATGGCCTTGCTCAGGAATTGGTCCTTTTAAAGGGGCCTGGCCTTTTTTTTTCTCCTGAGCGGGGCCTCGCCAGATGCGTGCCAGCATCTTTTTACTCCCCCAAGGGGCGCTTTTTTACTCGTATTCGCCCGCCCGCCGCCCTTCAGGCAGCTCGAGCTTGTGCTCTGGCATGTTCACGGGGTACTGTTGTGCTACCGGGATAGAGCCGCTTTCTTTCAGATCTGCAAGGTCCTCTCATACAGCTTTGAAAGCCTGCGAACTACGAACTGCCGAGTCTCCGTGCGGCGCGGGTTCGGAATTCCAGATGCATGCGCTGTCAAAAGGCAAGAATGACATGATCTTCAGCCACACGCCAGTTGAAAGCAACAAACTACTAAACATAGCCAGGAATCCATCACCCGCATTCGTGTAGTCATCTGAACCACAGCCACTCGGAAAAAAATTCTACTGATCTTGGCATTTCCATATCACTAGCACCACCATCATGGTTGTCATATTGATCAGCAGCACGATGATGATGATGATGATGATGACCATCACCCTCGCCATTACCATCACCATCATCGTTATTTCTATCTTCATTATTACTGCTGCAACGACCACCAGTGCCGCGACCGATACTGTGACTGCTACTGTGACTGCTACTGTGACTGCGACTGCTACTTCGACTGCCACTCTCGGGTGCTGAAGGGAAAATGTGGTCTGAGCTTGCCAACCAAAGATATTTCGCTTGAGATTGCAGTTGGATGTTCAAACCGTCTATGCGTTTTTGCCGCAACCAGTGGGCTGGCTCCAGCTGATTGCACTTGCGCTTTGACCTTCGAGCAGAGGCGACGCATGAAGAAATGACAAGATGTGTTGGGAGTTCAGAGCCCTAAATCCTACACCCAACCCTAAACTCCTGAGAGCCCTAAACGGGACTACAAAGTTTCCTTGGCCGGTCGGGATCATGGCGGCGCGTTGGATCATTTTCATGACCGGCTTCGTGCAAGGCAATTGCGGTGGGGATCTGCGCACACAAGTCACTGTCCAAGCTTCCATGCAGCAGCAAAGTGGCCATGGGCGGCAGTGGTGTAGAGAAGAGGTGAACAGGTTGTGATTGTCTGTGCTCGTATGCAGCCACTTGGGGAATAGCGGAGTTGGCGGCCAGCCTTGTCTTCGTTTTGATGCGCGACATCTGCTGCTTAGGGATGTACGTGTTTGTCGGCAAGGTTGGCAGCCTTAACTTCGGGCCCGCACAACCCCTTAACGGCCAAACAGAGTGCGTGCTCCTTGCAACACCTGCTGTTGGTTTGGCTCGTCTCCGTTTGACTGGCAGGCTGTAGGCAAGTGCAGTCTGTAGCAAGGGTGTCTCGGGTGTCGCCTACCGCGCCGGCTGCAGGTGCATTGAGTTCACCAGCATGGCAGGTAAACGTGGGGCTCGAGCCTGAGATGTCCTGCATCAGGTCGAAGGATCATGGGACTTAGCAAGTTTACAAACATGGGGCAGCCGTGGTCATGATTACTTATGAACCCGTTTAATAAGGGGTTTCTAACCATGCATACAACATCCTTGGATTCACCAAGCAGTGGCACTACGTGGGCTAAAGACTGTCCAGTGCATCCCCTGTGAACAGCAGGAGTGGAAGCCCCGACCACTTAGGTCATGCACGTTGCAAGATGATGGCTGCATTGCCAGCACGGACACGCCGGCCAACCAGATGCGTGACATCTCTTGCTTGATCGGGCTCGAACAGAGCACCAGGCAGAGAGATGATAGGGGTTATTCAGTGTGCCGCGGTCGCATGCCAGGACATTTGTATACGTGCATGTGTGAACAGAGGCGTTTTCTCCATTTTGGGACATGTTGTGCCTGCGCATCACTTGAAGCCTCGTGACTTGGAATCCTGCTGTGACAATCATGATGAAGATGAAGATTATAATGGTCATGATGATGATGGTGATGGCCGTAGTCATGATGATGACGATACGCATATTGACGACGACAATCATTGTCGTGTACCTTTGAACCTTTCCAAGTAACTGCGAAGGGCCATCGAGATCGAGATCGTGCCCGTCTCGGCCAACGGCACCCAGCGGGGCGAAATGATGCAGGAGAGCGTTGAGTTGGGTCCGTTTCTGTCGTGTCTGATGCGATCAAGCTGCAAAGTGATCTTGGCTGAGGTTTGCTTGCAGGTTTTAGACGGTCCAAAGCAAAGCACCGAATACTCTGAACCCTGAACCCTAAACCCGTGATGCTCTTTTCTACTCAGAGCTCTATGGAGGATTCTGGATCCACTATTTATTAAGGCCCCTACACTAAACCCTTATAGTACCCTTATAGCATCCCTCAAACTCAAAGGAACCCTTTCAAGGAAACCCCAAAATAGCATAGGTATATTAAGGCCCCTATAACCCGACCTCTGCGCCTCGCTCTACGCCCCGTGTTATGGAGGATTCTACATCATAAACCCTACCTTGACCCTGAATAACCTACCTTTTTCGGGTTTCCTTATTATGATTTCTTTATATAAGTCCTTAAAAATGTAGGTTCTTCGGGGTTAAGGTAAACCCTAAAACGGAGACACACCCAACTCAGCGCCTCGCTCAAAAAGCCCCGGAAGACTCCGATCCCCTAAGCCTTCCGAGAAAGCGAAGACTCCGCAGGGCTGGAGGCTGTGCCGCGCTGAGACTGAGGCCATGCGAGTTTAGGGTTTTCGGGTTTAGGGGTTTAGGGTTTTTTTGGGAGGTTTAGGGGTGTACAGGGTTCAGGATTTAGGGCGGCTTTCGGCTTGGAGTTTCAGGGCTTTTTTGCGGTTGTGGAGCTGCTGGGCCGAGGCCAGGCCCTAAAGGTATGGCTTACATTGTCGGCGCATGCTTTCGGGTCCTGAGGTGCGCTAGAATCCCGCTCTGCATCGTGAGGACAGTCGCGTGGTGGCGAGGTCAGAGAACCAGACTGGGACGCCCGGGGAAGGCCCCTCGGGTGTACGTAGGGTGAAGTGCTCTAGAATGGTGGTTATGATGAGCGTTGCTATAACGGTTGTTGTGAGGGGGTTGCTCTAAGTCAAGGGCCGCTCTGGGGGGTGGCTATACCGCAGCATGACTAATGGACATGTGCGGCGCAATCCAGGCGGAATAGACTACCTTTGTTGCCACTCATGAAGCGATCAATGGGCGGCGCCCATGTAACAGTCACAGCTATGACCATTTCTGCAAGACCATTTGCCGATGGAGCAGCTAAGCCATTTTTCAGAACTTCTGTGGAGTATGCAGCTGATGTTTCCACTCCACTGATTTTTGCACGTCCTCAGTTTGCCCAGCACCACATCCTAGAGCTGTAAGTTTGTGCTGTCCAGGCTCACCTGCCTGGCATCTTGTGAGTGGGTCCATGCCCCAGCCGCTTCTGCAGTGCTTCGCCCTGCTGCAAAGTCTCGGTTCCGTCAGTCGCAGCTCCGAACACATGCGCACCAGGCCTGCTTCTACGTGTTGTGCAAGTCATCGAACCCTAAACCGCCAAGCTGCCTCCGTGCGCATCATCAGCCACTCGCACGGGTCTGAAGCAGCAGCAGGACTTTGACTGCACAGGTGGATGCTTCCCGAAGCCTTGTCGGCATGCCTTCAGCCCCAATCTTCCATGCTCATGGTCTCACATTCCACACCGATCAAAGCAGCCACTGGTGCAAGACAGCGAAGGGAAGGCTTAGTGCTTGTAACTTTAGCCGGCCATGTCTCGTTTGTGTCCACCCACTCTCTCCTTTCCACCCTTTTGCGGCCGAGGCCGTGCAGAGTCGGAGGACATTGCATCCTGAGCCCGAGACCTCCGGACGCCTGCGTTGTCCAAGTTGGTCGTGGCGACAGGCTCACCTCCAGAGCTCACCTGCCGCATGCTGAAGATCTCTCCTTCCTTAGTGCGATGTCAGTGAGACTTCCCCCGCCCCCCGCCACCCTGCTGCCCTCGTCTTGTCGCAGGAGGTCGATCGAGCTCCGGGCCTTCTTGACCGGAAGGCACCGGGACCTGGACGAGGCCTGAGAAACGCGCCAAGGCTTCTCGTTCCGCCGCCGCCAGCCGCGAAGCTTTGCCCTGCTCAGGATGGTGCTGGGAGCGTTCTTTGCATGACGTCACACGGCGAGTCTTCCCAGGAGCAGGGAGAAAGCAGTCCCGGAGCTCGTTTGTGCATCTCGCTCTCTCTTGGCGAGGAGCCTCGCCTTCGTGCACTCCAGGCCTCCACCCCTGCCACGCCTCTGGCAGCGTCGAACTGGTCCGAGGTGGTCAGCTGCAACTTCGAGGCGCAATAGGACCTGAGATTGGGAGCCTTTAGATGAAGAGCTGCCCTGAAGATGCGAGAAGCTGTGAGGCTAACTTTTGCGGGTGGTCGAATGGTGACAACGCCTGGCGGTCTCGTTCCGGATCGACTCCATCATCAGACACGGGACCAGAGCAGGCAGCAGAAGGGGACTGGTACGTCTATGTAGAGTCGAGCTCCAATGCGAACAAGGCCGGGCTTTTCAACAAAAGAAAGGGTAGCGCGCCAGAGCCTGGTCGCAGAAATGCACGACAGGAGTTCATCCTGACCAGCGGCATCTTCGACACTTCACCAGCAACGCGGCATCTCCATTTCTATTTTCATATGTTTGGGAGACACTTGCAGACGGGCAGCCTGCGAATGGACGCGTTGCGAAGCAGTGGCTGGACGCAAGTGTGGTCGCGAATCGGAGAGCAAGGGATGCAATGGGGCACAGCATTGGTGAGTCTACCGCAGGACGCCGCAGCTGTGCGTTTCGTCGGCATCACAGGTGACAGCTGGAGGAGCGACATTGGGCTGGATGGCATCGCCGCTGGGCTCCCGACTGTGGAGTTCGATCAGCTCTCTTGTGAGTTCGGTTTCGACACCTGCCTGTGGCAAAGCACTGGTGCCTCTTCATGGCAGCTTGCGGGGGACGCGGATGGCCAGTGGCTGGAGGCTGTGCAGAGTGGTTCCCAAGCTTCGCAATGGATCTTGGAAACCGTGGCGCTCTTCAACACCACTAAGGACCATGCCTTGGTTTTCGACTATCAGTTGAACGGCTCGAGCACCGTGGCGTTGGAGCTACAACACCAAGCCTCCGCTACTGGGGGCTGGCAGCGTTTGTGGACGCAGTCAGGCAGCCGCGGCGCAGGTTGGCATGCCGCCATCGTCACCATCCCTTCTTCCACGATGAGCCTGCGCTTGGTTGCCAATAGCACTGACGACGCAGATGTCGTGCGGATCGACAGGCTCCATGCAGCGGACGTCCTGCACGACTGGAGCTCCATTTCCTGTGGTTTTGAATCTGACTTCTGTGCTTGGTCCACCAGTTCGCACCCATGGCTGCGAGGTTCAGGGACTACTTTTAGCTCAGGTACCGGGCCGGACGAGGCTGCAGAAGGTGAGTCGTACATTTATACAGAAGCCAGTGACAATGAGAACAAGGCCGGACCACTTCAGAAAGCTAAGCAGAATGCACGATGGTAGTTCTTCACAAGCCCTTGTGCAGGCTTTCATTCTCACCAGCGACCTGTTCGACCCATCACCGGAAGCTCGGCATCTCCGTTTCTATTTCCACATGTATGGTGAGGACACAGGCAGCTTGCGAATGGAGACGTTGCGAAGCAGTGGCTGGAGACAGCTGTGGTCTCGCATCGGAGAGCAAGGGACGCAATGGGGCCTGGCACAGGTGATGTTGCCGCAGGATGCGAGGGCTGTGCGTTTCATCGGCATCACAGGCAGCGACTTCAAGAGTGACATTGGGCTGGATGGCATCGCTACTGGGCTCCCCACTGTGGAGTTCGATCAGCTTACTTGCGAGTTCAGTTTAGACACCTGCCTGTGGCAAAGCACTGGTGCCTCTTCCTGGCAGCTTGCGGGGGACGCGTCTGGCCAGTGGCTGGAGGCTTCTGGCAACAGTTCTCAAGCTTCGGAATTCATCTTGGAGACAGCGGCTCTTTTCAGCACCACTGGAGAGAAGGGCTTGAAGTTGAGTTTTGAATATCAGCTGAACGGCTCGGATGCCGTGGCATTGGAGGTACAGCACCAAATCTCCGCCGGAGACTGGCAGCGTTTGCTGTTGGAGTCGGCTGGCCGCGGTGCTGTTTGGCACACCGCCACAGTTGCCGTGCCTGTTGGCAGTGTTGGCTTCAGCTTCGTGGCCAATCTCACTAGGGAGGCAGATGTTGTGCGTATCGACTCACTCCGTTTTTGGCGTGACTTTACAGGAGTCGCTTGTGACTTCGAAGTGGACCTGTGTGGTTGGTCCACAGGCGAGCATCCCTGGCTGCGAAACACTGCCAGTGACTGGACAGACACTGGACCGGCCCTGGCGGCTCAGGGCGGATGGTACGCCTATGTGGACTCCCAGGCTGACGATCAGGCTGGATGCTCCGATTGATGATCGGCTGAGTGGGTAAGAGCATGTTAGATTCGGACGCAACATCCACTGGGCACATGAACTGAGTCCACCGTCTCAAGTCTTAGGAGCAGGATTGAGCCTGACTAGCTTGCATTGCTTGGACTGCGTAATGTGTACAGGACTTCGTCCTCAACAGCAGCGTGTTCGAGCCGTCCGAGGCCATCCGACATCTCCATTTCCGCTTCCACATGCACGGGGAGGACATGGGCCGCTTGCAGCTCGAAGCTTTCAGAGGCGTTGGGTGGACAGAGCTGTGGTCACGAACAGGAGAGCAAGGCCAACAGTGGCAGCTGGCCGTGGCACACTTGCCACCAAACGTCACGGCATTGCGCTTCGTGGGGACCATATATAACGGCGGCTGGTTGAGCGATATGGCCCTAGACGCAATCGCCACTGGGCTCCCCACTGTGGAGTTCGATCAGCTCACTTGTGAGTTCGGTTTCGACACCTGCCTGTGGCAAAGCACTGGTGCCTCTTCATGGCAGCTTGCGGGGGACGCGGATGGCCAGTGGCTGGAGGCTGTGCAGAGTGGTTCCCAAGCTTCGCAATGGATCTTGGAAACCGCGGCGCTCTTCAACACCACTGAGGAGAAGGCCTTGGTTTTCGACTATGAGTTGAACGGCTCGGGAACCGTGGCGTTGGAGCTACAACACCAAGCCTCCGCTACTGGGGGCTGGCAGCGTTTGTGGACGCAGTCAGGCAGCCGCGACGCAGGTTGGCATGCCGCCATCGTCACCATCCCTTCTTCCACGATGAGCCTGCGCTTGCTTGCCAATAGCACTGACGACGCAGATGTCGTGCGGATCGACTCGCTCCATGAAGCGAGCTTCCTGCACGACTGGAGCTCCATTTCCTGTGGTTTTGAATCCGACTACTGTGCTTGGTCCACCAGTTCGCACGCATGGCTGCGACGATCAGGGACTACTGCTAGCTTAGGTACCGGACCGGACGGGGCTGCGGAAGGTGAGTCGTACGTTTATACAGAAGCCAGTGACAATGAGAACAAGGCCGGACCACTTCAGAAAGCTAAGCAGAATGCGCAATGGTAGTTCTTCACAAGCCCTTGTCCAGGAGTTCATTCTCACTAGCGACCTGTTCGACCCATCACCGGAAGCTCGGCATCTTCATTTCTATTTCCACATGTATGGTGAGCACACAGGCAGCTTGCAAATGGAGACATTGCGAAGCAGTGGCTGGACACAACTTTGGTCTCGCCTCGGAGCGCAAGGGACGCAATGGGGCCTGGCACAGGTGATGTTGCCGCATGATGCGAGGGCTGTGCGTTTCGTCGGTACAACGGGCGACAGCTTCAGGAGCGACATGGCGTTGGATGGCATCGCCGCCGGGCTGCCCAATGTGGAGTTCGATCATCTTACGTGTGACTTTCGTTTTGACACCTGCCTTTGGCAGAGCACGGGTGCCTCTTCGTGGCAGCTTGAGGGGGATGCGTCTGGCCAGTGGCTGCAGGCTTCTGGCAACAGTTCTCAAGCTTCGGAATTCATCTTGGAGACAGCGGCTCTTTTCAGCGCCACTGGAGAGAAGGTCTTGAGTTTGAGTTTTGAATATCAGCTGAACGGCTCGGATGCCGTGGCATTGGAGGTACAGCACCGAATCTCCGCCGGAGACTGGCAGCGTTTACTGTTGGAGTCGGGTGGCCGCGGCGCTGCTTGGCACACCAGTGTCGTCACCGTCCCTCCTTCTACTCTTGGCCTCCGCTTCGTGGCCAATGCCAGCACTGATTTCGACATGGTGAGGCTGGATTTCTTGTCGGCCATCGGGTCCGCTGGAGCTCTGGCGGACGTGACCTGCACCTTCGAGAACGACACTTGCAAGTGGTTGGGAGCCTGGCAGCGCCGCAGCGGCCCCTCCGCAAATCCTACCCTCACAGGGCCCGAGGCTGCCTTCCACGCCGAGAGCTACGTTTATACCTCAGATTCTGAACATGAGGTAGCTGTGCTCACCAGCCCCCTCTTCGCGAAGCTTGCCAACGTCTCTTACCTAGAGTTCGCCTATCACATGTTTGGTTCTGGCGTCGGCAAGCTGGAGCTGTGGTACCTGAAAGGTGGCAGGTGGAGCTCGCGCTGGTCCCGGCAAGGAAACCAAGGGGCTGACTGGCTTCAGGCCAAGGTGAGGCTCCCAAGTGGGGTGGAGATGCTCCGCTTCGTGAGCTCCGGGGCAACAACGTGGGCGGAAGTCGCTTTGGATGCAATCCTCGCCTGGGAGGGGCCCGAAGCAGCCCCAGAGTTCCTGAGCCTTTCCTCTGATGGCTTTCACAATTGTGCAGTCCTCAAGGCCCAGGGCCTCCTGAAGTGCTGGGGATCTGGTCTTCACGGCCGCTTGGGTTACGGCAGCGAAGCAGATGTGGGGACAGCTCCGGGTGAGATGGGGGAGAACCTGCCGGCCGTGGACCTCGGGGAGCCCGGCGTTCGAGTGACGCAGGTGGCCTGCGGTTGGTGGCACACCTGCGCAGTTCTCGAAACGGGCGTCCTGAAATGCTTCGGGAGTGGCTATAATGGCAAGCTTGGCTACGGACACACCCGCCATGTTGGAGATGAGCCTTTGGAGATGGGCGCGCATTTGCCAGCCGTGGACCTCGGCCCCGGTGCGGAGGTGGTGCAGGTGGATGCTGCAGATAGACACACCTGCGCTCTGCTTCGGGGTGGGAGTGTGAAGTGCTTCGGGGAGGGCCGGCTGCTGGGCTTGGGAGACAAGCGCGGGCCCCAGAAGGTTCGGAGCTGCTGCCAGTGCCACGTTAAGGCGCTCGAGAGAGTGAGAACTTGGAAACTGAGGGAGGATCGTGGCGACGAGCCCGGCGAGATGGGCTCGAACCTGCCCGCGATTGACCTGGGCACCGACTTCGAAGCGGTGCAGCTGGCCTTGGGAGGTCACCATAGCTGTGCTCTGTCAAGCCAAGGTACCGTGAAATGCTGGGGACAGGGCGATCTCCTGGGCCTGGGACTTGCCCCAGCTGTAGTGGACTTGGGCCCCCTTCCCGCTGTACAGATCGCAGCCGGGGATCGTCACACCTGCGCCGCAGCTTGCCCGCACCCAGCGCACTGGTCTCGTTTTCATCGTAGCGTGTCACAGTGCCTAATGGCAGGTGCTGTCCGACGGCTCGGCAAAATGCTGGGGTGCGAATCACTGGGGTCAACTTGGGCACGGCAGCCGAGAATACGCGGGTGACGAGCCCGGTGAGATGGGCACCAACCTTTCCGTCACAGACCTGGGCGATGGCATGACGGTTGTCCGTATCACGGTTGGCGCTTATCACACCTGTGCTATCCTGCAAGACAGGACCCTCAAGTGCTGGGGCTCGGGAGAGAGTGGCCAGCCTGGGCCTCAGTCATTTGGGAAGACTTAGGGGTATGTATGCGAGAGTGCTTCTGAAACAGTCGTTTTCCCAGAACACCGCAGCAACCCATGCGACTGGAGGCTTGGCCAGGGCAACACAGAGGACTTGGGAGATGAGCCCTCAGAGATGGGCTCCAATCTCCGCGCGGTCGGCCTCGGCAATCTCGAGGTGCGGGATGTGAGTGTCGGCGAAAGCCACACCTGCGTGCTCTTGGAGGACGACACCACGAGGTGCCTGCACTTCGCAACAAAGCTCGTAGGTGCCCCAAACCATGAGTTTTGCGCATGGATGCTGTGCAGGTGCTGGGGTACAGGCAATGCTGGGCAGCTGGGCATTGGCAGCACCCTTAACGTCGGCCAGGTGCCAGGCGAGCTTGGTGTGGCTTTGGTGCCTGCGCTGCTCTTTCCTCTGACTTTGGGCGCTGGCTTTCAGGGTCTCAGCTTCGCCGAAGACCATGGCCCCGCCAGAGGGTTACTTCAAATGCAGCACAACGGTTTCGTGGGTCTAGCCTGCGATGACGGCCTTGATGATCGGGTGGCTCAAGTGGCCTGCCGTGATCTCGGCATGGCCGGTGGCAGGGCCCTGACAGCCTTAGCAATGTGGGGTGCTGCGGGCGCTGGCACCATCCTTGCTGACAACATTAGGTGTACCGGTGCAGAAGTAAGCCTTCGCGACTGCGAATTTCGTGGCTGGCATCTGCACGACTGCACTCTTCAAGAAGCCGCAGGCCGTAGAAGTGAAAGCTAGGACGGACTGCTTGTAGATGAGCCCATGTGCGTGGATGTGCAGTCATGGTTCATGATGTGAACACATGTGTTGATCATGAGCCCAGGTCACGCTAATATAAATAAGAAGGTGGCCTCGGACTGCTAATGTTTGGACGAACAGAATGGGGCACATCATTTAAAGCATCGTACGACGACATAGGAATTGGCGCCCCCAGGTTCACAACTCCACAATCCCAAAACTCCCCAGACCCTCATCACTCATCATTCACACGAACCTTGAGCCACGATCACGTGGCGTGACTTCCTTGCGCAGGGGCCCATGCTCACCTGCACATGCCGGCATACCTGCATCCCTCCTCGTCAAATCTTCGCTTAACGAGTTGAGGATTGGGCGTTCACATGGTGTGCCCAAATGACAAGAAGATGCATCCGCCCAAAGCTGGACAAGAACATGCATCCGCCCAAAGCTGGATTATTCCTTCGGCTAAGGACAGCAATTAAAGCTCATAATGCGCCGAACCAATTTCCCGGACCGGAGCTTGGCTTGAACTCACAACACATTCAACTTCTCTCTAGATGTGTCCAGCTTGACTCGTGAAGGAGTCTTCGTCAATCCATCCACTGGAATCAACTCTCCGCTCATGTGCGACATCGGAATGTTGTCATTCCTAAGGTGGTCCCGTAGGTACGGGCAGGGCAGCGCATGCCAAAATGGCGCGTGCGAGTGGGTCGCACATACTCGGACCCTTTGGTGAGGTTGCTAACACAAGCAGAATTGTCCCCGAAGAGCTCCGTTTCCACATGCTTCTTGGGGAACTTGCCCACAAACAGCTTCACCTGTGTATACCTGTGTTCCTAGCTGATACGCAGTTCGACTTCCGCCTCAAACGCAGAATAGGCAGTCAAAGACTGTCGCTGAGTACGATATGCGATGGTGTAGTAACCAAACTTCACCACCACACCGGTCCCTGATCTCGATGCCCCTGGCCTGGCGCTAGCGAGGCCTCTCCAAAGATCGAAAGCTTCTCCTCCTGAAGATTGCCCCCGGCTCTGAAGAACAACACCTTTTTCCTGGTACCAGTTACGTACCTCCAGACCTGTGTTGCAAGCTTGTGCGTCTTCCGCGGTTCCACAGTGCTCATGCAGGATAGGGCCCCGACAGTAGCAAGCAGATCTGGTCGGGTGCGATCACCACGTCATCAATGTACATGTCGAAAGCACCGAAGAATGATTGTCGCTCTCCTTGCTTCCTGATGGCTCACACCTCGGACGAAACAGGATCGAGAAAGAACGTGGTGCCCTCTGCATCCTGAAACTTTCCGTCCAGCTCCTTGTTTCGACAAACTTCCCAAAGCTTGGGTCCTTTGCGTAGTCCATACAATAACTTCCGAAGCCTCCAAACCCTAGAAGGCTTCATCAGACCCTCTCTGGATAACACCTTTGGGGGTCGGACGAAGGTTGTGTCATTGTCCATCTTTGCGTTCAGGAATGCAGCTGTAATATCTAGAACCAGTCTAGTCCAGCTCGGATTGCCTGCAAGGCATGTTGCGCTCCACCGGATGTGCTCGATGGCAGGGTTGGCACTCGCGTTGTCCGGATCGTGGCCCACCGTATTGTGCTCATGGTTACTGCGCACCACTATCTGCGCCTTTGCTCTCCTATAGTACTCAAAGGCTCAGCTGGATCCACCTCCACGTTATCTTGAAGAGGTGTTTTGGTCAGAACCACCTTGGCCGGAAGCACCTTCGCTCCCGATGGTATGTCCGCCTCATCCCACTCATCATAAATCTCCTTCGCTTGAAGTGTCTCCACTTCAGGCTTCAAACCCTCGTTTACCCACTTCAGCTTCTCATCTGCACGTGTTTTCGGGTCAGACAAGATCCTTGCATCAATCGTGTCTGTAACCAGCTGTGCAACCTTGACCTCTGCCCGGTTCATCTCTTGCTCAACTTCATACGGCAGGATTTGATAGCGATCGGCTTTGTCGTGATTCACCTTCTTCCGAACCTCAGGTATCATTGCAAGTGGCTCCCCCTGACGATGATTACCAGCAGATGCGCGGGGCACGAAAGGCAGTCCTTGCTCAACGTGACCTCCTGCTCGAGTTTTCGATGATGGAACCAGACACAGTGGAGGCCATTTTCATCTTCAGGAGATGGTTTGCCTCGGGGGCCATGCTCCTGCTGTCCCTCCGCTTGAGGCCGGCCCGCCCGCAGCGGTCGCCGTTGATCCAGGAAATCCAAGAGGCTGTAGGCTGGTAGATGGTCCGGGCCTTAGTCAGACGATGCTCATTCCGACCAGCTTGTTAGCTCTTGCGCCGCACAACCCTTGTAGCCCTAGTAACTTATGCTACCTGCATTCCGTTACTACTTGTGTACATCATGCATGCACATCTCCAAGACGGCCTCCTCGGAGAGACGACGCCTCATGGCGGCTCACGCTTCAGGAGTGGCCGCGCTTGCATTACCAGCAGGACTGCGCGGAGCTGCTTATGTTCTTGTTAAACCGCCATGATCTTCCCCACACGACCTGCTACTGGGAAGCACGGCCAGCTGCTGGTGCGGTCGAGGCAAGGCGGCTTCGTGTGACGGGCTCAACGTTTGTTGAGCTTGCCCTGCCACGCACTCGACGATCGGAACTACACGATCGGATTCGATCCTGGCATACACAACAGGCTCCGCATGGCTCTACTGCAGCGCCATCTTTCCAAACTCGTGAGTTTGGCGCGGTATGCCAATCCTGCCCAGGGGAAAAACCGCATAGGAAAAACCGCATACGCCTCCCACATAGGGTGATGCAACAGGTCAGCTTTCGAGTTTTCCTTCTTGCATCTGATCGTGTGCAGAGGACCTCATACCGCTTGATAGGAGGCGTGATAAATTTGGGGTCCACCCCCTGTATCTTGTCATTATCGTACCTTTTTTGCGCACCCAAACCTTGCTACTACTCAGGCTTCACTGGCTGCAGGCGCTGTGTCCGTTGCTTCGGGGTGCCGTCCCACTAGGGCGACCGACTCACAGTTGGTGGTTGACCGACGACAGCTCGCCGGCGAGAGTGAGCCATCCTACTCATCAGCATACCATCGACTCTAAACGCTATGTTCTCTGCTTTCAGCTTGTGCCTTGAGCTGTGTCTGCCAAGCGGTGCAGTACTTGCAATGGCAAACGAAGGTTTGCCAACACTTCCCGAATTACTAGTTTCAGTTGTAGGCTTGACGATGTGGGAATACCACAGCCTGTGGCCGTGCCCTCATGGGCATCTCGTCACTGGGCTACACCCAGTAGCCGCGCTAGGGACCCCGAGGGAGTGGTTCTGCGTTCGCAAAGTCAAAAAAGTCTCTCTCTATCTCTCTATCTCTCTCTCTCTCTCTCTCTTTTTCTCTCTCTCTTTTTCTCTCTCTCTCTCTTTTTCTCTCTCTCTCTGGCAAGCCTGAAGCATGCTCTGATGTCACTTCCTGTCCCAGCTCACACGCGGCTATAGCAATCATCCGAACTGACGACCCCCAACCAATCCAGCAATAGCAGCCTTCGCTTCGGATTTGGGCTTCGCTTCAGGCTTCGTCTTGGACTTTGCTTCAGGCTTCGGCTTTGGGGTAGCTTCAGGCTTAGGGGGGCGATTCTTGTCTTTGGTTTCATCTTTCGATGACTCAGCTGTTTTACCGCTACCCTTGGTGCCCTTGTCTTTACCCTTTGCACATTTTTCCTTGCCTTTTCTTTTCCCTTGCGTTTTCCACCGTTGGAGGCTTCTTGATCGACAAAGGGAGCTCGACGCCTCTCCAACAACCGCCTGGCTTCCCGAAATGAAAGCGCAATCGCCCTTTCCTTTTTTGCCGCCGCCTCTGCAGCAACGACCCCCTTGCTACTTTGAGCAGCTCTAGCATCTCTAACCCCCTGTTCTGAAGCAAGACGTCTGCACTCCACTTCAAGTACGGATAGATACCGATCCAACCCAGAAGTTGCAGGAATGATGTTGCCCGGCTGCATTCTGAAGAGATTGATCTTTATAGCCAGCAGCTGATGCTTCTTCTCAAGAATCCTCATCAAGCTACCCAAAGCCGCGATGCCTTCATTAGGAGTTTGCTCAGGTAGAATTAGGTAGAATCAAAATTTGGGCCCGATGGCGAGCGAGCTTCCACCTTCGAAGTGTTGCCATCACATCCTTGAAATCCTCTGCCGATGGCAGCTGTCGCAAGTATCGCTGAATCGATTCCAACTCTTCACGAGCCCCCGAGCGCTCATGCAGACTCCCAAAAATCAAGATGCACCGCACGTTCTTCGAAGTACATCCCTCAACCAGTGGCTGACGAACTGTTTGCGGAAGATTCTTGAGCAATGCCAAAGAAAGTCGAGTTTCCATCTCAGCTTATGCTACCGTGATATCAGGCAATGAATCCTCGAACCCAGTGAGTTTCTTGTCCTCGTAGCGCTGTCGCCCTTCCTCATAGATCCTATCGAGGTACTCAGCAAAATCCGGATGAATAGCTGCCAAAACCGTCCGCGTTTCGACTCGCCACTGATGTGCAGTCATACCCACTTCCCAAGGCTCGCCGCCTGCCGAAAGATCCAGCTTGGGCGAATCCTTGATGAGCTTGTACGCAGCTTGATTGATCCGAAATGTTTGTCTTTATTCCCTCATTCTTCTTCCTGAGGAGGCGGAGTGCAAGGACAAAAACTAAACCCCGGAGGAACACTAGCTTCAAGATCTTTACCTACCCGCTCCCGTTCATCACCCCATCCGTCACCGCCATCATCATGCTCATCATCCTCCTGCGCAACGGGAAGATCTGGTGTCATGGCATGGTACAATGTAGTAGCACTTCCTACAGCATTCCTTTGCCAGCTTGAGCATGCTAAGCCCATCAACTCCGTACCTACACCCATCTCTCTCTGAATGTTGATGTCTCGCTGTCGTAGACTAGACCCTCAAGCTCAGCAACCTTGGTGACTACCTACCCATCGCGTTTGCTACAAGTTCTGCTCGTACTTGTTGTTGTCTGCCACAGCCTCCGCCTGTCCTTGTCCAGGCTCTGCTTCAGCTGCACAATCTGCTCATCGCTGGCTTTCTGCTTCCTACTCAAAGCTTCCAAAGTTGCCGCCTGTCGTTCCAACATGACAACCAGGTATTGCTTCTGTTCCTCAGCAGATTTATCCAACCACCCGTCGCAGTCTTCGCGCATCCCGGCTTGAGCTGCCAGAACAGTTTCAATTATTCCCTCTAGCTTTGACAATCGCTGCACTGCTTTACTCCATGTGTCTTTCATGCTGGATTCGAACTCCGCGAGAAGGATCATCGTCTTATCATGCTCCGTGGAAAACGAAACCAGCTTTTGCCCTTGGTGTACGCCTTGCGACTGCAACTCGCCAATTGGCGCTTGCAGCTGTGCAATCTGCTCTCGATTCTCTTTACTTCTTTCTGCAGTTTTCAAGACATGCTGTCCAAGCATCTCTGATCTTCCGAACAGCTCATCGGCCACTGCATGCTGTGACGAACGTGATCAAGATCCGCCAACTGTCCCAAATTCAACCGCCGCAAGACTTCAAATCGCGATATCAGATCAGGGGAATGATTACCTGCGAAAGGCTCGTAAACAGCACTGACCCATCCGCTCGAAGGCCGGCTGCCGATGCAGTCGCTGATGATGCATGCTGATGTTGCAGCGGCTGCAGATGTTGATTTGCATTAAGTGCGGAGTCCTGCCCAAGTGGAGCCCATGGGCTCATAACCTCTTGATCATGAGTCCAGGTGGGGGAAGGAGTGGCTGTCACGATACTATAATGAGAAGGTGGCCTCGGACTGCTAATGCTTGCACGAACAGAATGAGGCACATTATCCAAAGGATCCGACGACATAGGAATTGGGGCCCCCAGGCTCACAACTCCACAATCCCATCTTTCACACGAACCTTGAGAAACGATCACGTGGCGTGTCTTCCTTGCGCAGGGGCCCATGCTCACCTGCACGTCCCGTGTTTTCCCTGCGCAGGGGCCGTGCTCATGTGCCGGCACGCCTGCAACATGATGTGTTTCTTGAGTTTGTCGGGTGGCTATGCAGGTCTTGAGTGCGAGTCGGATGCCTGGAGCGACTTCACACCCGCCGCAAGCCCAGCCGGGCGCCAGGACGCTTCTATGGTCTGGGACAGTGAGACTCAGTCTGCATGGATGTTCGGGGGCCATGCCAGCAATGCCTTCCTCTACTTTGCGGACCTCTGGCGCTACGACTGGCCTCGACGAGCTTGGACTGAGATCCTGCCGTTGAGTGAAGGCCCCGCCCCCGGTGCCAGATGGGGCCACGCAGCCGTGTGGCACGTGCATTCCAGGTCTATGCTGGTGTTTGGAGGCAAATTCCAAGTCACATTCTACGATGACATCTGGCAATTTCGCAGCGAGGACGGCGCTTGGGGGCAATTGCCTGCCCTGGGGAAGCCATTGGCACGCGCCTACCACACCGCGATCCTGGACCCCTCGGACAATGCGGTGCTTGTCTTCGGAGGAGAGAGTGGTAGCCAGGTGCTGGAGGACCTCCAACGCTACAGTTTGGCCGACGGCCAGTGGAGCGAGTCTTTGACACCAGGGCCGGGAGCCCGCAGCCGGCACACCGCCGTTTGGGTGCCCACAACCCGGTCCATGCTCGTTTTTGGCGGGTGGAGCGGGCAGCAGTATCTGGATGACTTGCATAGCTACGACGCTTCGGCAGGCACCTGGGCCGAGGTGTCAGCCGCAGGATATTGGCCCACTGCTCGTGCTGGGCATGCCGCCGCATGGGACCCTGTTTCAATGAGCATGCTGGTCATGGGCGGCATCACCAATGTAACCAGCGACCTCAGCTACGATGCCTCCATCTACAATTACAGCCTCTTGACGAACTCTTGGAAGGAAGAGGGCTTGCAACGCCAGCTCTTAGGCCCAACCGGCCGTACCGGTCATGGCATTGTTTGGGACTACGCTTCTCGCGGCTTGCTGTGCTTCGGTGGCTTCAATGCCTCCTACTTGCAGCAAACCTGGCGATACGTGGTCAGTCAGACCAGCTCGCCCTTGCTGGTCAGCTGCCAGCAGGGCCGCAACTGTTCCTTCCGCTGGAATGCTTCCGGCTCTGTTGCCGCGAAACGCACCTGCTCCGACCAGGATATCTTGGGAGGACTCCCCTCACCACTCTCGGAAGCGGAGGAGGAGGATCTCTGGACGTTCGGAGTAAATGCATCCCCTTTCTTCACACAACCGGGTCATCACCGCCTCTGCTGGTGTGATGTCGTCAACTGCAGCCACCCCGACAACTTCAGCGTGACAGTGGGCTACTTTGTTCTGGAGGGCCCGCAGCTGCAGCAGTCCGCTCAATGCTACCTAGGCAGAGACTGCACGATTTCAGAGTGGCGAGGAGTCGGCATCTCCGCGAACGACAGCGTCGTGATGCAGAGCCGATGCGGCGAAGGGCCGCGGCTCTCCTCTTCCACCTACTCCCAGCGCTCGGTCGGCGTCTCCTTCAACGAGTCCTACGGTTGGCACACCTTGCACGTGGGCTTCCTCGACCCAGCGGAGGGCCTCAAGCCGGAAGCTCTGGAGCTTTGCTGGTGCCCTGCTGCGGCGGCCCCTTGCGCTTCGGCGGAGGACTTCCTCGTGGTCGCGCTGAGCCTGGACGTGATCTGCCCGCCCGGCGAGTACAGCGAAGGGCCCGGCTCTTCCTGCCTGCCCTGCCCGGCGAACTTCTTCTGCCCCGGCGGTTCGGAATTGCAGAGCTGTCCGTCGTCGAGCACTTCGATGCAGGGCTCAAGTCCGCCACCCAGAAGAGAGTATGGCGCGCGCTGTTCTGTTCTCACAGCAACAGACCAAGGGCTGTCTGTGTTATGCTGAGAGAGATTGAGAGACCGAGGCCTGCTCTCCGACTGCCGGTGCCTTCGAGGGCGCTACTGGGATGCAGAGAGCGCCATCTGCCTGGCGTGCCCCGCTGGGTCTTCGACGTTGCAGGCGGGTCGTCTGCAGGTTCGCAGTTGCGTGAGGTTTCTTCTGCTTCGTCTCTTCCTTGTCTTGTCGGCTGCACGGCCCTGCTTGTGACTGGAGGAGGGGGCCACCAGCCTGGCGTCCTGCACTTGCATGCCGGGCTTCTTCGCGACGCAGCCCGACAATCCGGCAGTTTGCGAAGCCTGCGGCGTGGGCTTCTTCTGTGCAGGGGGCCTGCAGACCCCGCAGCCGTGTGCGCCGTCCCAAACCACCGAGAGCGACACGTCAGCCAACAGATCCCAGTGTGTTTGCAGGCCCGGCAGCTTCTTGGAAGACGGGCTTTGCGCCCTGTGTCCAGTTGGATTTTTCAAGGGCAGCGTCGGAGACTTCCCGTGCTCGCCATGTGGTACTGGCACGTTCAGCAACGGCACGGGAAGCACAGAGCCTTGCAGATGCCAACAGGGCTATGGTTTTGACGAGGAGATCGCGCAGTGCAGACCATGCCTTCCGGGCGAATACAAAGCACTGGTAGGCGACACTCCGTGCAGCCGATGCTCTACCAATAAGACTTCTGTGGAGGGCGCCACATCTCCCCTTGACTGTCGATGCCGCTCAGGTCTTGCAGCAGAGGGTGAGAGCTGCCGAGACTGCCGAGATGGCTTCTTCTGCCCGGGCCAGGGTGAAGAGCGGCGATGCCAGGATGATGCCACCTCACGCAGGGGCTCCATCCTGCAGGCAGATTGCCTATGCCTCCCAGGCTACTATGCCCTTGAAGCTCAGGGCATCTGTGAGCCTTGCCAACCTGGACGCTACAAGCCCACGCTGGCCAACGATCCATCTTGCCCATTACAGTGCCCCACAAATGGCCAGAGTGCCAATGCGTCCACCAACTTAACAGAGTGCTTCTGCATGCCAGGATTTTACGCAGTGCTCGATGAAGGATCCCTCTCCAGGTGCGCCAGTTGTGCCTTCCTTCCTCATGTGCAATGCTTGGGTGGTTTTCACACTCAGGCGGGCATCACTCAGTTGGGGAACCACAAGCTGCCTGTCGCTCGGCCGGGCTACTTCCAGACAGGAGTGACAATCGCCGTGAAGTGCACGGCCGACACGTCCACTGGCCTTAGCGCTTGCCTCGGAGGGCAGCTATGCGCGCAAGATGACACGGTGGAATGCTTCGGCAAGTATAGCAACGCTTGCGACGAAGGCTCCACCGGGTTCTTTTGTGGAGAATGCCCAGCTGGTTGGGCCAGGAGAGCCTTCCAGCAGCCATGCGAACCGTGCGCTGCTGGTGCTGTTTTGCCACTGGTAGCCTCTGTCATCATCGATGTTGGCACGAAGGTCGCGGGTGCCGAACGGTTGCCGATTTTTTAGGGGTGTTTGCGAAGTCGCTTTTCAATCCTAGAAGTTGTCCGCAGCAAGGGAAGTGTAACAAGTGGCAGGGAGCGGGTAATAGCGGGGGTAGCGGACAGGCCACGATCAACTTCGTGGTCGCGGCCATGGCCGCAATGGCAGCAGTCAGAGCCAGCAGCAAGCTCCACACGGTGATGATCCGTATCGCCGTCCAGTGGCTGGCTGCTTGCTCCGTCCTGACGGCTTTCGACCTCACACAGATTCCACTCGAGAATGCGGAGACCCAGGGAGATCAGGAAGAGTATCCACTCTTTCCATGGCCTGTGCAGGTGGCGGTTGAAGGAGGGTCCTTTGAACCCGAGATTTGACCCACCCCTGAAAACCCGTTTCGCCCCACAGCAGGTCAGCGCAGCGATGCGGGGCCTCTTCGAGACCCTCACGCTGACGCCGGTGCTGACATCTGTTAACTCGGCCACACAGTGCTTTGCCCAGGCCAGGTAACAGTAGGCTCCCATAGGGACACAAATCGAAACAGCATGTCAATGTGGAAGCTGACAGTGCCGCAAGGCTATCGTACACATCAAGGGAAAATAACTAAGTAAGACAAGTAAGAGCTCGAGTTCTGTGTTGCCTGAAATCCTAAACCTATCCACGAGGCTCAAACTCTGGATCAGATTCCGCAAGCCAATATACTATACTCCTTAATCAGCTTCTGTTTCATCACTTACGCTTGCAATCTGAACTGAGAGTGTCGTCTGAATGGTCGTGTAGCGACTCGTGCAGCTTAGCGGTTTCGGACTCCGTCAGGAGCTTGCTCCTGACAGCACTGCCCCGCGCATCGCCTTTGGAGTGTACCACCTCGCCTTACCTCTCTTGGTCATGATTGGCATTCTTCTGCTCTCCTTCCTGGTGGTGCATGTGGTTGTGCCTTTGGGGGAGCGTTTCGGCTTCTCCTTCAACGAGTCCGGACGTAGCATGAACCATCTGTGCAAGATCATAGACCCCATGCTCAAAGAGATATTGCGCAAACCTGTCGCCGAAGCCTCCATCACAACGTCGCGTACTTCTGACGCCTTCTCTTGGGCGGACTTGGAGCGCACGGGCACCTTGGGGAACCTCACCACGGCTCAGTTGCAGCAAGCGGCGGAGAACCCGGATGGCTTCTTGCGCACAGCTGCAGCCGGGTCGCGAGAGCTCCTGGTCAGCGCCTGTGCAGCTCGTGCTGCCCAGCTGCATCCGCAGGCCGAGGCCCAGGAGCTGTACCAAGAGCTGGCGAAGGCACCACACCTGAACTTGACCTGCTGCAGACTTCCTGTTTGAAGAGCTGTGACATTCTCTGCTGCAATCGCACTTGCGCAGGCGGATCTCCGACAATTCCTGACCGCGGACTTCGCCACTCGGTCTCCGGATTTTACGGCAATGCTGGACAAGGTCTTGGATGCGGCATTCACCTTCGATGAGGAGACCGTGCCCGTACCGAAGGAAGGCCCTGAGCAAGAAGAGGCTGACGAGCTCCGGCTCGTGGGCTCGGAGCACGCGCCTTGCGACGTTGTGGTCGCCTTGCCCACGGACGCAATGCGCGGACCCAAGAACTGAGCTGCTCGTATTTCCGCCTCCTGAGCTTTGTGTGTTTGGCTTCCCGAGGCCAGAGAAGAAACCGGGGGAAAAGAGCACCTTCAGCTTTACATCTTTGGAAAACCGAGCAAGCCTGATGGACTCTCTAAATTTCGGCCTCTTCTCGCCGGCACCTCGCTTCGTCGAGCTCGCATACCAGAGCGTGCCCATCCTTTGGGTGAGCCTGGTCTCTCTGTGGCCTGGGCTACTGTCCAGCTTCCTGCAGATGATCTGGTGCGTGTCAGTTCTGGAAGACGATGTGCTGGTGAGCCGCCTGCTGCCCAACCCTTCCGTCGTTTGCTGGTCCGACGAGCACCTGGTTTCTGCGCGCTTCGCCATCGCTGGGCTCGTCGTGTGGTGCCTGGGCATACCGATTGCGCTGGCCATCGTCTTGTTTCGCCTCCCGGATAGGCAGGCTCCTGACAACTTCAGGCCTGGGCGAGAGACGGGGGCATGCAGGGTGCGCAACACTTGAACGAAGCTCTGATGCACAGGCGCTTTGGCTATTTCTTCCAGGGCCTGGAGCGACAGTTTTGGTGGTGGGATCTCCTCGTTAAGCGCTTCGCCGTGGCCTCAGATCGAAACCTTCACGAGTGGTTGTGGTTATGTTTGCGGTTTCTCGTTGCAGGTGGTGCAGGCTGCATAAGCTACCTGTTCTCCCGTATCTGGTTTTTAAACAGCAGCCGCTCAGGACTTGGCGCTGATGATGCTCGTCGCCTACACTTCCGTCGTGCCGGATCAGAAGGCCAAGCTCGCGCTCTTCCCCGTCCTCTCGGCCTTCCAGGCAGACAGCACGCTGAAATGGGTCCGCCCGGACAGTGAGCCCAAAATCGCGCATCTCAAGCAAAAAACAATAAGATGCTGGGGCGCAGTCGATCACATGCATGCAGGATGCACGCAGATGCACGCAAAGAGAGGGAGGAATGCGCGAAGCGCACGCACATGGAGGCTGCTTGCGAGCATAAGTAGCACTGGCAGTCGGCGGTCATATGCATGCCCGTGCCCAAACCTTGCCCTGTGACTGCCGTTCCGAAGACCGCGGAAGAGCTATCTGACCTGGAGTGCTTCTTTTGTCTTTTGCCCCGAGCCTAGCCACTTCTCTGTGCGTGCTCAGCCGTGAATCACAGCAGGCGCTGCTGGCAGCGTGGGTCCGGCCCTATGCAAACGACCAGGCTGAGGTGCTGGACGTCTTGGAGGCCATCGCCGCGCCATCCGCTTGTGTTAGTGGGGCCTCCCGGCTTTTAAGGGCTTTCCGAGTGCTTCCTGCAGGTGACGCTGTGCTCGATCCGGTTTCTGCTCTTCAGCGGAGTGGCGCTGCTTCTCAGTCTGGAGACACCGACAGAGACGGCTCACATGCCACTGTGCCGAAATCTGGAAGCTACTATGCCCTGCAACCCATCCCAGAAAGCCTAAACCCTAGACCCTTTTCGGGCATTCCGGGATGTGGTTGTGCAGACGGAAAATGGTGCTCAACAAAACCCCGAAAAGGGTGGCCTACCTCCTCTTGCTGGTCTTGGTGCTCGCCTGCCTTTACTTCTTCACCCACTTCACCGCCCAGGTCTGGCCAAGACACTAGGAGGGTTTAGGGTTTAGCGGGGAGGGTCTGGGGTTTAGGGTCTGGATGGTGACTTCAGTTTCTTGTTCTAAACGACTACTTTCGTATTACATAAGGATCGCAGTCTATCGTCAATTGGGCTGCGTCCGAAGGCCTTTGCTTCGTTTTTGAGTAGGGGCTGAATCTTAACATGGTCAATCATGAAAAAAGGTGAAGCTCGCTGCATTTTGTACTGCTGCTTTTCCATGATTCTTCGTTACCGGTACTGGACGATGCAGCTGTACATGACTGTAACTACACTTGTTGTATGGTCTCGTAGGCCTTAGCTGGCTGCCACTGTTGCTGTCTTAGTCGTGTCTTGTGCTGCTGTTTGTATTTGTACTTTTTGAACCTTCGTTGAATTTTGCTTTTGTTGCTATTTAGGGTGTTGAGTCCATGATATGAGTCACAGGCGTCAACTTTGACTCCTAAACCCCAAGCCCTGCGCTACCCCACTAAACCCTAAACCAGCCCTTTTCTTCCAATCTTCGAAGGTCCTTCAAGATGCAGCGACCTGGAGATCGGTAGGCCAGCGTTTTTCGACGCGTCGAACTCTTTCAACATCTGCCGGCTTCAGGATTCAGTAGTAATTTGCTACAGTTTAGGGTTTATGGCTTCAGGGGTTTAGGATACCTGGACCCTAAGGACCCTACCTTTTTAGGGACTTATATAAAGAAATCATATTAGGGGGTCCTAAAAAGGTAGGTTCCTTAGGGTCCAGGTAGGGTATAGGGTACAGGCTTCTGCAGAGAACGACAGGGCAGCCTGTGGGAGGTTGGTTTCCGCGCTTTGTCATCGAGTTGGCATTGCCCCTGTTTACCGAGGCGCGGGCTACATGAAGGCTGCACATTGAAGCGCATACTACATGCGTCCATTACATTACATATTGTACTGTAGCACATCATATTATGTCATACTATATTATATTATGTTATAGTGTATTGTAGTGTATTGTATTGTATTTTACTGTGTTGAATTCGCTTGGGTTCTATTCATGTATATTGTATAAGGTTGAATTTCCAATATAGTTTAATATAGTATACATATTACATTATACTATATATCATCATCATATGTTGTATTTTGATATAGGGTATAACATGTAACATACAAGTTCACCATATTGGATCATGCTATATAATGTTACAGTACATTGTTTTGTGATGCACCATGTGTTGTTATGTTTTGTCATGTAGCTTTACGAAAGTTTTTGTTGCATGATATTATGTTATAGTATGGTATTGCATATTCCAAGATATCAAAGTAGATTGTAGTATACGTTATCACCGCCTTTGATATGCGACCTTTTTATGTTATACTAATTATGTTGTATTTTAGCATTATACATTGTGTTTGTGTTGTAGGATATCAAAGCATATAGTGCTAGACTGTTTCAGATCGTTTTATAACAGTTCATTGTCATATCATATCATGTCATATTCCGCCATATTCGAATACATGGCATTTTAAGAGATATTGTTAGATTTTCCATGGTCTCTTATCATCACAAGGCATATTGTATTTTGTTATAAAGTAGCGTGTGTTGTGTGTATACTACTTTATTATTGTTATACAAAGTATTCATAGTTGTTCTAGAAATTATATATGAAGCAATGATTATCTTTAATGTTGATGTCGGATTTTACAGTTTATCTGACGTAATGCACATGTTGAAAATATATATATATATATATATATATATATATATATATGTATGTATATGAATGTATATATATACATGTACATGTATACATGTTGTTACATTACGTTATATTCTATTCTGTTCTATTCTGCTTTAGTCCAGTCTGTGATTCTGTGTTATCTTGTGGTGATGGCATATTTTATGATGTTTTATGTTCGTATTTGGTATGTTGTATACCTATGTATACTACATATTGCATATAAACATATATATTCGATAACTTGTTGTACATGTTCGTATGTTGTGTTTTATGACTTTAGACAATATTGTATTATACTAAATTAGATTATCGATTTTCAACCAAATTATGGTTGTCATGATGTGTATTACTTGCTGGGTTCACGACCACCTGGGACTCGGCCACAACCAGAAGCACGAACTCTTCGCATCCACATTCTGGATGCCGACCGGTATCGGGCAAATGCAAGAGCTGGAATATCCAACATCTGCAGTACCTTCGCAAGTGTGTACTCATCTAACAAACTGTACCCTCAGAAACCGGTTGTTTCGTTTCCACGATGTGCAGCTGCAACCAGATGCATTTGCTCGTGCCCTTCGCTACACCCCCAGAACACTAAACGCTAAACCCTCAACCCGAACCTTAAACCCTAAACCCTTGGAGCCGTGACTGATGCAGGCGCAGTCAGAATCTCTTGAGCTGGTTTGGTCTTTTTCGTCGGAGGAGATCACAGCGACAACTGCATCCCTTGATGCAAGGCACGTGTTTAGGATTCAGAGTTTGATGCAAGGTACGCGTTCTGTGAAGAGACCTTTAAGCAGTCAAGGGTTTTGTCCGTGACATGCGCCTACCTTGATCCATACGCCCGAAAGGCAAATCTTGTGTCGGGTTGTGGAATTTGGTTTTGGGTTTTGTTATCGGATTGGACCAGGGCCGATAAGCAAAGAAAAGCAGGCCACGCAAAAAACACATCAAAACACAACGGGCTGGTTTTCTTTTGGTCCCCGAAGGTTTATTTGGGTACTGTTGGAAAGGTTTGTTCTTGTCCTGGGCAGGCCCGGCGCTCAACAGCTTCTCGAGCATGCATGGACGGACCTCCGCCCTGTCCAGGGCCTTATTTTTCTCTCCACCAACGTTGACAGGGTCTAAAAAACATGCTCTCCCGCGCACGGTTTTTCTTCTAGATTCTACATGTATCCATGGCCAAAGAAAGCCTTCCCCTGAGCGGACAGGGCAGTGGCCCCTCTGCAGCCCGGATCGAGATTCCTCGGGCCTGGGATGTTGAGATAAAAGCCCTCCGAACCCAACGAGGGGTTGTGAAAGGTCGCCTCTAAAGAATGCCCTCCCCCTGCCCTGAAGGACCCTGCGAATGGCCCCCAAGAGGACCAAATGAAGCCTCCAGGGGCGCAGAAAACACCTTGACAGGCCACACACGGCTCTTTTCTTTTTGCTTTTTGACAAGGTTTCATCCAGACGAGCCGGTATCGCCAGGGTGTTTCTGCGCTTATGTGTTCTTTCCTGTTTTTGTGTTTCCTCCAAGCAGTGAGCTTCGAATTCGCAGGGTTATGCAGGTTCGATCACTGTCACGCCTTTCCCGGGTTCGGGGTTCCGCCCTTGCCAGGCTCCCTGTCCTCCGCGGGCTGCCCGCCCTTGGCGGCTTCCTGCCCTTCACGGCTCCCGCCTTCCTGCCCTTCGCGGGCTCCCTGGACCTTACGGGCTTCCCGCCCTGGGCTCCTCGTTCCCTTCGCGGGCTCCCTGCCCTTGGCGGACTTCCTGCCCTTCCCTTCGCGGGCTCGCTGCCCTTCGCGGGCTTCCGGGGCTCTCTGGCGAGCGGTTTGCTCCTTCTCAAAATCTTCAGTCGTTTTCGAGCGGCTTGCTCCTTGTTCATACATTCTCTAGTCCCGTTTTCGAGGATTTGCTCCTTGTTCTCAAACTCTCTAGTCTTTTTCGAGCGGTGGCTTGCTCCTTGTTCTGAAGTCTTCAGTCTCTTTCGAGCGGTTTGCTCCTTGTTCTCTGGTCTCTTTCGAGCGTTCTGCTCCTTGTTCTTAACTCTTAAACTCTTTAGTCTTTTTCGAGCGGTTTGCTAGATTGAATCACATGATTCAGTTTCTTTGGAGCGGTTTGCTTTTTGTTCTGAAATTCTCTAGTCTTTTTCGAGCGGTTTGCTCGGTGGTCTCACGAGCGGTCTGCGGTTTGCTCCGTGTTCACAAAATCTCCCGTCTCTTCGCAGCGGCTTGATCCCGTGTCCTCAAATGTTGTAGTCTCTTTCGAGCGGTTTGCTGCTGCTTGGCCTGGTCTTCTTTAGTTTCTTTCCAGCGGCTTGCTGCTTGTTGTCAAACTCTCAAGTTCCTTGTGCCCTTGCCTCTCGCGGGCTTTCTGCCCTTTGGCTCCCAGCTCGGTCCCTCCCCTCCCCTCCCCTGCCCTCCCCTCCCCCCCTCCCCTCCGCCCCTCCCCTCCCCCCCCTAACCCTAATTCTTCCAATCTTTCCGCTGCCCTTCAATCCTTGTTGTCGCTTCTTGTACCAACCCCAAGCGAGAAAGCGAGCATGAGGAGCATTCTCGGAGTGTGAAGAAAGCACCGCCCGCACAAAGCAACACCAAAACCCACAACCCGCAAGCCAAAATCGATTGCAAGCAGCTGGGGCCAGGAAAAGCGGACAAGTGTCTAAGACGGCTCTCGGCAAGATCTGTGGCTCGGACGATCCGAATAGCAAACTTCGGTTCAGGGCTTAGGGTTTATTTCAGGTTCTGGGGTGTCGGGTCGACTTGTTTGGAACTGTACGGCTGCCTATGAAACTCGGCACCCAGCCAACGAGCCGAGCCTTCTGTTTATGACACACATATGGGAGTTTCCGAAATTAGGGGTTCCTTCTTTTGGGGCCCTTATAATAAGGATCCTACTACTTAGGGTACTATATTAGGGTTCCCTGGTTTTCGGAAACTCCCATATGGCACATGAACAGAAATTCGCATGCACACACACACACACACACACACACTCACACGTTACTAGTTGCATACGTTTGCGTTTCCAGTTTGGTTGAAGGAAAGTGGGTAAGTGTGAGTATAGCAGGAAGCGAGTCGTCCCGAGTCGGGAATCAAGCTGACCTCGGGCCAACACCCCAAACCTTATAAACCTCTCGTATGTCGACTCTCCGACTTATTGGTTGTTGTCTACTTGCTATATGTTTAGATGGTTCATGGATCGGTTCCTAGCTTGAGTAGCTTCCAAAAGGTTTGGCATAAATACACTGTCACACGAAGGTTCATACGCATGCGTGACATAGAGTTCGTCCTCAAACGCGAAGTCGAGCATTTTTTA